CCCAGCTCACAGTGTCCCAGCCCACAGTGTCCCAGCTCACAGTAACCCAGCCCACAGTGTCCCAGCCCACAGTGTCCCAGCCCACAGTGTCCCAGCCCACAGTGTCCCAGCCCACAGTGACCCAGCTCACAGTGTCCCAGCTCACAGTAACCCAGCCCACAGTGTCCCAGCCCACAGTGTCCCAGCTCACAGTAACCCAGCCCACAGTGTCCCAGCCCACAGTGACCCAGCTCACAGTGTCCCAGCTCACAGTAACCCAGCCCACAGTGTCCCAGCCCACAGTGTCCCAGCCCACAGTGTCCCAGCTCACAGTGTCCCAGCCCACAGTGACCCAGCTCACAGTGTCCCAGCTCACAGTGTCCCAGCCCACAGTGTCCCAGCTCACAGTAACCCAGCCCACAGTGTCCCAGCCCACAGTGTCCCAGCTCACAGTGTCCCAGCTCACAGTGTCCCAGCCCACAGTGACCCAGCCCACAGTGTCCCAGCCCACAGTAACCCAGCCCACAGTGTCCCAGCCCACAGTGTCCCAGCTCACAGTGTCCCAGCCCACAGTGTCCCAGCTCACAGTGTCCCAGCCCACAGTGTCCCAGCCCACAGTGACCCAGCTCACAGTAACCCAGCCCACAGTGTCCCAGCCCACAGTGTCCCAGCTCACAGTAACCCAGCCCACAGTGTCCCAGCCCACAGTGACCCAGCTCACAGTGACCCAGCCCACAGTGTCCCAGCTCACAGTGACCCAGCCCACAGTGTCCCAGCCCACAGTGTCCCAGCCCACAGTGTCCCAGCTCACAGTGTCCCAGCCCACAGTGTCCCAGCTCACAGTGACCCAGCCCACAGTGTCCCAGCTCACAGTGACCCAGCCCACAGTGTCCCAGCCCACAGTGTCCCAGCCCACAGTGTCCCAGCTCACAGTGTCCCAGCCCACAGTGTCCCAGCCCACAGTGACCCAGCTCACAGTGTCCCAGCTCACAGTGTCCCAGCCCACAGTGTCCCAGCCCACAGTGACCCAGCTCACAGTGTCCCAGCCCACAGTGTCCCAGCCCACAGTGACCCAGCTCACAGTGTCCCAGCTCACAGTGTCCCAGCCCACAGTGACCCAGCTCACAGTGTCCCAGCCCACAGTGTCCCAGCTCACAGTAACCCAGCCCACAGTGTCCCAGCCCACAGTGACCCAGCCCACAGTGACCCAGCTCACAGTAACCCAGCCCACAGTGTCCCAGCCCACAGTGTCCCAGCCCACAGTGACCCAGCTCACAGTGTCCCAGCTCACAGTGTCCCAGCCCACAGTGTCCCAGCCCACAGTGACCCAGCCCACAGTGTCCCAGCCCACAGTGACCCAGCTCACAGTAACCCAGCCCACAGTGTCCCAGCCCACAGTGTCCCAGCTCACAGTAACCCAGCCCACAGTGTCCCAGCCCACAGTGTCCCAGCTCACAGTAACCCAGCCCACAGTGTCCCAGCCCACAGTGACCCAGCTCACAGTGTCCCAGCTCACAGTGTCCCAGCTCACAGTGACCCAGCCCACAGTGATCCAGCCCACAGTGACCCAGCTCACAGTGACCCAGCCCACAGTGTCCCAGCCCACAGTGACCCAGCTCACAGTGACCCAGCTCACAGTGTCCCAGCTCACAGTGTCCCAGCTCACAGTGTCCCAGCTCACAGTGTCCCAGCTCACAGTGTCCCAGCTCACAGTGTCCCAGCCCACAGTGACCCAGCCCACAGTGTCCCAGCCCACAGTAACCCAGCCCACAGTGTCCCAGCCCACAGTGTCCCAGCTCACAGTAACCCAGCTCACAGTAACCCAGCCCACAGTGTCCCAGCTCACAGTAACCCAGCTCACAGTAACCCAGCCCACAGTAACCCAGCCCACAGTGTCCCAGCCCACAGTGTCCCAGCCCACAGTGACCCAGCTCACAGTAACCCAGCCCACAGTGTCCCAGCCCACAGTGACCCAGCTCACAGTAACCCAGCCCACAGTGTCCCAGCCCACAGTGTCCCAGCTCACAGTGTCCCAGCTCACAGTGTCCCAGCCCACAGTGACCCAGCTCACAGTAACCCAGCCCACAGTGTCCCAGCCCACAGTGTCCCAGCCCACAGTAACCCAGCCCACAGTGTCCCAGCCCACAGTGTCCCAGCCCACAGTGACCCAGCTCACAGTAACCCAGCCCACAGTGTCCCAGCCCACAGTGACCCAGCTCACAGTAACCCAGCCCACAGTGTCCCAGCCCACAGTGTCCCAGCTCACAGTGTCCCAGCTCACAGTGTCCCAGCCCACAGTGACCCAGCTCACAGTAACCCAGCCCACAGTGTCCCAGCCCACAGTGTCCCAGCCCACAGTAACCCAGCCCACAGTGTCCCAGCTCACAGTGTCCCAGCCCACAGTGTCCCAGCCCACAGTGACCCAGCTCACAGTAACCCAGCCCACAGTGTCCCAGCCCACAGTGTCCCAGCTCACAGTAACCCAGCCCACAGTGTCCCAGCCCACAGTGACCCAGCTCACAGTGACCCAGCCCACAGTGTCCCAGCTCACAGTGACCCAGCCCACAGTGTCCCAGCCCACAGTGTCCCAGCCCACAGTGTCCCAGCTCACAGTGTCCCAGCCCACAGTGTCCCAGCTCACAGTGACCCAGCCCACAGTGTCCCAGCTCACAGTGACCCAGCCCACAGTGTCCCAGCCCACAGTGTCCCAGCCCACAGTGTCCCAGCTCACAGTGTCCCAGCCCACAGTGTCCCAGCCCACAGTGACCCAGCTCACAGTGTCCCAGCTCACAGTGTCCCAGCCCACAGTGTCCCAGCCCACAGTGACCCAGCTCACAGTGTCCCAGCCCACAGTGTCCCAGCCCACAGTGACCCAGCTCACAGTGTCCCAGCTCACAGTGTCCCAGCCCACAGTGACCCAGCTCACAGTGTCCCAGCCCACAGTGTCCCAGCTCACAGTAACCCAGCCCACAGTGTCCCAGCCCACAGTGACCCAGCCCACAGTGACCCAGCTCACAGTAACCCAGCCCACAGTGTCCCAGCCCACAGTGTCCCAGCCCACAGTGACCCAGCTCACAGTGTCCCAGCTCACAGTGTCCCAGCCCACAGTGTCCCAGCCCACAGTGACCCAGCCCACAGTGTCCCAGCCCACAGTGACCCAGCTCACAGTAACCCAGCCCACAGTGTCCCAGCCCACAGTGTCCCAGCTCACAGTAACCCAGCCCACAGTGTCCCAGCCCACAGTGTCCCAGCTCACAGTAACCCAGCCCACAGTGTCCCAGCCCACAGTGACCCAGCTCACAGTGTCCCAGCTCACAGTGTCCCAGCTCACAGTGACCCAGCCCACAGTGATCCAGCCCACAGTGACCCAGCTCACAGTGACCCAGCCCACAGTGTCCCAGCCCACAGTGACCCAGCTCACAGTGACCCAGCTCACAGTGTCCCAGCTCACAGTGTCCCAGCTCACAGTGTCCCAGCTCACAGTGTCCCAGCTCACAGTGTCCCAGCTCACAGTGTCCCAGCCCACAGTGACCCAGCCCACAGTGTCCCAGCCCACAGTAACCCAGCCCACAGTGTCCCAGCCCACAGTGTCCCAGCTCACAGTAACCCAGCTCACAGTAACCCAGCCCACAGTGTCCCAGCTCACAGTAACCCAGCTCACAGTAACCCAGCCCACAGTAACCCAGCCCACAGTGTCCCAGCCCACAGTGTCCCAGCCCACAGTGACCCAGCTCACAGTAACCCAGCCCACAGTGTCCCAGCCCACAGTGACCCAGCTCACAGTAACCCAGCCCACAGTGTCCCAGCCCACAGTGTCCCAGCTCACAGTGTCCCAGCTCACAGTGTCCCAGCCCACAGTGACCCAGCTCACAGTAACCCAGCCCACAGTGTCCCAGCCCACAGTGTCCCAGCCCACAGTAACCCAGCCCACAGTGTCCCAGCTCACGGTGACCCAGCCCACAGTGTCCCAGCCCACAGTGTCCCAGCTCACAGTGTCCCAGCTCACAGTGACCCAGCCCACGGTGGCCCAGCCCACGGTGGCCCAGCTTGACCCAGCCCACAGTGACCCAGCCCACAGTGTCCCAGCCCACAGTGTCCCAGCTCACAGTGACCCAGCTCACGGTGACCCAGCCCACAGTGTCCCAGCCCACAGTGACCCAGCCCACAGTGACCCAGCTCACAGTAACCCAGCCCACAGTGTCCCAGCTCACAGTAACCCAGCCCACAGTGTCCCAGCTCACAGTGTCCCAGCTCACAGTGTCCCAGCTCACAGTGTCCCAGCCCACAGTGTCCCAGCTCACAGTGTCCCAGCCCACAGTGTCCCAGCTCACAGTGACCCAGCCCACAGTGACCCAGCCCACAGTGACCCAGCCCACAGTGACCCAGCCCACAGTGTCCCAGCCCACAGTGACCCAGCTCACAGTGGCCCAGCCCACAGTGACCCAGCCCACGGTGGCCCAGCCCACCGTGGCCCAGCCCACGGTGGCCCAGCCCACGGTGGCCCAGCCCACGGTGGCCCAGCCCACAGTGACCCAGCCCACGGTGGCCCAGCCCACGGTGGCCCAGCCCACGGTGGCCCAGCTCACAGTGACCCAGCCCACAGTGACCCAGCTCACATTGGCACGCTCACAGCTGTGTTATACCTTGGCAAGCAATGAGAACAGGCTCTGCATTGTACACCATCAGCAGAGGGTAACTCCCATCTGCTAGACTAACCTACATAATATGCGCTCTCATTGATATTGACTTAAGTACATCACGGTTGGTCGACGATGATGATAATTTAACTTTTTTTGTTATCAACTTGTTGCTTCAGCTGCTGATGTTGACGAAGCTAAGGATGTTGTAAACGCTGTTGCTGCTGTTTGTAATGACGGTATTGTGGTTGGTGGTGGCTAAGATGACAACAACAACAACGTCATTGATACCGGTGATGTTGCCACTGCTTTGTGGATGACGTAGCTGATTCCGCTCACGATCCTGCCCTTTTCTCGTGCCGCTGTAACGCTTGGCACTTTTAGTTCTTCAAAGAGGCAAAGGATGTGGAGGAGGGCCTCAAGAGCCTGCAGGAGACGATCCGCCGCAAGTACACGTGCGACAAGGCCAGCAGTCTCACACGGCTGGAGGACATCGTCCAGGATTCGATGGTGAGTGTCGATGCGTCGATCAGGACTCTTGTTGCAGGTCCAAGACGTCGGACATCGCTCCGATGAAACGCCTGCGGCATGACCCGAACACACAACGGAGATTCTCTTAGTTCTTTCGGTAAAGTCACGTAGGTAAAAAAAGTGAAATAAAAAATTTATTTTATTAATTTTAATTTCATTTTTTTACCTACGTGACTTTACCGAAAGAACTAAGAGTACACAACGGAGAGCCGTGCAGCACGACCGCTAGAACCTACGCAGCCGTGGTGCGTACGTTCGTCCACTCTGGCGACCTGTGACCTTGTCACCCATCACCCACCCCCACCCCCAACCCGCGCAGGATGAGAAAGAGCAGCTGCTGGAGTACAAGCGCCTGGTGTCGGGGTTGGTGAGCCGCGCCAAGACGATCGTTCAGCTGAAGCCGCGGAGTCCCGAGAACCGCGTGTGGAGCACACTGCCCGTGAAGGCCATCTGCGACTTCAAGCAGCAGGAGGTGAGGCCCCATCGGCGCCGCCGCAGCCACCGCCGTCACCGTAGCCGCCGTGCGCAGTGGCGGCGAGACGCGCCTCGGTGACCCTGGGCGGGGTTTAACAGTGGGGATAATGGATGGGCCAAGTATAGCGCAGATTTGCCAAGAAGGATTTTATGGATGAAAGTGGCCCAATGTCGATTTCTTCTCTGACTGGATTTTAAGTAGAGGTCACAATGGCGGGGCCTGTGTGGAACATCCAGAGCAAATTGATGAAGGGGGTTTAGTCCGTTTAGCGTTTCATTAGTAGCTGATGTGTAAGCTGCATAGCAGCAGTCACAAAGTGGTAGAATGATAGCTCCAGAAATTTGCAGGCACGATCTAATTCCCAGTCAGTCTCTCATCCAAGTACCGTCGAGGCACAAACCTGCTCAACTTTTGAGATCGGACGAGATTGGGGGCGCGTTCAGGGTGGTCGAGTGCTACACGCGACGAAGAAGATCCCTGACTTTGATCTTCCGCTAAGCTTAGGGGCAACAACCTTGAACCGCATCGACTGCACAAACCATGGCAGATGTAGAAATGGAAATTATTTAACTATCTCGTGCGTGACTGTGGTCACCCAGAACAGATCACGGAGCACGTAAAAACTCATTTGCCGATTCACAAAATACGAAGGAGGCATCATCACAGCGATTTTCTCCATTACTTCTGACTCAGTTATCTGGCTCAACCACCTCAATATGCAATTATAGTTATTTCCCTACGTGAACATCAACCATGAGCGGAAGAATAAATCCTCGACAATCGTCCATTACCTGTATCATTAAAGTACGCGTGTATCCATGCCCTTATCGCTAATGTGTAGATCACAATCTACAAGAATGACGAGTGTGTGATGGAGGACAATGCCCAGTGCACCAAGTGGAAGATCATCAATCCCATCGGCAACGAGGCCCTGGTGCCATCCGTGTGCTTCCTCATCGCCCCTCCAAACAAGGACGCCATCGAGCTCGCCACCCGGTAAGGGAACTCTCGCGCAGCGATCACCGGGAACGCCGCAACATCCCACCGTGTCCGTCCGGTGCTCGGCGAGCTGCATTGGCTTCCGGTTGCCGAAGGAATCCGTTGTCAGGTCGTGCTCACGACACAGACGGAGTGCTTGCCACGTATGGACAACAATACCTTGCTGAGCATAAACCGCAACATGAACGCCGGTCAGCGGCTTTTGGCTCGCCATCGAAAATAGACGATCACCGCATCGCTTGCTTTCAGATGCGCTTCCACGGCTATCTGGAACGTTCTTCCTTCCGATTGAAAACGAATTTCTTTAGAAACTGATTTTTGTGTTTAGTTTGTTGTCCTTCCCCCATGCCTCCATTTAGCGCGATTGGCTACGTACAGTGCGAAAGAAGTTCAACGTACATACATACACCACGAGAACGCTGTGTTGACGCATTCACCGTGTTGGTAGATTAACGAGACGAGCCACAGCACTGTGACAGGTCACGCGAGCCAAACTATGGACTATAGAGTAAACCACTGTAGCCTGCAATCCTTCAATAGAGGAGGAGGAATAGCAAAACTACACAAACTCTCTCCTTTAGCCCTCTCGTGCCTAGTAGACCTTGGCTTTGAAATTACAACAAAAAAACTTTTTTCTACCAGGTAAGGCCTACTCAGCTATATAGCTCTTTTTCAGAAGCAACCTGGCCACAAATCATAGCTCAACCAAATGGCTTATCACGTGGGAATTTATATCAGCCAAATACTCTAAACTCACGTTTCCAAATGTGGAAGGAAAAACCGGAGGACCCGGAGAAAAATCTACGTCACCGCGGGGAGAACATGCAAACTCCAAATATACAGGCGTCATGGTCGGGATTAAACCCATGACCTCCTGTGCACCAGGCGAGGAGAAGAGAACCACTTCAGTTGTATTTCACAGTTTTACTGCCTCGTTTTACGAATCGCGTATATAATCTCCTATACGAGGTCCGCAAAGCCCTTCAATCCATATCCTGCCGAGCACAGCTTTATTAGCACGCAAACAATGCAATGGTCAGATGTTTGCCTCTCTATCTCAGTCACCTTTGCAGCTAACCTAAAAATTCCGCCTCGCCCCAAATTCTGCCTAACTCCAGTCAGGCTTTGTGACGTTTTTTTTTTTACCGAATGTTAATTTCGTTCACCTTTTGCAGAATGGACCAGAGCTATCAGAACACCATGACCTTGTGGCACCAGCTGCATGTGAATATGAAGAGCGTCATCTCCTACCTCTACCTCACCAAGGACATTGAGTGCATTCGCAGTTGGACTGTGACAATGGTGAGAGCACGCACGAGCCAACACATGCATTGTTACAATTGGTCGAGGAGCAATTCATAGATACATTTACGTTAAATAATAATGATATAAGAAGCATCACACCGTGTATTGTAATGAATGGTATCAAAATCATGCAATGAATGTTTGCACAGATTATTGCACGATGATAGATTCATACAACTTTAGTTTTTTCCATGCACAGATGAATTGATTTGTCGCTTGAATTGTTACAATTGATCAAATTGCCGTGGGATGATCCATCGCATTCTGAGTTGCGTTGCGTTCTACAAAACAGGGTTTTTATTTACGCTCCCCATCCATCTCCACTCGAAAGTTGTTCCTTCTCATCTGCTGCTCCTGTGTCTGAAATTACCCTTCATTTGCAGTTCACGTTTATAACTCTCAAAGGTTAAATCTGGACCAATGGCTCAAGTCATCCAACACATTTTTTCTCTTCCCTGAGATTCGTATGTTCCACATGCTATTACATTGGCCATATCCCTAACAGTATCTGAGACTTTATCTGGCTGGGTGGCACTCTGGTGAGAGCACTTGACTCACACATTTGAGGACTACAAGTTCAAACCCAGCGGTCAAGTAAATTAAGTACGGTCTCTTCTCCTGTAACGCAGTAGTTGCGTCTTTGAACAGCGTGGCGTTATAATAAATAATGTATAATGTAGGGTAAAGCATAGTCCGCGATTACACATGAAATGCGTACACAGGCTGAACAACGACTGAGGCATGTGGGTAGCATCTAGAAGCATCCAGCAGCATCCCGCCTTATTGTGTGATGTTATGCCGAAGCAGCTGTACGACCGCTTATTCCTACTTGCGCGACGTAGTTTCTGTTCACTGAATCTTGTTATATGCAATTCACATCCACGTTATAAAAAATGTGTTCCAGAATACATTCAACGCATTATATACAATTCGCGTTGGGACAACAATACGCATTACAGGAGAACAGGCTGTACCGCTCTGTGACAAGTCAACATTCGTTGTCCCGTGGAGACCCTCTGATCCTCGTCACGTTAATGTGGAATTTCACAATTGCGAGGGCCACTAAAGGAGACAAGCGCCACCCCATTGCTCATGTTCCTTGCTACAAATTGAATGAATGAAACCTGTGAATTCTAACCGGCACCTCACTGGGACGGAAGAATTGCCAAGAGGGCGCAGGTTCCATCCACTCAAATTTGACAAAACCTCTATTGTGTTCGTGTTGTGGGTTTAATAAGACAAAATCGAACAAATCCTGACCCCCTGCTGCACGACCGCCCTGTCTGTTGACACCACCGCCGCCACGCTGCCGCTTGCAGTTCAAGACGATGCCTCCGGATCAGTACGAGTCGGTGATGAAGAACCTGGAGGTGCACTATGAGGACTTCCTGGAGGACAGCCGCGACTCGCAGCTCTTCTCCAGCACGGACCGCATGACGCTGGAGAGGGACATGAGCTCCTGCAAGCAGTACTTCGACCAGCTGCTCATCACCCTCGAGAGAGGTAGCGTTAGAGCAACCACTCTGTTGGGGGTTGTTTTTCTTTTTGGGGGGGTGGGGGGGGGGCGTTGTTGTTCTACGGCACGGTGTCCCGACGTTTTGTCTGTGCATGCCGGGGGGGCTTCTTCGGGGAGCTGGTAAGCACGCGGAGCGAAAACGACAGGGACATCGTGCCGGCAGAACAACGCGCAGCGTGATGTGGAGCATCTTCTTAAAACGCTGACGAGGGGGGCTGTGGCCAGGTGATGTGAAGGTGTTAAAGCGATGCCGAGCTGGCAGCACTGAGAACATTGTGTTCAAATCTGTCAGGGTCAAATTCTAATATTCCCCGCAAATTTCTCGATCAGTATTACACACCGCGACCATTGGCAGACTTAACGCTCTTCCAAATGAGACTGTCCCGTGCTCTTGAGTAAAAACAAAAATAAACTTAAACAGAATAGGTTTAACACGTAAGCTTTCGCGACCAATATTATCCATAATGAAGGTTTATTTTTAGTTAGATCGCGTGAATATAAACGTGTCGTTAACCCAGCACCACCCGACACAGCCAATTGGTACTATTTGTCTCACGTTAAACAAAACATGCTAATTAGTTACTATTTCACCACACCTGTGTGTTGGTGAGTGAACCCACAACGTGTTCAACGGAATACACTGGAACTTCCACATCTCGTTCAGCAAACTCTCACCCTGAGCCCACGCGCTTTGGCAGACCCACCGAGGCAAGACGAAAGTGACCTCCGTCTCCCGCGCCGCTTTCTTCTGCTTTCAGAGGAGCGCGACGAGAGCATCTGCAGCACCCTCCTGGTGCAGCTGCAGACCATCAGGCGGCGGCTGGAGGCTTCGGAGGACCGCATGATCCGGAACATCCGCTCCCCGCTCGAGCAGCCCGACCCCGTGCAGGAGAGCTCGCAGAGAATCATGGAGCACGAGGTGCGCCTGTAGCGACACGCTCTCGTGGCGACACGCTCTCTTGGTGACACTCTCTCGTAGCGACGCAGCAGCAACATGGGGCTCGGTTTGATTCCTTCGACTCGGGAGATTTGTTTTGCGCCTTCTCCCCACGATTCAGCGTGGGTTTCTTCAGCGTTCCATGGTTTATTCGTGTGACCCTTTGTTGTACTGGCAAAAAAAAGGTCCCATAGATATAACTGCTCAGCCCGAGCTATTCATGGTTTTATGCTTGCATTGCCTGTGTCCTGTTTGCCTTATGGCGTTCTCTGGTCTCATGCTGGTGGTGAGACTAGGCCATAAAGAAGGCTGTCTCTGGTGCAGGCCAATCAATTTCAAGGACGATGCCCATATATTATCAGGGCGTATTTGATTGCATGTTTTGCCACAAGTACGTGTGGTTAATGCAGACTCGATGCCATGCAGTAGGTGTCTATTTGGTGTTTGAACATCTTAACACCTGCGTTATTGCCAGAACAGGTAAAGGTCACGAAACATATTAAACGTAATATTTCTTATCCAAGCATCCCGATGTGGACAAAAAATGACCCCCTGCAAATGACTCAATTGGGACGATAGATAGCAACATTACCTCGGCCTGCAGTACCTTGCTGCCAAGTAAACAAGCAGAATAATAATAACAGTTAACATCCTACTTCTGCATGTGAGCTCCACCAGCTGGCAAGGAGCATTTCTCACAATGTTGAAAGAGGGGAGAGCTACATGTACACGCATTGTCCCGAGCGGTGTATTATTATTATTATTGTTATGATCGTCATGATTACGCACCTGACAAACACCCTTCGATGTCGCGCGAACACTTTTACATATTTCCCAGGGAGCACGATCCTGGGAAAGGCAGGAGAGGTGGCAACCCCCAATCTCAAATAACCCCTCGCCATGATCACGCATTGGCGTGGAGCATCGCGGGTCTTCGCAAAAATATGAGCAGAACTCCATTTGATATCTCCACGAACGAATAATCAAATACATAAGTGAATTCGCCCATCTGCCTATTGCAGTAGTCTTCATTGCAAGGCCCACAGGCCACCGGCTGCCCCTGGTGGCCTTTAGTGCGGCCCCTGACGTGCGGCTCCCGACAATACACACAACACGTGACACCCTCCCCCCCCCCATCGTCATCATTATGCCGCTGTCAAACCAAATGTGTGGAGGCCATCACACTGATGATGTCTTACCCCCTCTGAAAATGAGTGAAGACCACTAGCGTGTTGGTTTTCATAATCAACACAATGAAGCAGCATTTGTTCAAGCAAGCAAACTCAGGGCCGGTTTTGGACGTTCGGGGTTTCATCGGCAGGGTCAGGCTCGCCAAACGAACGCTGCTGGATTACCAGACGTCATTGACTAGCCCGACTCTGCTGATTAGACCCGCCAGGTCGAAGTCAACCCAGAGCGGTGCTTGCTTGAACGAGTGCTGCTAGATAGTGTAGGCCTTGGACTAAAACATGTTTTTTGTTTATACGTGAAAAGGCAAAATTAGTTCTGCTAATATTTGATCAGGCATGTGCAGCACGCATTGACTAAATTTGTTAGTCGACTGGAGAAGTTTGGTGAGTTTTCGGGATCAGCATTTTGGAAAACATGTTACAAACGAGGCCTACTTTTGTGCCCACGTGGATGCAGAAACTCCACCAAGATCTGGAGGACGTAAAGGTGGACTTGAGCCGTGTGGTCACGGAGTGCTCGGAGGTCCTGGCGCAGGGCAACCAGTCCGGCAGCTCGCCGATGCTCAGCTCTGAGCTCAACCACACCACCCAGAAGATGGATCAGCTTCACTCGCTGTCCACCATCTACCTGGAAAGGCAAGGGACACGCCCGGAACACCTCAATCAGACAAAATGTGAACATTCGGGGACGCTCTCAGCCGGCGTTTAATTTGCGTTGCCTATCGAAATGAGATAAGAGCGGTGATTTGTCGTGTTCGTGAAGGCTGAAGAACATCGACTCGGTGGTGCGGAGCTCGCAGGGCGCCGAGACCATCGTGCGCACGTTCGAGAACCGCCTGTGTGAGGACGACACCCTCCCCACAGACGTGCAGGGCATCGAGGCCTACAAGACTCAGCTGAAGGTGACACACCCCACAGCTCCTCACCCTGCCGCCCCCAACATCCTGCACCACCCACACCCCACCTCCCCACCCTGCCACCCCCAACACCCTGCACCACCCACACCCCACCTCCACACCCTGCCACCCCCAACACGCTGCACCACCCACACCCCACCTCCCCACCCTGCCACCCCCAACACCCTGCACCACCCACACCCCACCCCCCCACCCTGCCACCCCCAACACCCTGCACCACCCACACCCCACCTCCCCACCCTGCCACCCTGCCACCCCCAACACCCTGCACCACCCACACCCCACCTCCCCACCCTGCCACCCCCAACACCCTGCACCACCCACACCCCACCTCCCCACCCTGCCACCCCCAACACCCTGCACCACCCACACCCCACCTCCCCACCCTGCCACCCCAAACACCCTGCAACACCCACACCCCACCTCCCCACCCTGCCACCCCCAACACCCTGCACCACCCACACCCCACCCCCCCACCCTGCCACCCCCAACACCCTGCACCACCCACACCGCACCTCCCCACCCTGCCACCCCCAACACCCTGCACCACCCACACCACACCTCCCCACCCTGCCACCCCCAACACCCTGCACCACCCACACCCCACCTCCCCACCCTGCCGCCCCCAACACCCTGCACCACCCACACCCCACCTCCCCACCCTGCCGCCCCCAACACCCTGCACCACCCACACCCCACCTCCCCACCCTGCCACCCCCAACACCCTGCACCACCCACACCACACCTCCCCACCCTGCCACCCCCAACACCCTGCACCACCCACACCCCACCTCCCCACCCTGCCACCCTCAACACCCTGCACCACCCACATCACACCTCCCCACCCTGCCGCCCCCAACACCCTGCACCACCCACACCACACCTCCCCACCCTGCCACCCCCAACACCCTGCACCACCCACACCACACCTCCCCACCCTGCCGCCCCCAACACCCTGCACCACCCACACCACACCTCCCCACCCTGCCACCCCCAACACCCTGCACCACCCACACCCCACCTCCCCACCCTGCCACCCTCAACACCCTGCACCACCCACACCGCACCTCCCCACCCTGCCACCCCCAACACCCTGCACCACCCACACCCCACCTCCCCACCCTGCCACCCCCAACACCCTGCACCACCCACACCGCACCTCCCCACCCTGCCACCCCCAACACCCTCCATCACCCACACTGCACCTCCCCACCCTGCCACCTCAACACCCTGCACCACCCACACCACACCTCCCCACCCTGCCCTGCCCAAAACGCCAAACCCTTTAACACCACACTTGTCTTCTCTTGTAGTCATTGGCGAATGAATTACGACTATGTGAGGTGGCAGGAGGCTTTGGCTAACAGTGCTTCGACGTCTCAAACCTGTTCCTCAGTGTGCGTGCATTCAAACGCAGCCTTTGTTTTCTGGAAGAGCTGAGACGCGCATAGATGGCGCGGTGGGTGACGCAGCCGGTGTCGTACACACGCAATGAACGCGTCGGTAGTGCCGCCCCGGGCCCTGCTTGGCCCCGAGTCAGAATCACATGTGCTGCGAGGCTATCAGCGTACGACGGTACCGCGAGGGCACCGCGACGAGCACGGCTTGGACGCGCCGGTGACGCATAAAACAAAAACGGCGGAAGTACAAGAGCTGAGCCCCCCCCACCTCCCCCCCTCTTGCACTGCCCCGTCACTCTCCCGCCACAGCAATGGCGTTTGGAGGTGGAGCAGAAGAAGGCGGTGTTCTTCGCGATGGAGGACGAGCTGCAGCGGGCGCGCTCCGTCAACGAGCGCATGCTGCGCAGCCATGGCGAGCGCGACGTCGACCTCGACCAGCAGCGGCACAAGGTGGAGCAGCTGCTGGAGCGCTGGGCCGGCGTGCAGACGCAGATCGACTACAGGTGCGGCTCCGGGCGCGAGCGCAGCGGCTGAAACACGTGTGCGAGTGCCGCCCCCTCTTGTGTGGTGTGTGCGCCGTGTGTGTGTGTATGTTGAACTTTTTTCGCAACTCGAAACATATGTTATGGTCATTATTTATTCATTAGAATGAATACGTGTGCACTTCCTGAGAATGGATTAATTTGATAACTGACACACCATCTCTGAAAGCCGACACGAGGGCTCTTGGAGCGTCTCCTCCATGTGACAATCCCTCGTTGGCTGGGGGGTTGGCACATTTTCCATCGACCAAACCCACACGCATTTCTCAGTCAGCCTAGGTCTCTCAAAACTGTGCAGCACACTTTATTAAAGTTTAACACAGAACCACCAGATCTTGGTACCAATCGATTATGGGCACCCGAGCACGTATGTATGTATGTTGAACTTCATTCGCACGTACATAGCCAACCGTGCTAAGCGGAGGTGCCAGGGGAAGGACAACAAACCAAACACAAAAAGTGATTCTACAGAAATGAGTTTTCAATCTAGATGTAAAAGTACATAGATCCAGTGGCTTGCTAATATCTGAAAGAAGAGCATTCCAGATGGCTGCAGAAGCGCATCTGAAAGCGCGCGATGCAGTGACCGTCTTTATTCGATGGGCAGCCAAAAGCCGCTGCGAGGATGACGGGAGTTCGCGTGACGGTTTATGCTTCTTCACGAGATCAACAAGGTTTTGTGGTTCATTTGTGGTCAGGACTTTGTGTGTAATGAGTACGAACACAGGGCGCAAGAGCTCAGTCAACCCCCCTACCCCCCCAATTCAGTTCATGCTGAGGGGTCGATAAAAAAATTACAACTTTGTGGGGAAGTCAAAGCTGGTTGTCATATGGATTGACTCACGCTTTCTGTCGCCGGCTCAGAGCTGTATGGAGGAGGTGAGCACCGCCTCAATGCTCATATAAGCCGGAAACCACTTGGACTTTGGATGTTTGTTTTAACGAATGAATTAATGAATGCATCACTGTAGACTGAGGGAGCTGGACAACCTGGCCAAGCTTCTGCGCAGCTATCGAGAGGGCTCGGGCTGGCTACTCACGTGGGTGGACGACACGCTCAAGCTTCAGGAGAAGCTGCAGGCCACCAAGATAGAGGATGTCCGAGGGCTGGAGGAGCAGCTCGATAGAGAGAAGGTGAATCACATTGTCCCCTCCGACGTGGAATTGACAACACTTTGCTCGGGAAGTCTGACGGATGTGTAGGTGTGTACGCTGAACCTCTTTCGCACCATACGTAGCCAACCGTGCTAATCGGAGGTGCAGGCGGGGGTGAAAGGATAACAAAGTAAACACTAATAAAGTAATTTTAAATAAAGGTGAGTTTTCAATCTATATTTAAAAGTGGATAGCTCCAGTGGCTTCCTAATATCGGAAGGGAGAGCGTTCCAGACGGTCACGGAAGCGCATCTGAAAGTGCACGAAAATGGACACAGCCCGATGCTCGTTTGAGCATGGGGTTGACACTGAATTGGTCACGGTTGTGATCGGCATCAACAGTGAGTTTGATTTTATTCCCTCTCTTGCAGAGCCTGGCCAATGACATTGAGAAGAACCAGATCAAGGTGGATGAGAGCCAGAAGTCTTCCGACCAGTACCACACTGCAGCTAAGGTATGGCCTGCACACATATTAGATTCAAGGGAGAATTAAGGCATATCGTAGTGGTCAATGAATGTTAAACTTGCATACCATGAATGAGCAGTGCATTTAATAATTGTCGGTGAAAAGTCCACCATATCCTGTGGATTGTACCAAATGTTTTGGAAATGCAATGCTAACCAGTTTTGACTTCGGCAGTTGTATAAAAGCATTTGTGTCACTTGAGTCGGTTGGCTCAGCATCAGTTGAAGAGTCTCTTCTTAGCAGTTCTGGATGATGGCTTCGTGGATTGGCAACGTGAGGAATATTGTTTCCACTGCGTTGTGTCTCCCCAGGAATACGAGATGCACCTTCTCATATACAAGGCCACGGCAGACACTCACGGAGGTCTCAAGTCTCCCATCAAGCGCCGCCGCCTGGTCTCCACGTCCGACTCTGTGCTGCAGGAGGTAACGCGCGTGCGAAATGAACAAACACACCCACAAATAAGGCCCCCCGTGTAGCGTTGACATACATTTGGAGCAAGTGCTGTTTACTATGAAGGCCGGCAAGGCACACAAGGGAATGGGTGGCCAGCACAATGCCCAGTCGCCTTTGTCTACTGAGTAGCGATGTTTACACACCGTACCGAGTACTCATTTGAGGTTGAGTCAACTTAGGGGAGGCCCAAGAATGGTTCAGATATTAATCACTGATATTGGTCATGAGCAGGAATCTAACACGGGTCGCCGGGTTTGTAGCTCGGCGTGTCAACCACTGCAACCACTGTTCCCCACACACACAAACACACTTGTACACACATGATAATACTATTTAATTGTTTTATATTTTTATTATTTGTTTATTTCCCTTCTACGTGACTTTATCCGAAAGAACCAAGAATATGAATCCCTGCAGTCACGAAAGCTTTAAATAAAAAAATAATATTTAAGTTGCTTCTAAACCTGCCTCTCCTAGTTTCTGGCTTGTATGGTATATATTAACAGCCCGCTTGTGGTTAACCTTCATGTCAAATATAGTACTCATGTCAGTTTGTTGCTAAATGAGCCAATAGTGGTGCTAAAGCTTAGTGTGCTACCGTGATACAGTTTTGTTCCCATGAATGACATGGTATTGAGTAGGGAAGAACTCCCCTTGTCTGTTACCCTGTCACTCACGACTTCTGTTGTACATGGGAGTCGTTATCAGCAGTAATTTTGTTCCAATTATCCGAAATTAGCCACCATATTTTCCCGTGCATTAGGGGTGTTAAATATCTCCGCGGATAACTGGATCCGTGATATTGCTCCGGCACATCACCAAGAACGAGTGGAGTCCTACCGTAAGCCGTAATGGACAAAACTTTGCTCATCAATAAAAATCTAATTTCAACCATAATGGACACAAGAGGATTGTTAAATTCAACCTCAAGCATATTTAAATGAGAACTCATCACCTATTGTAATCAAGTGGATGCGCCACAAATTATAATGAGAAAAGCTGAGGGTGCAGTCCTGAGGGATATAAATTTGAGACGTGAAAAATTTTGAGTGGTGATCTTATAAAACGTGGGGAAAATTCCGCTTGAACGATGAGTTCAATATCAGACGTAGCAATGAATATAGCCGTGTGGACACGGAGTGTGTGGGCGATGTGCGCCTACCAGGCTGTAACAGCCTTTCGTGTGTGTCTGATGTCTCGCGCTCACAGTACATGACTCTACGGACCCGCTACACGGCCCTTGTCACCATGACAAGCCAATACGTCAAGTTCCTCAACGAGACCCTCAAACGCCTACAGGATGAGCAGGTTAGCGGATGTACACTCGCACATGTATTACGTACTTATGATGAACTTCTTTACCATACTAAGTAGCTGACCGTGCTAATCGGAGGTGCGGGGGGAACAACAAAAAAAACACTGAAAGCAGTTATAGTAATAGGGTTTTACCCTTTTAACTGGCAGCAAAACTGACACCTTTATATAAGGGATCATGTTGTCAGTAACCACAACACTTAGCGGTCAAAATGCAAACAAAAAGACAACTTTGATAATGAATGCACTGTCCTTGAAATTGATTGGTCCACACCCGAGACAGCTTTTCTTCGAGCCTAGTCTCACATGGTGTTGGACCAGATAACTGAAAGCAGTTACGAGGAAATCTGAATCAGCTTGCAGCATATGCATATGCGATGTTTCACTCCAAGCACTTGGACTTTCATGAGACCTGAATGAGTTGGTTGAAGATGCTCCCAGCACGTGAAACGAGGACCATGGGGCATGGTTGGCTACTTATGGTGCGAAATAAGCCAATTGAACATCAGAGAGCAACCCACTTACACGATAGTTGAGCAAAACCCAGTCGCCGGTTTCTGGCACCACTTGTTCGGCAATTGCTAACCACGCACCTCCGATTAGCACGGTTGGCTACCTACGGCGCGAAAGAAGTTTGATGTACATATGCGCACCCAATAGCGCCCCCTCTCTTAACGAGCGCCGTCCGTGTGCGCGTGCGAGGACAGAAGCGCTCGGAGAAGGTCACGCAGCAGCAGGCGGAGCACACCCAGCGCGAGGTGGACACGGCCATCTTCAAGCTGACGGAGATCCAGGTGGAGCTGGAGCGCCAGCGGCAGCTGTCGGACGTGTACGCGCAGGAAAAGGTGCAGGCGGAGCGCGAGGCCGACAAGCTGCGGCGCATCGTCCAGGAGGAGGCGGAGAAGCGGCGGAACACCGTCGAGGCGGCCGCCGTCCAGAAACAGGCCATCGAGCAGGAGATGGTGGAGCTCAAGAACCGCTCCGAGTCGGAGGTGCGCCGGCAGGCCACCCTGGTGGAAGAGGTGCTCACGCAGCGGCGTCAGATCGAGGAGGAGATACGCATCATCCGCGTCGAGTTCGAGAGGACGGCGCGGCAGAAGGCCGATGCGGAGGGCGAGCTAGCGCGCCTCCGGGCCCTGGCCGAGGAGGCGGCCAAGCAGAGGCACCACGCCGAGCAGGAGGCAGCACGCTACCGCAAACTCGCCGAGGAGGAGGCAAGCAAGAAGAAGCTGGCCGAGGAGGAGCTCCAGAAGAAGGTCGCGGCGGAGCAGACGGCCGCCAACCAGAAGAGGCAGGCCCTGCTCGAGGTCGAGCGCCTGAAGAAGATGGCGGAGGAGGCCCAGAAGAAGAAAGATCAGGCGGAGGAGGAGGCCAAGAAGCAGATCCGCCTGGCGAAGGAGGTGGCGCAGCAGAGCATCGAGGTGGAGATCCAGGCGCGGAGGGTGTCCTTCGTGGAGAAGGTCAACGAGCTGGAGCAGAGCCGCCAGCAGGAGCACACGATGATGACGGCGCTGCAAGAGGAGTCGCAGCGGCGCAAGAAGATGGTGGAGGAAGCAGAGAGGGCTCGGCAGGCGGCCGAGATGGAGTTGGAAAAGTGGCGGCAGAAGGCCGACGAGGCGCTGCGTCTGAAGCTTCAGGCCGAGAAGCAGGCCCAGCAGAAGAGTCTGGCTCTAGAGGAGGCGGAGAAACAGAAGTCGGAGGCCGAGAGGGAAACGTCCAGGAGGACCCAGTCGCAGGAGTCTACCCTGCGCCAGAAGGTCATGGCGGAGGAGGAGCTGGAGAGGCAGAAGGCCATCGCCGAGGAGACATCGCAGCAAAAGTTGCAGGCGGAGCAGGAGCTCATTCGCCTTCGCGCCATCATGGCCGACTCAGAGCAGCAGAAGTCCCTGCTGGACGAAGAGCTGATGCGCCTCAAGGCAGAGGTCGCTGAGGCGGTGCGCCAAAAGAAGGTGCTGGAGGAGGAGCTCGCGAAGGTTCGGGCCCAGATGGAGGAGCTGATCAAGCTGAAGCACAAAACGGAGGAGGATAACAAGAAGAAATCCAAAGAGGAGAAAGAGAAAACGCAAAAAATAATGGAGGAAGAGGCTTTGAAGATGAAGGAGCTTGCAGAGGAGGCCGCTCGTCTGAGGGCTATGGCTGACGAAGCCATGCGCCAGCGACATCTGGCAGAGGAGGAAGCAACTCACCAACGGGCGGAAGCAGAGCGCATTCTCAAGGAGAAACTGAACGCCATCCAGGAGACCAGCAAGCTCAAAGCAGAGGCTGAGATCACCCTGAAGGAGCGCGAGAGGGAAAATGAGCGGCTGAAACGGCTCGCTGAGGAAGAGGCTCACCAGCGACGGATGCTGCAAGAGCAGGCGACCCAGCAGAAGCAAGCAATTGAGGAGGAAATGGCAAGAATCCGACAGCAATCTGACCTTGAAATGCAGCGCCAGAAGGCTTTAGTGGACGAGACGATCATTCAACGCCGATTGATAGAGGAAGAGATACATATTTTGAAGATCGAGTTTGAAAAGGCGTCCAAGGGAAAGCTCGACCTTGAAGGAGAGCTGAAGAGGCTGAAGATAATGGCTGATGAAACAACCCGGCTCAAGGAAAATGCCGAAGAAGAGGCGAACAAGCAGAAAAAAATAGCGATGGATGAAACTATGCGCAAGAAAGAGGCTCAGGAAGAAGTGTCCCGCAAGACGATCGCCGAGCAGCAGGCTGCGCAGCAGTGGAAGGCAGCCATGGAGGAGCTGGAGAAGCTCAGGAGGAAGGCGGATGAGGCGATGATGCTGAAACAGAAGGCCGAAGATGAGGCAGCACGTCAGGTGAAGTTGGCGCATGAAGCGGCGCAGACGCGTATCAACGCTGAGGAAATGGCACGCCAGGCGGCTCTGGCCGAGAAGGACGCCGAGATGAAGAAGCTCCGGCAGAGAGAGGAGAAGACGGTGGAGCAACTTCGCATGGAAGCCGACCGCACGCGCAAAGCGGCGGAGCAGGCGGAGAAGGCCCGGATCGCCGCCGAGAAGGAGGCCAGCATGATCCGGCAGCAGGCCGAGGAGGCTCTGGTGCTTAAGCTTCGGGCGGAGCAAGAAGCCGAGCTGAAGGCCCGCCTCCAGGAGGAGGCGGAGAAGCACAGGCGTGAGGCAGAGCACGAGGCGGGGAAGCGCACTCAGGCCGAGGAGGCTGCGCTGCGCCTGAAGGCCTTGGCCGAGGCCGAGGCGGAGCGGCAAAGGCGCATCGCTGAGGAGACGCAAAAACAGAAGTCGTTGGCCGAACAGGAGCTCACTCGTCTGCGGACGATTCTGGAGGACAGCGACCACCAAAAGTCAATTCTGGAGGAGGAGCTGATGAGAATGAAAGGTGAAGTGGCGGAGGCGATCAGGCAGAAAGGCCTCGTGGAAGAGGAGCTGGCTCGTCTCAAGGCCCAGATGGAAGAGCTGCTCCGGCTGAAGGCACAGAATGAAATGGACAACCGCAAGCGCGCTGCCAACGATTCCGAGAACATGAAGAAGATGCTCGAGGAGGAGGCGGCCAAGATGAAGCAACTCGCCGAAGAGGCCGGCCGGCTCCGCACCAACTCGGACGAGTCGGCGCGGCTCCGCAAGCAAGCGGAGGAGGAGCTGGCGCAGCAGAGGGCTCTTGCCGAGCGTCTGGCGCGCGAGAAGCTGCAGGCCATCCAGGAGGCCAGCCAGCTGCGCGCCGAGGCCCAGGCGGTGCAGCGGCAGTTCGACCAGGCGCAGGAGAGGGCCAAGAAGCTGTCGGAGGACAGGACGGAGATTCAGAAGAAGCTCGAGGTGGAGACTCAGACGTTCCAGCGCACACTGGAGCAGGAGAGGCAGAGGCAGCACGAGGTGAACATCGAGGCGGAGCGGCTGCGGATGCTCGTGTCGGAGCTGACGAAGGAACGCGCGCGCGCCCAGGAAGAGTCCATCAGCCTCAAGTCACAGATGGACGAGATCAACTCCAAGAGGGTGTCGGCCGAGCGGCACGCCCAGGAGAAGATCCAGCTCCTGCAGAAGATGGACGTCCAGAAGTCCCAGACGGATAGCGAGGCATCGAGGTTGAGGGCCACGATTTCTGAGCTGGAGCGTGAGAGGGAGAGGCTGAAGAGGGAGGCAGAAAAGGCCCATACCGAGGCTCACGAGGTAGGACGACTTGGCATCACCATCACCGCCATCAACATCACCACCACTATCACCACCATCATCATCACCATCATCATCCTCACCAATATCACCACCATCATCACCATCATCATCACCAACATCACCATCACCACCATCATCATCACTATCATCATCACCAACATCACTACCATCACCACCACCATCATCATCATCATCACCACCACCATCATCAACATCATCACCAAAATGATCACCAACATCACCACCACCATCGACCTTGTCTTTAATATTACAATCACTCTCATCTCCTTCAATGCTATTTACATATTTGTTGTCAAGATCAATCTCTTTATTAATTGTTATCACCTGAACGTTGTATTATTGATGGACCCAAATTAAAAGAACAAGATACGTTGTCTTGTTTATAGTTTAGATCTGTGTAATCATATTTTAGTAGTAATGGAAGTGCATTATTACTTCATTTATTTGTCCAGGATAGAAACTCAGTCAATCTCGGGATTTGTTTTCGTCAAAGTTCTGCATTCGGGTGTTTGGCTCAATCAATGTTAAGGAGATTAAATTATACACAAAGGGATGACATTCAAACAGGTTCACAAACCCGTTTGCTGTACAACCTATCAGGGTTTGGAGTTTCACAGATCTATTTTATCCACCAACCCTTGTAGCTTTGCATTCACATACAGTGATGCATTTGAGTATATGGGAACCCTTAAAAATCCCATTCTGACAATTACTTTAGCGCTATATTCACGACATTCGAGCGTAATAGCACACATGCAATATTATATACTGAACGTACGTTGTCTTCTGTTGTGGCTTTGTTTTTGCACTTGTTGGGAACTTCTTTCGCGGTTCTTTGCCTTCCCTATTTCCCCACCTTTGCCACATTCTGAAATCCGAACGCCGTACTCACTTACTTATACCGCGATTGCACTCTGTAATACGCAGGGCGCAAATCTGACCTGTGCACATTTGCAGAGCGTGTTGGCGAAAACCAGCAGTAATACAGTGGTCAGGTTTCCCATTCTTTCATGGCGATTTTAAACAAACTATTTGGTGATGCTGCACTTGCAGGAATGCACAAGCACAAATAGCAATTGAAAAAAAATACGTTTGTCAATAGCACTGAGTTTAAAATTAAGAAAAAATATTCAATTGGCAATGTTTCGGGGGCTTGCCTGTCTTAGTTTACGTGCTATGAAGGATGATTGCCCAAAACGTCGCTTGTTGTATACATTTTTAGCAATTTAAGGCCGCAGTGTTATTGGCGAAAATGCTAATGTACGTGTACGAAAATTTGATCGTTGGCACTTGCGTCTGCCGTGCTTTATAAATTCTGTATTCCTTAAAATCTTATTGGCATTATATTATCACAGTACGTTGCACAGCTCAGAACATTGCCACATGTTTTGCACGTTGCATGGTTTAATATCTCATACAATTCAGAACGGTTTATCTTTTTAACCCTTTTAAATGCTGTACCATACTTTGGCTTCCAAACTGGTTCCTTGTCATAGACAATGTAATTTATATGCGTACCTTATAAACAGTACGCAGCAAATGTTCTCTACGCGCAGAAACATTCATTGAAATTACATTCTTTTTGACGCCAAAAAAAGACAAGTTGGAACGCAGGAACACCAACTTGTTCAACCGTGTGACTTTTAACACCTTCCAACCTGGGGACTGAACTTAACCGCAAAGTGTGTTCGCGAGAGGCATCTGCTTGAAAGGTGACTTGAATGCACTTTTCCAGTGGATCCATTTCTCTTGCTTCCGTAAGTGCAGGATCCGTGCTGGCTTCGGCAAGCAATTTGTCGATGTGATCTGCATGTGAAGAGGGGGGCATTTTGCTCGAAAGACAAGCAACTGCTATAACCCGCCCTTGTTGGCATCGGCTACAGCGGCGTTCTTCAATCGCAAGGCCTGCGGGCCACTTGCGGCCCCTGGTGGCCTTTAGTGCGGCCCCCTTACGTGCGGCCCACCGACTAATAGACAACACGTGTGACAACACGTGTGACAACACCCCCCCCCATCATAATGCTGTCAAATCCAGTGGTTGCAAATGTATGGCGGCATCTCACACTGATGTCTTATCGGTGAAAGTGCCCCCCCCTCCACCCCCTGAAAACGAGTGAAGAACACTAAGCTATGCGCTTATCAGATCAATATCAACCACCTTTGCAAAATATTGCAAAGGCTATCGCCAGGCTGCTGCTGTGCCGATTTTAGAATAAAACAAAGTGTTGTCAGAGCTTAAATGCAAGAATGATTGTAATGTGCAACTTATTCCATTTTATAAAATAGCAGCAGGTGAGAATGCAAACCGAGTTCAAGGAACAGACGGCTCAGCTGTGCCGGGTGAATGAAACCGAAGCCAGGAAGCAAAAAGCGATGTCAGATCAAGAATTTGGCCGCCTCAAGACACAGCTAGAAGATCAGGAAAGGCAGAAGGGCCTCATCAGTCAACAAGTTAATGAAATGAATGCCGCCTTGACTAAAGCGCAGCAAGAAAAGTTGGCCACCGAGAAGACTCTTGAAGGGCTGAGGGTTAAGTCAAAATCGGAGGAGGCTGCACGCGTGAAACTGGAGTCACAGCTCCGCGAAATGTCAGCGCGGAATCAGAAGGTCGAGGCGGAGCTGAAGAAGTGTTTGAGGGACGCAGAGCAGGAAGGTGCAACGGCAGAGGCAGCAGGCCGAGGAACTTCTGCGCCAGAAGAATCAGATCGAGGAGCAGTTGTCCTCCGCCACTAAATCCATGCAGCAAGACGCCACTGCTAGGCAAACGAAAGCAGTGGAGGAGAAGATAATGAGAACAGTCCATTGAGAAGCACACGCGTCAGAAGGAAGCCGACGACAGGATGATATCGACGCTCAAAGAGCAACTGGAAATGACCGCAGATTTAAAAGAGAGACTGGAGAAGACTGTCTTGGAAACGAAGATGCAAATCGAGGGCACACTTAAGGAAAAGGCTGAATGTGACAGAAAATGCAAATTGCACACAGAACAGATCGATTCCTTGACCGCTCGCTTGCAGCAAGCACTGCTACTGAATCAGGAGAAAGGCAAGACGGAACAAGAGGCTGTCAGGCTAAGAGATGAAACCACGGTGAAGTTGGATAAGCTTAAGTTAGATCACGATCAAGAACTTATGAGGGTAAAGCTGGAAGCACAACAGCAGGCCCTAAAACAAGAAGCGAACTTGAAGCAGAATTTAGAGAGGAAGGACTTAGAGTTGAAATATGGGCTCGAGGAAAAAGAAACATTAGCTCAGGAACTCAAGATGGTCACAGGTAAATTAGACATCCTTGAGAAGACCAAGGCACAAACAGAAAAGACGATGGTGGAGCTAAAAAATAAAGCGGAGAAGTCAGAATTGGAAAAGGCCACAATGGCCATGGACGCTGCCAAGCAGAAGACATTAATAGACCAATTGAAGGTGCAGGTCCAGAGAGTGGAGGTGGAAATGAAGGCGAGGCAAGTAGCCGAGAGAGAGGGAGCGCGCAAGTGCGGAGAGCTGGAGCAGGAGGTTGCCAGGCTACAGGAGGGTGCGAGGGATGCGGAGCGCCGGCAGAAGAGCGCCGTTGAGCAGGAGGACCTCCAGTCGACTGCAGTGGCAGCAGGAGATGGAGGCCAAGCTGCACCGCAAGGACAGCCAGCTGAAGGAGCTGGGGGCTCAGAGAGATGCTGCGCAGAGGGCGTACGAGGAGGCGATGGCGTTGAAGAGGGACACGGAGTTGGAACTGGAACGGCAAAGGAGACGGGTTCAGGAGGACGAGACGAAGTGGGAGGCACTGAGGATGGAGGCTGTCGGAGCAAATCGTGTGGCCGAGGAAAGATATGCGGAGAATCAGAGGTTGCTGGATGAGGTTTCGCAGCAGAAGCTCACAGTAGAGGTACTCGCATCCCGACTCAAGGCAGACATGGCCAAGTGTTTGGGGTGAAAGAAAAGAGTTGAATCGGCTCGCATTTAAAACACGCCGTCTTTGTTTATACAGTGATGCGGCGTTCTGTATATCACAACACAGATGTCACTATACGTTGAAGTAGTAAGCCAATTTTCAACGGGCTCTAAAATACGGTACTTGAGAGTTTGTCCTCCAACATCGATGAGAAACACGACGTTCATTGTTGCACCTGCTTGCGGCTACAGCATGGATTTGTTTTTATCCAAGTTGAATGGAGAAAACAAACGAGCGTCACGCGTGCTATAATGGCTTGAATTTCTGAATACAGCTCACGTATTCGAATGAAAAAAATATATACATGCTTACATTTTACAAGTTGAACATTTGACAATTTAATCGGATGGTAAAAAGTGTTTTAGTCTCTGGGACCTTTTTGCCAGTATCAAAATTATTGAAAAATAAGAATAGGCTTCGCCCTTTCTGACAATGAAGCAGAAGGTGTTAAGATGTTCAAACACCAAATAGATATCCCGATTGCAAGGCATTGAGTCTGCATTAGCTACACGCACTTGTGGCAAAAGTTGCAAAGAAAACGTGCTCTGATCATATATGCAATTGTCTTTTAAACTACAGCAGAGGCAGCCTTCATGATGGCCTTGTCTCACCAGTGTTAGACCAGAGAACGGCAACAGGCGAACAGTCCAGTAATAAATGTTGATTTAAAGCTTTCGTGACTGCAGGGATTCGTATTATTGGTTCTTTCGGTAAAGTCACGATGATTGCTTGTGTTGCAGTCGAAACGTCGTGAGAATTTGTATTGTTTAATATTTCTATCATTTTATTATTTCCTTTCTACGTGACTTTACCGAAAGAACCAAGAATATAGTACAGTAATAGCTCAAGTTGCGCAGTTATATCTATGGGACCTTTTTTAAGTCTGTGATTACACTGGTCAACAAAAAAAAAACATTTTTTTCTGGCCTGGACTTTTGCAGCTGTTTTAGACTAAATTCAGGGTGCTGATTCCAAATCTGATCTCAGATTTGCTCTATCACATCTCATTTTATGCTATAGGCATACCCCATTTTCATTGATTTTACTCGAAATTAACTCTGTCACTTATGATTGCAGGTTGTTGCGAGTCAGTGACTGCTTTAGTGTTAAAATATGGTGCTGTATTCTTAGGATAGTGTTTTTATAATATCATTTTATGTAGATATCCACATTTATTTAATATTTTTCTTCTGCAATTTTATTGAAAATGCAATATTTGATATCTCAAAAACCTGATGTGATAGACAAAAATTGATGCCAGATATGGAATCAGCACCCCAAAATTACCTTAAAACCGTTGGAATACCTTATGCCAGAAAAAGTGTGTTGACCAGTGTTATCAATCAGTGCCAGGCACACTGGTTCAAAGTGAGTGGGCACAATGTACAGAGTAAGCAACACAAAATACTGAATTATACTAAAGTCGCACAGGATGTGGCAAAGTCAAATCTCTGTTGGTGTGCCTACTTGTTTTTAGGTCAGATACGCACGCAATGTTCATCTTTCAATTTTAAACTACCTGCGTCGAAACAATGTGTTCACGTGCACTCTTCGGGGATTTTTAACTGGCAAGCCTGACACAAAGCAAACGCATTCCTCGTGTTGCCAATCACTTTTTTTTCTAATCAGAGATTATGAAGCAACATTTGTTGAATATACAGTAACACCCCCGTTAACGTCTATTAACAATACATAGGCAAGTTTCCCAAATAAAATGCATTTTTTGGTAAGTTCAATATAACATAGTAGCTATTTTCAATATTTTCCCAAAAATAATCATGATGCCCTCTTGCGAAGCTAGTTGCATACAGGGGCAATACTCTGGTTTTCCGGGAGAAAGCCAGAGTTCAGCTGAGACTCCATGTGTTCTGTTTTTATGCGAGACGGTGTTTACCCCTTCGCACGTGTGAGTTCTCTCTGAATGCTTATAATGCCGATAACACAATATTAGAGAGGTCCACAGAGTTTCGATTTAAAGCTTTCAGTGACTGCAGGGATTCATCGTCTTGGTTCTTTCGGTAGAGTCACGTAGAAGGGAAATAATAAATAATAACAAATACAATATAAAATAATTCTCACGACGTTTCGGCCACAACGCAAGCAGACGCTGTCTTTCCGACAGACCTGTTCTTCATCTGAGGACGGCTGCTTGCATTGTGGCCGAAACATCGTGAGAATTGTATTTTATTATGTTGTATTTTTATTATTTTATTATTTCCATTCTACGTGACTTTACCGAAAGAACCAAGTAGAGGTCCACAGAGCTTGGGCAATTGTTGGCGCCGGCTCGTCTGGAGTCTCTCCTTGCGCCTCTGAGACGTTCTCTCTCACTCGACGAGAGCGAGCGAATACCGTGCAGCGGTGGCACATTACGCGTTGAAAGTATTACCGTAAAGGCCTCCAAACACCATGTGGGTCATGGGGGGTTGTTGGGGAATGTTGGTGAAGAGTTAAAGCCAGCGCTTGGTCGGATTGAACTCAGTTGGCTGGGTTCAGTGTGCACTGGTCCTACCATGCCACTGCTCTACCCCTTGTAAATAGTGGATGAGGAGCATTTTTTTAATCAATTTGTTAAAACTATAAACATTTGTATAAACGTAATGACAACTCCGTGTGCGTCCATTTATAAATACCGTATGGATTATGTTGGCTTTTTAAACAAATGTTGCTTTGAGAATCTTCAAAGAAATGCAGAGGGCCTGAGCATACGCAGGTAGTGTTAAAATGCGAAATTCCATTATTCTAAACATCTAACGTTACCGGCACGTGTTCATAAAAAAACTCAAATGGCCATAATTTACAGTTCTCTATTCTGAAACGTGTCTGACCTAAAATCAAGTGGTGTCTTTTTTAGTCCTGTCCGTTGCCTTTTCTTCTTCTTGGTTTTCACTTCACTGTTGCACCTTGCACTTTCTTCCCTGTTCCCGTTTCTTGACTTTAGTTACTGCGAATTGAGGAGTCGCCGCAGGTGAAATGTGCCCAACTGGTTTGGTGTCATGCGTTTCGAATGTTGCCGCCCAGATTCAGCTTTCCCCGCAGACTCCTGGGTGTTGGCACTGCTGCAAACGGCGCATGACGCTGTGTGTTGTAAATTACTGAAGCTGTGATTCTTGCACACTTCATCTTCTTCTTTATAAGAGTAGCCCTATCCTCTTCAGAAGAAGTGAGGTATGGACAGGAGAACTCCTCTTATCCACAAAAATTTGAGAGTTCTATTACACTAACAGTTGTTTTTTATATTTTACCAGGTAAGGCCCACTGAGCTATGTAGCTCTTTGTCAGAAGCGGCATGGCAACAAATGATAGCTCAACGAAGTGGCTTATCACGTGGACATTTATATCAGCCAAATACTCTAAATGCATGTTTATAAATGTGGAGGTAAAAACCGGAGGACCCGGGGGAAAATCCACATGACCACGGGGAGAACATTCAAACTTCAAATACATAGGCGTCAGGGTTTAGATTGAACCCACAACCTTGTGTATACCAGGCGAGGTAGTTCATATCTCGCCACAGCAGCATCCTTCGAAATTGTGGATCCCAGCTCAATATTGCGTAACCCATTACTCCACTATCCGCAGATAATCGTCAATAATTATAATTGGAAGAATAGGGCTGATTATGATAATAAAAGTGTCCGTAGATCCAAGGTCCCCTGTAGATAACAGGAATTGTGGATAATAGGGAAAACAGATAAGAGGAGTTATCTTATGTTTGTGCTTGAAGCTGCGACTGCTGCACCCTACCTCCCTTCCCATCACGCCACCAGCTCGGCAAATGCTTTGGAAGCCATTGATCACAAGATCGCTAAATGCTAATGCGCTTATTGCTGTTGTAACGTTTGTGGTCACGCTGTACGGATTCGGATATGCAGGCACTGGCACTGAGCGAGTTTTATTCCACTATAAAAAAAACATTTTTAGAAACATTACATTTTGAGTTTCAAGAATTACCATGTACGAGCAACAGTTTTTTACATTTAAATTTCTTACTCACATTTTATATTATTATCATCTTCAGTTCAGACGAATATTAATTTGCTTTACACGTTTGGTTACTATTCATAGATTTGCTCATTAATAACGTTTATGAATATTAAGTGTTTTTTACAAGTGCTGTGCCTGATCCCAAACTAGCCAGTATAATTAACGAAAAGACTGCACTGCATTAACACAGGAGTTTCCATTTCATTAATTTATTTTTCACGTATCAATTATTCAATTCCGTATCTTACTGTACAACATTTTGCTGCTCAATGCCGTTCGACTAACACACTGAGCAGTCGAAAACATAACCACATTTCCCCAAACTAAACTCGCTCTCTTTTGCCCCCGCGCGCAGACGGTGAAAAGAGAGGAGACGGAAATCACGCACAAGATTGAGATTATGCAGAAGCAGCTGAAGGAGGACAGCGTGAAATACCAGCGAGAGCGAGAGTCCATGCTGCAGAAGCAGCGGATCCTTGATGAGGAGAAGGCGCGGCTGGAGAGGACCCTGGAGACGGAGCTAGGCAAGGCCAGGACGCAGCTTGAGGCCGAGGCCCGCATGCGCAAGCAGCAAGAGGAGGAGAATGCTCGCCTGCGAGCTCAGATGGAGGAGACCCTCCGCAAGCAGAAGCTGTACGAGGACGAGTTCCAACGGCGTCAGCGCGAGGCCTTGGACCTGGAGAAGACCAGGTCGGACGAGGAGAAGAAACGCGCCGAGCAAGAGAACAAGGAGCTCCTCAAGAAGCTCAAGAGTCTGGAGGAAGAGACGAAGAGGCAGAACTGAGCAGAAGAAGCTGGAGCTGGAGAAGCTGGAGCAGGAGAGGAAACTTGAGATCCAAAGGCTTGAGGAGCAGAGGAGGATTGAGCTGCAGAGAATTGAAGAGCAGAAGAAGATCGAGATGCTAGCGTTGATAGAAAAGACGAACGCAACCCAAACCAATGGGGAAATCGAAGTGGATAAAGCCAAAACAAATGGAACCAGCAGAAGTTCCACGACCATAGAGACAACATACATGTATTCTGAGATAGAAACACAAAAGGAATTCAAAAATGCTATGATGGAAATTCCTTGTGGACAATTTTCTGGCAAGCAAATGTCAGTGTGGGAGGTGTTGTACAACACAAGTTTGATCAATGAGAATAAGAGAAATGAGCTAATTTCGCAGTACCGAACCGGAAAAGTGACCATCAAACGCATAATCATCATAGTCATTGAGATCATAACCAGGATCACATCATTTAGCTTCGACGGACTGCGTCGCAAAGTGACGCTGCAGGAGCTAATGAGCTCTGGCCTCATCACTCAAAAAACTGCAAATGAACTCGAATCTGGTACGACGTCAGTTGAGGAGGTTTCCCATTCTATCCGGAACTACCTTGACGGTTTCATCGGCATTGCTGGGCTCTACGTCGAGGCAACAAAGGAAAAACTCTCAATTTACAGTGCAATCAAGAGGGGACTGCTCAGGCCTGGCACAGGGCTGGTATTGTTGGAAGCTCAAGCAGCTACAGGCTTCATAGTCGATCCTGTGCGAAACCTGAAGTTATCCGTGGATGAGGCAGCACAGAAAGCTCTGGTCGGTCAAGAGTACCGCGACAAGCTTTTGTCGGCGGAGAGAGCAGTGACTGGCTACAAAGACCCTTACTCAGGGAAGACCATCTCACTTTTCCAAGCAATGAAAAAAGGCCTCATTCTCAAAGACCATGGCATCCGTCTCCTGGAAGCACAGATTGCTACTGGAGGCATCATTGATCCTCAAGCCAGCCACCGGCTTCCTGTGGAGGTTGCTTACAAGAGAGGACTGTTTGATAAAGAAATGAACCAAATCCTGCTTGACCCAAGTGATGACACCAAAGGCTTCTTTGACCCAAACACCGAAGAGAATCTTACCTACCTGGACCTGATGCAGCGGTGTATCACTGACGCAGACACTGGTCTTTGCCTGCTCCCACTCAAAGAAAAGAAGAAGGAGCGGAAGATGTCTTCAAAGTCTTCAGTGAGAAAGCGCAGAGTTATTATCATTGATCCCGACACAAACAGGGAGCTGACAGTTTCTGAAGCCTATCGTAAAGGCTTAATTGACCATGAAACCTACGTGCAGCTCTCTGGACAAGAGTGTGAATGGGAAGAGATTATTACCACCGGTAGCGATGGTGTTGTTACTTCTGTTCTCGTTGACAGACGATCAGGGCGACAGTATAGCGTGGAAGAAGCTATCGCTAAAGGTAGCTTAGATCCGTCAGCCATAGAGATGTATCGTTCAGGTCAGCTTTCTATCACAGACTTTGGTGACCTCCTGACCGGCATGCAGAGCTCCAAGAGCACGAGCAGCATTCAATCAAAGTCATCTTCATTTCCAATGAGTCCGTTGCTCAGCCCTGACAGCACTGACAGCATTTGGAGTGACCCTACAGAAGAATCGTCAGCCATTGGTGGGATCCTAGATACACAGAAGCTCGAGAAGATCTCAGTCGCAGAGGCCATGCGCAGGAAGCTAGTGGACAATTTCACAGGCCAGAGACTCGTGGAGGCACAGGCTTGCACAGGGGGCATCTTGGATCCATTTTCTGGAAAGCGTTACACCATCAAAGAGGCTGTAACAGAGGGTCTCATTGATAGTCGCATAGGTAACATGATCTCAGCATCAGAAAAGGCATTCATTGGGTTTGAAGACCCCATCACTAAGGCCAAGCTTGGCATTTTACCAGCGATGAATAAGGGCTTGCTGACGTACGAGTCTGGGCGTCGCTACCTGGAGGCTCAGTATCTGACCGGTGGTATGGTGGAGCCAGGCAACCCCAAGCGTCTGACACTGGAGGAGGCACTGCCCAAAGGTCTCGTCGATCAGTCGAACATCAAGAAGCTACGCGATGTGGCCACGCACTTCAAGTATCTCACTTGCCCCAAGACCAGAGCAAGGATGTCCTACAAGGACGCCCTGGACCGGTCCATGGTGGATGCAGATAATGGGATAAGGCTCCTGGAGGCCAGCGGGGTCATCTCTACAAGCGGTGGGTTGGGTTCAGCGTACGGCTCCCTGACCAGCTCCAAGCAAGTTCAAGGCAAGGCTCGAGGCGAGGCAGCATCGATCTGGGATCGGGCTCGGGCTCAAGCTTTGGAGGCATCGGCTCCTCTGGTTACAGTTCAGCGTCGTACAGCAGCATGAGCTACAGCGGCTCTGGAGGCTTCAGTTCTGGGAGCTACACACAGCGGAGATACTAGTTGCAATGCACTTAAAGGTTCAGGCACCCGAGAGAGACTGAGGCTCCAGGTTTTGTGTTGACCATGATGTTAGTGTGTGCGATCTCATTGCTGTCAACGGTTACAAGGTTACATTAAAAAGAGAGCTCATTATTTGATGATGATTCTTTTTTAATGAGAGGGAAATTATTGCTGGCCATAGTGGTTTATCACGTGACATGTTTGTCATGGAAGATAAGACCCATATTGGTTAGGGTGCATTTGTAATGAAACAGCATTTACTCCCAGTATAACTTTTTTAACATTAGTAAAACCAGTATTAAATAGTAAAATAGGTATGTTCCTGTTTCTACGGTATAAATTAAGCTATAAATAAGTCAGTATGGAAAAGGGAAATTATAGCATTAAATATTTTACTTGCGGATTCCAAATACCACCATGAAAAGCAATATTAATATGAAATGCTTAAATTATGTTATTCATAAATGGCGATCCATTTTGCATTTTGTATGTTCATTCATTTCTTTAAAACAATGTATGTGCATGGAGGCTAAGCGCAAACCTATATCAATTTAGTCAGAACTCAAAAATTGTTCTAAACACATTTTCTTGATGTAGCTATTGCCTTGAATTATACCACCTCCACTTGAATGCAAGATGTAAATGCAAAATGCGCATCTCATACTTTTCCATGCACACTTAAAATGTTTTCACCTGAATGGTATAAACGTTGGTCAACATATTACGAGATACGTACAAGCTTTTGGAAGTCTTCACCCACATTTCTATTTTTTTACACTACATCCTCACTACGCCACACGGAATTCACTTGCCTGAGCCGGGTGCTCGCGGTGGTGGTATAATGATTTTATATAAAGTATATAAAAAGCTAAACAGTTGCCAATGTCAATTCAATACAAGTGTATAAAATAAAGGTCAATTCAGTCATAGCATGGACATGTTTAAAAAAATATATATTTCACGATTGCTGAGCACAAGGCCTAAATGCCCCAAACACCGAGTGGGCTTTAACAAACAAACATTGTTAAAGTTGTAATGAATAAAATCCGGTTGTGTTTTTGGCTCAGGTTTAAGCAGGCAATTTACTCCATCTCATGTTTTCCAATTCACTTGCTGCGTAAATATAACGGTCACTTAAGCGTCGCTTAAGTGAGAGGTGGTCACAGGTGCGTTACGTAAAAGTGCCCGTTTGTTGCAATCGGCCAGTGAACCAGCAACCAATGGGGCTTCAGGGTGTAATCGAACGGGCTCTGAATTTCCAAGTGGAAATTACAAGACGGTTGAACAATCGTCAAGCACCACCAGGGTGCAATCCTCACGTTGTAAGTTCCACTGCGGTGGCTGTGAACGCTTCGTCGTATATACGATGGGCAGATGCTGAGCTTTCACCAGCGTGGTTCTAAAATAACTGTTAAGGAGTTTTATTAATTTACGGTGGAGTAAGGTACGTCTAAATGAATTATACAGAAGCGTGTATACATGACGTTACATACGGTTATGAATTAGATCCTTGCAATGTTTTAATTGAAACTGGAAAACGCAAGTGCACAGATAAAAGTGACTGACACCATTGGCTTGCGCGTATTTAGGCGCTTTTGCAACCAAAAGCTTCAATTTATTATTTGATATATTTTGTACAAAATGGTTTTAGGGGATGCATGCAGGAATTTTGTTTCTCATTTAAAGCAGATGTTTTGAAATTAAAGTACTTAATCAGACTATATTTTTGCATGAATGCTTTATTGAATAAAATCTCTCCAATGTCGTTTAAATTGTTTTCAATTTTGCTGATGTGCTTAACTGGCAAGTTTGCTTGGGCATTGTTCTATGTATTTCATTTATAAGAGCATGCATGTGTTTTGGTTCCAGTCATATCTGTATTTACTCAGTACATTAACAAATATCTCTACTGCATTCGATGCAATTGTAACCTTTCTTAAATGCTGTTTTTAGCCTTTGACTACTGACCCAACTGACCAAGTGAATGCAGCTAGCATTACATAGGGAAATAGTGTAGAAAAACTGTACTTGTGAATAAAGGTATACATATATCGACTTTAAACGTGTTTTTGTATTTTGTATACATTGTGCGGAAGTTACCAATTTCAAAACCAAGAAGGCCAAATATTTAATTAGTTAGCTCAGATGCGTTGTTAATTTAGACACAGAAGTAATACAGCATCAGGCTATATTAGTAAAAGTTCATGACCAAGTGTTTTATAATTTTTTAGCCTAATGCTAATCTCATAGTCATAACCAGCCCAATACCAACACATACAACATTCATTCCAATCAGTTTTTCAGCTTTCCAGCCCGATAAAATCGAGCAACATTAAAAAATAAAAAATTATTATCAAAAACTCTGCTGCTTGGTAATAACCACCGTCTAAAAGGCAAAAGGCCGATGGACTAAACACATAATACTGTATGCATGCGAAGACAGAACGCAGTTGATGTTGTATGTATGACACCCATCACCCGTTCCGTGCAAGGTGCCGGCCGTTGTGAACGAACACTATTCGCACGCTCGCCTTGCGAGCCAGAAACACGCCGGTTCGATACCGGCGCGTGGCGTGCGAAACCGACGATGCAAAAGTTTCTTAAATTCTCGCCGCCCCCGCTGTGTTGTGGAGCGGTACAACCGGGCCAACCACAGCCCCAATGTGAGTCGTCGGCACGCCGCGGTGGGGGGTTCCCGTACCTGTCCACTGAGCTGAGCGCGTTTCCGCTGGGCGTCAGTGGCGGTGCGGTTCCCCAGAGTCGCCACGAGGTGGCGATGTAACGCATTCGTACTGCCATCAGCCCGCTCAACTAAATTGAAAACTTTTACACCATTGGAACCGCATTTGCCAGTAAAAAATATGATAATTGTTTTTTTACCCTTCTATCTGGCAACAAAACTGACACCTTTTTTACAAGGAGTCATGTTTACATAGACCACAATACCTACGGTCATAATGCAAACAAAAAACATAACTCTGGTCCAACCCATGTGAGACTAGGCTCTAAGGAAAGCTGTCTCGGGTGTGGACCAATCAACTTCAAGGACAGTGCACATTATCAGAGTTATGTTTTTTGTTTGCATTATGACCCCAGGTATTGTGGTCTATGCAAACATGACTACTTGTAAAAAAGGTGTCAGTTTTGTTGCCAGATAGAAGGGTAAAAAAACAATTATCATAAATTGAAAACGTTGGAATTGCTTGACCGGGTAAAGTCAGACTGAGCGATGTAGCTCCTTTATTTTTCAGATTCGATCGAGCCACATGATGTAGCTCAACGAAGTGGCCCATCACGTGGGAATGTATCGCAGCCCAAATACTCTAAACGCGTGTTTCTAAACGTGGATGGGCATCATTTTCACGAAATAGTGCGAAAGAAAAATGATTATTTGTTTGATTGACGGGAAAAAACCGGAGGACCCGGAGCAAAAATTCACATGAACATTGGCATAGAGAAACACGCACACTCCAAATATACAGGCGCCAGGATCGGGATCGAGCTCACGGCCTCCTGTGAACCTTACGAGGTAGTTAACATCTCACCACCGTGGGCACTTTGGGACTTCGTGGGTCACCTCTTCACCATGCATCACATTTTGTCCTGCAAGGTATCTGTGCCACACCGGCACAGCAGCGGGCTAAGAGGCGCTTGTTCTAAACAACTGATTCCGAATCAATATTTATTCATACCGCAGGAATACGATGAGCTAGAAAACTCTTTTTTGCAGGTGACGAATAGTCACAGATGTCCAGGTGGTGTTGTGACGTCTAAAACGGAAGATCAAGAGAGCATAGTTCTTTACCCGTGGGCATGCAAAACCCGACTTTGATCACACCCAATTTTTAAAATGTTTTTGTTGCGCATCCAACACACTCTTATGACTGACAGATGGCGTCCAGTTGGTTGTCGTGGTAATAACTTTAAATAGTTGTCATGGCAACAGCTTAAAATCATGTGCTACCAAAATGTAGATGTTTAGTAAGGAAACCGGATTTTTTTTTGTAAAGGTAAATTACACACGGGCCTTAAGTGTAGTCTCGTCTATTTTTTTTGTCTCTTAAACGTCTAGATATGTATGAACATCAGATGCACCATTTGACTCCAGCCTTGGCCGACCCCACTTGCTTGGTGTGCCGTACGGAAACACGGATGCATCAATTTCAATAGACAATGTCGGGGATATAATTACGGCTAAAACAAACGTCACTGTTGCTTGTGTAATGGGTTCTGGAGACACTTGTAGAGGTAACTTCTTTATTACAATACAACACTCCAACAGTCCTGATACTCTGTTACAGCCTAGGTACACAGCCAAGGGGCTTAACTGTCTGGGGTGCCTGGGATCCTAGCCCCTGGCGCCAAGGGCTTATCTGTCTAGGGTCCCAGAGCCCCCAGCAGCCCCTCTCCTCTTATGGCACTACACTTGTAACAAAAATAACATGCGATGAAGAAATGCACAACATGCACAGGTCCCCCTTTTCATTGTGCAATTGCAAGTGCCAGCACTTCTTTCCATCAAGACCTTCAATAATAACAGTAAACACCCGGGCTCCACCTTGCATGTCATCAAATAGCTGCCTGTGGGCCCGTCAGAATCAGAATCTGCATTCATAGTGGAGGAATTCTATGAAGCTATGAAGCAATTTTTCACAGATGTCCCAGTGTGTGTGTGCTCTCCACAATCCCTAACACGATAACCAACAACAATGTCGTAGTCCAGAAAGTTGGCTTGAGAGTAGGTTGAATGTGGATTAAAACAATACAGTAAATCGGTTCAATGTGTGATCATCTTTTGGGCAGTGCCAGATTAAGCTAGTGCGGGCCTTGTAGCGTATGTTATAAAGGGGCCCTAAATGAAAAAAATACCAAAATTAAAACACTATTTTTTTGCTTGCATAGTCAAGTAATTGTATTTTTTCATTTGCTATACAGCCAGATAATACGACAAATCTCTAACCTAAAACACCCAGTCGTTCATACAAGTTGAAGGCGGTATAGTACTATAGTAATAGAGCAAGTGCAGAATCACTGAACCGGAACTGATAGCTTGAAAGCATTTAGCACGGGGCCCTTGAAAGTGCGGGGCCCGTAGCTACATATGTACCTTTGCTACTAGGATAATCCGGCACTGCTTTTGGGGATATTACAGCATTAAATTATCCCTATAAATTGGATTGTAACCTGTTCCGATATGTCATCTTAAAATACGGCGTTTGTGCCACCCGTCACCGAAGGGACACCAAGATGAAACAAACTCAAGTTTTTTATTTACTTCACAGAGCACTTACAATTCAACGCACTAGAATGCACAAAAGAGTGCCGATGTCAACCGGCGCGGAGTAAAATAGCCACCAACCTCGTTCCCCACAGTCCCCAACACGAATCGGCTACTTGCACCATCACGCCATCACATATACAGCAACAAGCCCCCCCTATCCCCCCTTCCCCGCCTTCATTAATTCATCGCGAGGAAATCCGGATTGTAATTCCGCCATGCATCATGTACAACAAGGCTATCTACTGGACTGTATAAACACACTTTTATAAACGCATGTATACTTTACATAGTGTACAATCAACCTCTATATACACAGATTTACATATATGTATAGGATGCTATTAAACAGCACTCTTATCATCGCAACTATATATTTTGTTCATTCGTCATGCAGCTTTTTTAAAAGACTGTTGTAATCAAGAACCGTCTAACCTTTTTTTTTGGCGACACACTGCGGCACCGATAAAGACGCACATCGAATGTGTTAATGTCGATTTTTCTACCTAAATTTGAGTTCAACGTCCAAGGAAGACTTATTGGCGACTTGTTCTGACTAGCATACTCTAACACAACCTTTCCCTCACCCTAGCAATAATCCCTTCAACTTTCCCAAAGCTAGCATAATTCTACACTTTCATTTGACGACACATTTTGTACGACTGTGATTCACAGCGAGGGCTTCAATTAACTGCGTGATTCAAAGCTATGCTTGCTGCTCTCCAACACTTATCGAATATACAGGGTGCTTGAAAATAATGTTAACTTATATGGGACTATCGTTTTAATGGAAAAAGAACGGATAATAGACTGTAACGTGATAACAAATGTATGTTAATCGCTTCAAAGAGTCTCCACTTGTTCGCCATCATTGTCAACACGTGCCCGGAATCTTCTCCAGGTGGTCTCCAGAGCCCGGAGGCACATTTCTTCGTGCTATTGCTGCAAATTCTCGGAAGTGTTCACATTTTTGTGAAGCACCCTGTAATTTTCATGGATGGCTAACGTGCTTCGTATGTCTTTACAAAAACCCCTGACCTTCAATAATAACACAACAATAGGTCTTTCTAAGTAATCTAATGCCCTTGCTCGTAACATAATTTTTTATTCCATTTGAAAATCTATACGTATCATCTCATGCATTATTACAGGAGAACTCCATTAACCTTCAACCATATTACCCACAATTCCTGTCATTTGTGGGACCATATTACCCACAATTCCTGTCATTTGTGGGACCTGAAAGGTTCCATGCAATGTAGTCATCCGTGTCCCTATTTTTCCTGTTATCCACAATTACCCAAGGTTTTTGTTCCAGTCGTTCACAGATAAGTGGAGGTGAGTGGCACATTCATCCTTATTATCTTAGCCTCTTCGTGGTTTTTCTTTTTTAAGAAAGTAGAAATAAGTTGTGCGCTCTTTCATAAAAGTGACGCAGTGCTCTGGTGTAGATCACCAACCTTAATCGATTTTAATTTTTATGAAAAAATAAATCTAAAACTCCTACTGTACTCCAATGTGTGTTACTAAGCTAGATGACAAAGGGGATCTCACTTGGAACCATGATTAATAGCATATAGTACATAAAAGATGTATGTATTACATTCATGGGCAGCAACATAACGTTATATAGAAACGTTTTTAAGAAAAACCAACAAGAAACATTTTCGTGCATTTTAAACAGGCAGAACAAAATTACAAACGTAATCATCAATACAATTCAACTGCTATGCCGTGATTAAATAAACGTAGGGTTTTAAAGAGAAAATCCCTGCTTCACTAGTAAACATTATTAATCACAAGCGGATGATGGAGAGTGGTCAAGAGTGGTAACAGAGCGGCAGTCAAGCAATGGAATGCATCCGAGGAGATGGAGCAATGAAACCTGTTCACGTGCTGGGTGGATTGTTACATCGAAGAATTTTGACTGGTAGCAATGGCTTGGGGAGGCCTTCATCCAGCAGTTGATTGACCATGGCAGACGATAAAAAACCAAAATATATATATACACCAGGTGGAACAATATATTTGAAAGCAAAAGTGGGAGATTCCTTGTTCAAAAGCTTCTGAGACCTGGGATCGCATTAATGAACCGGCTGATCCATATAAACACAGACTTCCGTGATTGTCCACATTATCCCCATAAAAATAAACCCACAGACCAGTAACCACCGTGTCCTATGCATTGCATCACACAAAACACCATTGCACAATGCATTGCAAATCCTCACTCTAAATGTTGGAGAAATTCCATTAAAGCAATTACATAGAAATATTATTACATTTACAACTTACCCATACCACCAATTCCGTTTTAAAAAAAACGTTGAGGATCAATACAAAAGTAGAATAGATGACGGGATTTTGCGGCGTTTAGAATAAAACATCAAACTATTTTGAGAACAAGCTATTCAAGGTATGCGCACATTATTTTCCAACACAGTAACTACTCAAAACAATGCATTACAGTAAGTATTAGCGTACATATTTAAAGTATCCTCAGTACGACTTTTTTTGGTATTTGTCATAAAAAACTACTGATTTTGCAATATTATATTTGTAACGATATTTTCTATTAAATCAATGAATGTTAAGATTAAATACTGGTTATTGGGAGGTCAAAAAATTACTACTATTATATTATTATTGATTTCAGTTATCCACTTACTCAAGTACTGTGCATAATAGTTCACCACATTTCTATATCAAAGTCCAAAATTAAGTGATGCAAAGAACAGTGGTGGCAGTGTCCCAGTACAGAAAAAATATATATAGAAACAGATGTCGACCAATGACACACGCAACCCTCTTAGTACACCTACGTAGCACTTTCCTTATGTCTAGATCCGTAACGTATTCAGTACTTTTAGATACAAATGGAGGATGTAACGTCCAAGCAATAATGAATGCACATTGAAGACCGGTCCATGTGGCAAAGAGATAGATTTCAGCAACTCACTTTTGGCTCTGTTTTTTTCTTCCCGTTCATTCGTCCTCTATTGTCCAGGTCATGAGGGTCCCCTCCCGTTACACATTTTATGTTGCACATTAGGCCATCGTGCAGTCTGATTCTGTGCTTTAATGTTTTTTGTCGAATTAAAAAGATCAACGTTGTAAAATGCCAAATTAATTATAAACCATGACCAGGCATCCTGAAATAAAATACTTAACTGACAGCAAGATAAAGGTGCAGCCTTTCGATTGATTGCTACTGGCATTAGGGCCTCTACCAACGAAAGAACTCAATCATGTTTCGATATTTTGGTCGACTCGTCAACGCTGGACAGACGTCTTAGAAGACATGAGCGTACCCACACTTTACCCAACCGCACGGGACCTGCTGATCAACCGTAACACTTATACTGCTGCGTGGACCGAGGCAGAGGGCTTTAATAAACTTGCGAGATTGTTTTAATTGCCACGCCGGGAAATTGAATCGAATGGGCGAGCTTTGGAGTGCAAGTCCAGTGTGCTAGCATTACACCACCACAGCATCCCCACCCTCCTATGATACACTGGGCAGTGTGTCACTTTGTTCTGGTGCTAAAGAATTGTGCTTTGGTGCTGTCACACGACAAATAACGTATTCCCACCTTTTTTTAAATAAGATGATCCACACTTAAGAACTTGTGGCTTACGAACAATTGTGGTTTCCACGAGATGATTTCAACCAGGTGCTGTATTTAAAGCCGAGTTGGGCCATATCTTTGTGAAATTTGGCCAACGGATGGAAAAGGAAGGCCTCGCCCGACTTGAGCTTTGAGCAGCTCACTGTTGCTACCCCGTCCAAAATCATGCAGGGAAATGTTCTAAAAATCACACGTGTCAGTTGTATGATAATTGATTGCATAAACTGTCTACTCAAAAATACAAAAACTACCACAAATTAAACATTAGCTGTCCACATGCAGAGAGTGTACATGACTTATAGTACACACCAAAATATAAGAATTGGTTTTCGCCTTTTTTCTGGCAACAAAAAAGGTGTTAAGATGTTAAAACACCAAACTGAAACCTTTTACAAGGAATCATGTCTGCATTAACCACAATACTTGTGGTCAAAATGCAAACAAAAAACATACTCTGACAATATGTGCATTGTCTTCGAAACTGATTGGTCCACACCAGAGACAGCTTTCTTTTTAGCCGAGTCTCAAAACGGTGTTTGACCAGAGGACGCCGTTTTGAGACTCGGCTCATATTTTGGTACTGGCAAAAGAGGTCCCATTAAGTACACACCAAAGCAAATGCTATCATAATTTAAATGCTTGTTTGTAATACACCATAAACATATACCACTGTACAATCGCTGCAACCAGTGCAGCTGGCTAGTATATTATATAAACTCACACACCTGCCCACAGGTGAGGCTGCCAACCTAATCCCCATGGGTGGCATGTAACGCAAGAGGCTATTTTTTTACGCACAATAATGGTCTCCTGAGCAAAGGTGTCACTTTAAGTGCTTATTCGAACGGTTGGAGTGCATGTGTAGATTTTTCGAGACGACGCTGCTAATGCGTCACATGTTCACAACGTAACATTATCAACACATCCCGTCAGCTTGGGTGCACCTGTGCTACGTGAGTTATAAACAGGCTGTGGATAATTGGCTTTGCCTCTCCTTTGAGGTGGATCCATCTCGTGCCCTCGCAACCCTGTAAAACATCATGAGCTTTGGCTATAATCCTCTTGGCATCTTTTGGAATGTTTCCGAAAGCCATCGTCTCTGAGGTTCCCTATCCGAAGATGTTGTTTGTGATGGCGCCTGGCAATGTGTAGAGAAGCAGGGCGATGAAGAGGGCAAAGATGAGGAGGACGAGGGCGGTGATGATGTACCACTTGTAGTTCTTCCAGATGACGAGGAAGAGGGACTTGAATGGATTTGTCAGCCACGAGATAGAAGTTTTGGGGCGACTGCGAGTAGAAGAAATAAAACAATACATCACATCAACTAGAGAATAACAGGACATGGATATTTTTTTTTAAATATTGTCAACTGCTTCAATATAATGACGTTTCAGAATATTACATTGCATTATCGTAACTCTGCATTGCACCAAGGCAACACACACATGCACACTCATACTTAAAGTAAGCGTATCATAAGCAAGCAAACATAATGTGCAAATACTTAAAACGATTGAAAAAAAGGACAAGATTAAAGAAAATAGGCAGGCAATGGGATAGGTACGAAAACACGAATCGCTATAAAGATTATTAAGCAGGGAATAAGGCATGCAAGTGTGAAAGGAAACCCACCACCACTAGGCCCCCAGCAGCTTTTTGACCATGTAGCCAGGCATGTTGTAGATGAAGAGACCGAGAAGGACCAATATCAACAGAGCCACCACGAGTTTGATGATAATCCACTTGTAGCGATGGCAGATGACGTATTTGATGGATTTGAGTGGGTTCAGGAACCAGATGAAAGACGTGTCCGGCCGACTGTCCGTGCCGGCGGTGAGAGTGAAAAGGAGAAGAGAAGTTTTTGTTGTTGTTGAAAAAAAGAGAAAGAATCAAGAAGACTAAACATAGCATCACACATTGCAGCAATACCAAATGCTGAGAGAGTGCAAAGGTGTACAAAATATCTGACGTACAAAATACCTGGCAATTCCTCACTGCTCTTTATACCTAATCAAGCATCGCTGTTGTTCTCTTATCTACCAACTCACCTTGCCCAGCCTCATCGGATGGCTCAGGAGCAGTGAGGGCAGAGTTCATTATAGAGGCAAGGCAGGTGCTCTCCTAAATTGTCAAGGCAACCTGCTAGTATTACTATTGTTTGTCAATTTAGACTGCATCATCATTCGCCTGTCGGCAAGATGGACTGTGAGGTCAAGCAGTTGGCTACACTGAGGTGCCATCCACGTGCTTTTTCGTCTGAGCCACCCTGCCACCCTGTTCTCTGGTTATTTTAAATTTATTTGACATGTGAAAGACTCCTTAAAGATTTGGTCAACGATCCAAGTGCAGGACCCTACTGGAAAAAGGATATTGAGACGGAGGCTTTCCCAGATAAATTGATGTTATTATTACAATGAATGCTGACTACAATCCTGTTTTAATCTAGACAATGACAGTGTGGAGTAGTGGTGAGCGTACTGTGCTCTGAACACGGCAAACCCATGCGTGATTCCCACTCAAGGACCAAGGTTCTGGGCCTCTCCTAGGTGGACTCAGCCTCAAAAAAGTCCTCTGGTATTGTGTGTAAACATCAATACTGGATGTGCGCCGTGCCATCCTACATAGCTGGTCGCGAACCGCATTTGCCCCAGCACCCTACAGGGAATCTTTGTCTACTTTGTCAACTTTGGCTGCTGGCTACCCAAAGTACGTGTACTCTGAGCTGCACCACACGTGTCAGTACTGAACGCCAAGTCGTAAAGCAGCAGGATGTAGAAGCGACGGACTTAGGCTTCTCGAGAGGGTCCGGCTCGCTGCGGCCCAGCCCTGCCGGGTTTTTCTCCGCGTCCTCAGCGGTCAGAAGATGCAGCTCAGCCTCCACCTTCCCCTGCAGGACGCATGCACACAGGGGTCACGCAGAGGTCACGCAGTGGCCACGCAGGGGTCATGCAGGGGTCACGGTGAGCAGAGCAAAAACACAATTCCTATTCGCCTACATCGGCACTCGTCCACTCATGCAGCCTTGCAAACCGTGCAACCGGCCCATGCGTTGGCTCCCGTGGGACTCATATTTGAATAACTCTAAAGTTATTAAAGTCTGATGGAAACGCAAAGAACCGGAGGACGCATCCTCCAAATAACTGACTCATTCGAGCATAATCATGGTGAGCCTCAGCTGTGATCTTGTGAGTGAGGGAGACAGCATGTACAAATGTACTTCGAACTTCTTTTGCACCGTACGTAACCAACCGTGCTAATCCGATAGTGGAAGAGGGAGAAGAAAGGGGTGAAGCAGGAGGAAGACAAAGGAAAGAGTGGGATGGCAGGCAGAAAAAAACACGAGTGGTAGTCAGATCTGAAGCAAAAAAACGCCATTAATACAAGAGATTAGTTGGTGATTAGAATATGCCAAAAATAATTTTGAATCGATTAATCATGATTGTCATAATTAATCAATCAAAATGTGTTCTATATATACTGTATATATATCTGAAATTACGTTTGTATTTTAAATAATTCCACAGCCATAGCACTTGATAATTACTTATTTTTAAATCCTTTATATTAAGTTCACTTGCTTGCTTGCGCGCTTACGACCGTGCAAATCTTTCGGTCGTTTTTTAACCCACTTCCCGTGATCCAATCGAGCTGACATTTTGCACACAGACTCGTTGTGCGTGACTATTTTCGTGAAAAAATTTTTCCAAAATTTTCCACTTTTAGGAAAAAAAAAATCATATTTTATTTAAAACACCAATGTGATAAAAATGAAACTCTTACTCAAGAAAACCAGAAATGAATAATAAAATAAAACCGATGCCACGCATATAAAGGATTTATAGTGAAAAACTTTGTTTTTACGGGTTAATTTTTAATTATTAGTGTTGGACATGACACACATTGGGCTAGCAATGAAGTTGGAGTAACTTATCCGTTAAATCCACGTAACGGTCAGCAATGCATAGTGGTCTTAAAGATAATTATCGAGTGTTTACACAAGGCTGGGTTAAGAGGGGCGACACCTTCAACCTGTGCATGGTCACTGCCGCGGAATTCATAACGGACGGTGGCCATGATGGCCGGGTGAGCGAGGAAGCTACATTTCACGTCTAGAGCTCTTGAGCTCGTACTTGCTGAGCGAGATAGCCTTCAAAATGAATCCAGGCACCAATTGCAAATCTAGCGAGCTGACCGGCTCAGCCCAGTCGGCGATGATTGCACTCATAATTTCCTTTAGCTTTTGTTTTTCACTTGCTTTTCAATATTCCAGCTCTGAGAACTTCATTCATTTGGTTTATTTGATCCACATGCCATACACTTCTCTACAGCACAGGATGTGAGAAGGAGCTACGTCCACTTTCTGTATGCAATTTTGAAAGGACATCTCTTCTACTCGTAATACCGCACAAATTGGAATCTGAGAGGGAATTGATAAAACAAAGTAAAACAATACTTTGTAAAAAAAGACTCGGTTTTACCCGTTCCGGTAATAAAACAGGAGGTGTTAAGATGTTCAATCACCAAATAGTTACCCCTTATTACAAGGCATCAAGTCTGCATTAACCACACATTTTTTCCATCATTTTGACACTGGCATAAAGGTCCCATAGATATACTTGATCAACCAGAACTTTAAACACTTTGATACTTGCATTGTTTTTGTAATATTCGCCTTTTGGCATTCTCTAGTCTTACACTGGTGAGACAAGGCCATAACGATGGCTGTCTCTGGTCTCGGCCAATCAGTTTCAAAGACAATGCATAAATAATTATCAGAGCATGTTTGTTTGCACGTTTTGCCACAATTATGTGTTGTTAATGCAGACACGATGCCTTCCAATGGCCACCTATTTGGTGTTTGCACATCTCAACACCGCCTGTTTTATTTCCAGAAGGGGTAAAGCATATTCTTATTTTTTCATCATTTTGAAACTGCCAAAACACGTTCCTTTGGAGTGGGCAGGTAGGAACTTGGTTGGACAGCGCATTCGTGCACGACAGAAAGCTCGCGGTCACGTGACGCACTTCAACCAATCCGGGAGTGTACATGTTTGGGAGGGGCTATGCACGACAGACAAATCATCCCTGGTGGGCAGTGTGGAACTGTTGTTCCTACCTGTAAAAAGGTCCCGTAAATTTAAAAAAGAAAATAGACATATATACGAACGCCGTACCGTGAGCTCCTGTTCGTCGTTCTCGTCGCGGGAGACAAAAGGCCACCAGCCCTTGACCCGTTTGAGCTTGAATATGGAGATCATGGGCACCGAGCCGTCCATCTTGAGCATGTTCAACGAGCACTGCTTGGCGGACTTTGCTCCTCGTGGGAAGCGGTTGAGGTCCAACTCAATGGCACCTGGTCGTGAATGCACAACGGTCAAACCACTGCAACAATATCGTACAAGACGCGGGCATGGAGGTCTCCAGTTTACCCTCGTGAACATGCGCAGCGAGTGAGTGATGTCCGTCAGCCTGTATAGAACGTGAGCGGGAAGTGTGACGAACACGCTCGGCTTCATTAGTCTCCACCTGTGCGTATGTTTGCACGTTACACCTGGAACAAATTTTATTGTGAGTCGTCCTCGAGAATTCCCAGGTCCGGTTAAGATCCGTAATGCAAATCATATGTGTGTATGGCCTGGGATTGTTGAATTCAGGTTTGCTCTCACAGAGACATTCGAACACATACAGAGGACTAAAAGACAAATACCCCCCATATAACCTTAACAAACTATTGGGGAAAGTGCTGTTAGCAAGCATCAATGAGGGCCACCACAAGGTACTCATTTGAGGCTGAGTCAACCTAGGGGAGGCCCAGGACCGAATCAGATAATTGTCACTGGTGTTGGCCATGAGCAAATTATCGAACCCGGGCTGCTTGGTTCGTAGCACAGTGCCGCTAACCACTACACTCCCGCCCCCCACACAACACAAAGACAGAAACACACAAACAGAAACACATTCACCCAAACCAACACACCGACACACACAAATGTACATTCACACACACACAAAACCGCACATATACAGAACCACACACAGAACCATCCACACACACAACCGCACATACAGAACCACGCCACACACACACAGAACCACGCAACACACACACAGAACCATACACACACAACCGAGCATACGCACACACAGAACCACGCAACACACACACAGAACCACGCAACACACACAGAACCGCGCAAACACACACACAGAACCACGCAACACACACACGCAATCGCACATACGCACACACAGAACCACGCAACACACACACAGAACCGCGCAAACACACACACAGAACCACGCAACACACACACAGAACCACACAACACACACACAGAACCATACACGCACACAAAACCTAGCACACGCACACACAGAACCGCGCAAACACACAAAACCGCACGTAACCACGCACGGAACAGCACACACACGCGCGCACACACAAAACCACACACGCGCGCGTGCACAGAAGCACAAACGCCGTAGCAGGGCCTCACCAAGAAAGTCGTCGGCCGAGAAGTGGTCGGCGTCCCACACCTGCAGAGTGAGACGCGCCGGGATCTTGTACTCGGTCTCGTCCCACGAGAAGAGGGACTCCTTCTTGGAGATGACGATCTTCTCCTCCGCCACCAGGTAGTCGAAGGGGTAGATGAAGCGCCAGTTGAAGTTGCCCTCGCCCGTGAGCGAGTGGTAGTGCACGTCCGTATCCTGCTTGTCCTCCTGCTGCCCCTTTAGCCAGCTGCGAGCGAGCGACGCGGATGAGTTTGGACAAACACCGCGAGATTCCGTGGTGTTTGCGTGCAGTAGGGGGACACGAGGTTAATTGGCTTCTTTACGGTGGGTTTTTTGCATATGCCCATGCTGTGTGCCTCTTCTATTATTGCGTACGATGGCAATATGTTCAGGAGCTGATCAATGTCAATGCCGAGATCTGCTAGCCACGTCAAGAGGGCTTCAGCAGAGAGAGGGAGTTCGTGTATGCTAGTATTTAATTTATTATTTTCTCTTTATATGTGACTTTACCGAAAGAACCAAAGAGTAATTCCTGCAGTCACGAAAGCTCCAAATTAAGTATAGAGTTCGTGTAGCTTTGCTGTTCCTCCCCCGTTGAAGGAGGGCAGACTGCAGTGGTATATCATATCGACTATAGTACCGTATGGTAAACCACTGTAGCCTGCGTGTACCCTGCATTTTTTCCATTGTCTCTCTTGTAAATGTTGTCTAAAATTTATAATAATGCATTAATGTGGCCATACACCTCCCCATTCATCAAAATTATATGAACCTTGTGGCATATATATTTAAGCATTGGTATACGTATATGCATGGGTTTACTCATTTGTGGATACAGTAAACAATTGTCCATGAATATAGTCTGTAATTATATCTGTGTTACATGCCTATGTCATGAAGTATGGTGAAACACGACCAACATAGTGTTAGGGAGGGCTTCGCAATAGAATTGTGAAAGGGCTGAACAATATTTTGTTTTATGATTAGACAAACAAAATTCATTTTCCTCCCCTTGTTGTCCTAAAACTTAATAAAAATTAAGCAGTAACAAATAAATTACGCTGACAATTATATCTGGGCATTGGTAGCTATAAATAGCAGTGGTAACAGTCTACATATTAAAAAAAACACATTTAACGGCACTTGAAGTGTGGTCTTCCAGCACTGATTCTCAAGCGTTTGCGTGGCACTGAACACATCATTCATTTAGCAAATGGCTTTTAAAAGCAATAAAACTGTACAGCAATTAAACCGTACAAACAACTGTCTGTCATTGAAACACTGGTTTTGAATTTTGGTTACTTGGATATGACCATAAATACCATATACTGTACTAAGACTATAGCTGCAATGCTGAAGTTATAATGATTCATGCCAAAAGTGTACATGAGTTATATTTTAATTCATTACTAGGGATAAAATAATGTGGCTTTCATTTCAACCCATTTTCACAGCACCATGATGATCAGTGCTGATCTCAGTTCTAGAGTTAACATCCCGACAATGTGGGATAATATGTACATTATCTAAGGTGTCACTTAATTTAGCCACTGTCACTTTAACAGCAGGGTAATTGTACATTCATCTATAACTATTCCATCCCTCTTTAATAAAATACTGTCCAGACAAATAGAAATCTGTTAAATATCCTTACACACACAATTGTCTTATGTTATACAAATATATATAATACTGCAATTGCTAATGTTTTAGATGGCCATACTATTGCTAGCAGTCTTCGCGTGGAAAATGAAAGGACTAGCGGTGTGTCAATGAATACATCCGAGTACAGCTTTTACAGTCAATGACTGAATTCAATATCTGAAAAACTAGACTATAAACACCAGGATTCCTCCTCCCCCGAGCGATTATGTCGAATGCACAGCTCACAGCTTGAGAAGCAATGCTGCCAGAACCCATTAAGACACACGACACACGGCTCCCCACGATGTTATGGGCATGCTGGGAAGCATGGGCCAAATGGACAGGCTCAGTAAAGTCACTGCGATCGCAACAGGAAATAATCACAGGCAAAGGGGCAGTCAGTGCAGAGAAGAAAGTGCATATGGGCATGTGGCACAGTTTGTGCGCGTTGTGTAGCAAATAGGGGATACAACCAGCATTATTGGGACACTGCAATTTGAAATGATTTCACATCATTAACTTTACAGTGTAGTCGTTTCCCAGGGATGTGAGAGACTCCAGTGTAGATTTTCGCTGTTGTGCTCTATAGGTCTCTAAACGTTTTCCGGTTGTACAGAGTGTAGTTCAGCATGATGTCCGACGTTTCGGGATGACGGCAATATGTTCAGGGGCTATTCAGTTCCTGAAGAAGCTCCGAGCACATGCAGCGACACTTCGGGCATCACACAGAACTACACGCGGCTGAAATGTAACTAACTACGTGACTTTACCAAAATAACCAAAGAGTATGCCAAATGTATGTTTCAATAACAAAAGGCCATTCCAGGGTCAAAGAAAATTACTGCGAGCATTGCATTACAATCTGATGATGGACGATCATGGTCACAGCAGCAGAATGCCATGCCAGTTTTCCGAAAATTGCCGTGACTTGTCAGGAAGGAAAGGGACGCAGGAAGATGTGTCCATGCCAGGGGAGGTGGTGTCCAGAGCAATACTGGACACTTTCACAGAACGGTTTGCACTTGGCATGGCACAGGGTTCATGGGTTCCCAGCAGAAATCTGCGGAGGAGCTGATTGATGTACACTTTGCAAGGTGGATTATTATGGTTAGTTTTAACTGTAAAGGAACAGGCATGCATACTGCACACTTTGTTTTGGCAGTGACTTTCAATTATGAAGTAGAATGATTGATACTGGAAAGCGAATCAAAATGATTTTCGACTAAGTTTCATCCTTCCGCAGATTTCTTTTGGGGAGGGTCATACTCTTGTGAAGAAGAATGGTGTCAGAGAGAGACCACAAGTGCAGAGACAATGAGTTCACGTACAAACACAAAACATGAATTTGCAATCGCATTCATAGACCGCAACTGCACATTTAAAGTGACACTGTATACTCCTATTCAAATTGTTAAAGATACACTTAGCGGACCATACTCTATTTAATGTGACTGAAATAACGACTGTGTTTATAGTCACAGACCATCTCATGTATGCTTTGAATATATCGATAATTCTAATGGGCAACAAATATTACTTCTAAAGATGTCACGCATTGTAACATTTGCCAATTGTTTTTTCCCCCCATAACACGTGATGTAAATACCGGCAAATAATTGGTGATGGAAGCGATAGAGAGAAATTAAAAACAGTTGAAAAATATATATTAGTCATATAGCACAGGGCACCCAATAATGCTAATGGTCAATGTGACCCATGCATATACGCACGTGGGATATTTTGTTCGTTTTGTTGTCGCAAAACAAACAGGAGTCTCGATTTAAAGCTTTCGTGACTGCAGGGATTCGTCTTTTTGGTTCTTTCGGTAAAGTCACGTAGAAGGGAAATAATAAAATAATAAAAATTAAACATAATAAAATAATTCTCACGACGTTTCGGCCACAACGCAAGCAGCCGTCCTCAGGTGAAGAACAGGTCTGTCGGAAAGACAGGTCTGTCAGAAAGACAGCGTCTGAATGACGCTGTCTTTCCGACAGACCTGTTCTTCACCTGAGGACGGCTGCTTGCGTTGTGGCCGAAACGTCGTGAGAATTGTATTTTAGTATGTTTTCATTTTATTTTATTATTTCCCTTCTACGTGACTTTACCGAAAGAACCAAGAAGATAAACAGGAGTCTGCTATTTTGCATCCGCTTTCAAGTGAATCAGTGGACAAGCCTGAGGTGGCACATTCCACAATAGGACAAAAGCATACAGCGTCTCTTTCAAAGGCGAGGTTGCCTTTACCCTCGCACGTAGATATCCGACATCTTCTCTCCCGTCATGAAAGCATCGTCTTCCAAAATCACCTCGTCGGTGTTCCAAATGATTATACGCAGCTCATAGCTTCCAGCGAGAAGGCGTTAAGAGGGCAGAGGAGAAGAGAAATCAAGAAGGCGAAATGTATAGCGGCCACGGGGAGTGGCGGAGTGGCGGGGCTGTACGTACCCGCGCACGTAAATATCGCTCGAACGCTCGCCTGTGAAGAAATTGTCGTCCTCAAGCGTAACCTCATCCGTGTTCCATATCACAACCTTGAGCACGTAGCTGTGGGGGGGGGGGGGGCGGGTGTGAGGGGGTGGGGATCGTGTCGGTGGGCAGGGAGGGAGGAGGGTCAGCAGAAGTGTCCCAGCAGGCAGGCACGAGGGGCATGGTGGTCGATGATGTGGAGTCGAGGCTGTCGCACACGTGAACTTACAACATTGCCGTCTCGCTCGTCAAGGTGGGCGAGAGAAGAGGAAAGGGAGCGACGTTAATTATGAATGTTCACAGGTTCACACACGCCCGGGGCGTTTGTGGTGCACACACACAAGTATGGCAATGCAGGGACCTGCAAAACATCCAGGGCAAAGTGCTCAACCAATTGCTGAATAATTGCACCCAGTATTATGACAAGTGTCTCATTTGACACCATCAGTAATACAAGGGCACAGGTACACCTCCCCTAAAACTAAACGACATTTTTTTTTATTTTACCAGGCAAGGCCCACTGAACTATATCGCTCTCTTTCGGAAGCGACCTGGCCACAAATAATAGCTCAAAAAAGTGGCTTATCATCTTGATATTCCTAACAGCCAAATACCCTAAGCGCACGTTGATTCTAAATCCACGCGACCACGGGGAGAACGTGCTGACTCCAAATATACAGCAACAGGCGTCAGGGTCTGGATTTAACCCACAACATCCTGTATACCAGGTAAGGTAGTTAACATCTCACTACCGTGGTGCCGTTACAAGACATGTGGTTTGCCACCAGAAGGGTGATCTCAGCACCCAACCAGGGGTCAACTCAGGCCTTCATTTCTCCTGGGTAATTAAAATAAGTATCACTTTTGTCAACGTTAGTCGTCCTACGGATGACTTTCCCCGGCCACCGGCAGCCTAGTCTCGTTCCAGTTCTTGGTTCTTTCGGTAAAGTCATGTAGAATGGAAATAATTACATAATAAAAATAAAACATAATAAAATAATTCTCACGACGTTTCGGCCACAACGCAAGCAGCCGTCCTCAGGTGGAGAGCAGGTCTGTCGAGAAGACAGAGTCTGAATGACTCTGATTGCGTTGTGGCCGAAACGTCGTGAGAATTATTTTATTATGTTTTATTTTTATTATTTTATTACTTCCATTCTACTTGACTTTACCGAAAGAACCAAGAAGATGAATCCCTGCAGTCACGAAAGCTTTAAATCGAAATTTAGTCTCGTTCCTGCTCAATAAATAAAGTGAAAACATGTCAAACATGTAACAGGTCGTGTTTGCTTTGTGTGCACTATATATACTAATGTGTACAGCACTGCGTAGTGTTTATTGCGTGCATGGGCCGTGTGACTGGAGTACAGCATGTGTACTGAGTATGTGGCCTTTGTTGTGGTATGTATGAAGTGCACATTGTGTACTGTGTATTGATTGTGTTTATGTCGTCTAAACGCAATGCAGCTGCTGTGTACGTAGATTTCGATTTAAAGCTTTTGTGACTGCAGGGATTCATCTTCTTGGTTCTTTCGGTAAAGTCATTCTTCACATGAGAACGGCTGCTTGCGTTGTAGCCGAAACGTCGTGATAATTATTTTATTATGTTTTATTTTTATTATTTTATTATTTCCCTTCTACGTGACTTTACCGAAAGAACCAAGAAGATGTGTACGTAGAGTTTGCCATATGTGTGGATGGATTGTATGTACTGTATATGTAGTGTACACCGTATAATACTTAGCGGCTGATGCTTTGTTTTGTCGATGCAATGTATCTGTAGAGTAAAAGCAAATGCTAGCACGTAGGATAAGATATGTGTATGTAGAGTGCTGTGTGTGTGCGTCTGCTATATATGGCTAATTTTGGTTTGCAGTGCATGTGCTGTGCACATATGGCATGTGTAATGAGCCTGTATTTTTTATTCATGTAAACACCGCGCGTGTTTGCGAGGGTTGTTTTGTATGCGAAAAGAACATTGGAGTGCCACACAAAGGCCTGTGCACGTGCTAAGGAATAGAGGACTCTAATGTGTGAACCAGGGTCGGCAACCAACATAAGAAGAAGAGCCAATTTTTTTTTTCGAATTCGGTACAATCCTCAATATTTCAAGAGCCGCAATGCACGTGATTGCACACGTACATTACGTCACGAAGCAGTCCGTAAGAGATTAACCAACAGATTCACAAAGCCAAAGTGAAGTGAATTTTCTGGTTTGGGAGTTTCATATCTCTGCCATCCGCAAACCCTGGAACTGGGTCAGTGATTTGCAAGCGTCTATCGTCTCACCTGGTGTCACATTTGTGGCATTTATTTTTCATATGTTAAATAAGCAATAAGCAAGGTCGAGTGTGTATGTGTGTGTTGATGTTGCATGCAAGAAGTGTTTAGGTTGAGTGTTTTTGTGTTAAGTATGGCATTGAGCCAGCATATTTGGAATTAAAATCCCTGGTACGTTCTAGATTTAGCGCTGATTAATATTAAAGTCTCTCCAATGCCTAACCACGAAGCTGGCTTGGCAATATAAATGTCAACGTACAAATACTGCCACTCATTGCACACATGAAACCCAACAACGTCTAAGCTCTGATGCATAGAGATTAAAGCCAAACCCATAAAAAAGGGCATGACCAACATGGGAAGCGTTCTATCCACATTGTATTAACCTGCAAATAGAATTCAATAAGTTCATTAAAAAAAAATCCAATTGAAATACTCTGTGGTTATTTCGGTAAAGTCACGTAGGTATAAAAATAAAACAAAAACATATATCATGACGTTTCGATCGGAACACAAGCGGTCGTCCTACGCGAATTTACTAAAAGAACCAAAGAGTATGGATTCCTGCAGTCACGAAAGCTTCAAATCAAGTCAACTTCACTAAAAAACTAATTGTTGAAATGCCAAAAAAGCACCGATATAATTAAATTTCTTAAACCCCAAAGCTTCAAAACGAATCAATTTGCTGTCAACTGGTTATAACACGTGTCACGTGTGCTTAGCCACTGCAGGCTCTTTGAGCTCAAAGAAAACACCCCTTCTAAGGTGAGTTCTAACGAGTATTTGGACACCGCAGATCCACGCAGACAACGCAGACCTCTTGGGTTTGCGTGGAGAGATGTCCACGGGTGGCCCTGGGTGCGGCATGTCCTTCGGAAACATGTCCACCCACATTTCCAGACGGCCCTGCAATGGCGCAAAAAAAAATCAATTTCAATTGAGGCCCTTTAACAAGTAGGCATTATGAATTTGAGGCCCTGTCAGGGGGCGATGCAGTACCTCAGTCAGAAATGCATTCATTCCGGATTTCTGTACACCAGCGCGTCACTCGTGATGTTAATGGAGGTTCATACACCAAGGCGTACACCAATTGATTTTCTGTGATGTCACCACTGAATGGAACGTAACGATAACGCTTGTCGCACACGTAATTCCATTTTCGATGAAGACGCAACGCGATAAACCGACGTATCTTTTGGATACATACCTCGGCTTTATGAATGCTGGGCTGTGCGCCATCACGAATGAATGAGAATGAGCTATCATCTGTGTCTAAAAATCGCGGTCAGCCACTCTGTTGGTGAGGCCACCGCATTGATGAATGCAATCACGTGGAGGTTATGTCACAGCGGGGCGATAATGGAATGTTTGACCACAACTATAAAGTCTGACAGCCCATGAAAGGAAATGTATTTTAAAAAATGCTACATTTTTGGGGGTGAGGGGGACGGGGGGATCGGGTTACATCTTCCTGTACACCAGAAAGCAATTAAGGGCTTGAACCGAAGAAAACCTCAGACCCTTCAACTCGGCATGTCATATGCCATGGAATGTGTTCATAGTGTGGGTGAAGGGCCTGGGCGTGAATGTGGAAGGTGCTCACCTGCTCAATGCCAGCCTTGTCGGGGTGCAGTAGAGGCCGGGTCTCCACGTGCTCCGGTACCAGCCTGCAGCCCACACGGGCAATCTCCTCCCAGCTGTGCAAGACCTTCAGTGCCAGGTGCTCCTCCGTCTGCTTCTTGTGACCTGCACCATTGATGAATACGTCATGGCACTGCAGCGAACGCTCTACTCACCAACGCGCGGGGGCAGGTTAGGGTTCCAGTCCTTCTACTCCACACAGCTATCTCCTTCTTACACAGCTCCCTCCTTCATCCACAGCTCTCTCCTTCATCCACAGCTTCCTCCTTCACAACTCCTTCCTTCATCCACAGCTCACTCCATCCACAACTTCCTCCTTCATCCACAGTTCCCTCCTTCATCCACAGCTCCCTCCTTCATCTACAGTTATCTCTGATATATGCAGAGTCTCTATCTATCCAAACAACAATCAGTGGGCATGTTCTTCCAAATGGTGCAACCTCAGATGATGCCTCTGATTTTATTAATCAAAAAAGTCACGATGATGATGAGGATGATTACTGGGCTGGGTTAACCAGGCAAGGGATCGGAATCCTTTCAAATCTTTTGGTGTGGTTTGTTTTTCTGAATGATTTAAAGTAATAGTGGCACGATGTTAACTACTTCGCCTGGTATACAGGAGGTCGTGGGTTCGATCCTGACCCTGTATATTTGGAGTTTGCATGTTCTCCCTGTGGTCACGTGGATTTACATCCGGGTCCTCCGGTTTTTCCCAAACAAACACATTTATAAACACGAGTTTAGAGTATTTGGCTGCTATACATTTCCAAATGATAAGCCACTTCGTTGAGCTATCATCTGTGGCCAGATCGCTTCTGAAAAAGACCTATATAGCTCAGTGAGCCTTACCTGGTACAATAAAAATTGCTTTTTAGTTTCAGTTTCTCACCGTTGTCATCTTCCATCTCAGTGGGGCCATTGAAGATACGGTTGGCCACCTTTACCCGGCCACCCGGCCCGTAGTGCGGCCCGTCCACCTTGTTGTCCTTGCACAACTTGGCCAGGATCTGTGTCGGCTTCATGGGGTCGCGCCACGTGTTGTAGCCGTGACTGCAGACAATGCGCGAGGGGAGGGGAAAAGAGGTGCATTTATTTCCCATGCTGCAGTCTACATTATAGACTGCCAGTACACTCACCGAGGTTAAGAACCAGGCTACAGTCTACATTATAGACTGCCAGTACACTCACCGAGGTTGTCTACATTATAGACTGCCAGTACACTCACCAAACTTAATAACCAGGCTACAGTTTTGCCGATGCGACAAGATCATTGCATGAGTCCATATGACTCGACACACGTTAACCCCCACGCAAAGGTCACATTCGCTAAAATCCGTGAATTAAAGACGAATGTCGCCACTCACACGGCGTACTGCTGTGCGATCCCGCACGTGGCACGGTGCCGGCTGTAGTAACGGTTCTCGAGGTCAATCTTCGTCTCTCCAATGAGGTCATCCATGCCCACCAGGTCCCAGTCCATGACCTGCACAGTGAGCATTGACTCCATGGGGAAGGTGGCCTCGATGTCAAAAGACCTGGAAACAGCAAAGTGATCACATCATGCTTACTGCACATTGCCTTTCCATTAGATGAACAAATACATTTGAGACCGTACGTAGCCAACCGCGCTCATCAGAGGTGCGGGAATATCACTTGTATGGTAATAATAACGCAGGGTGTATTGATGCATCACTTCATTGATTGATATTTATTCTTAAGCCAATGCACATGTAAAAATCAACGGCTTTTTTAATTAACGTGTCGTATATAATGGGTTCACCTGAACCTTCCAGCCACGAGAGGCTGCTATACCCTTCACAATGTAAAAAAAAAATATGGTTATTGAATCAAAATGTCACAACGAATTGTGACAATTCATTTATTTACTACAGAACCAAATTGCTACTCCTCGAAAATTGTGCTGTTACAATGTCAACGCTTGATAAAATTGCTCGCCACTTTAAGGATAACCAACACTGCATTGACATCTTAAACGCTATAACTAATGGGATCAGGTGGATTGAAACCGCAATTGGCATGACAGACGTCACAGTAACATGAGCACGTACTTTCCAAAGATGGGGTTCAGCTGCTTGGAGATGTAGTTTTCATTGTCCTTCACCTCGGTCTTGCCCAGCTTGATCACAATGTACGGATCCGCCTTCCCATTGATGTCAGCCGGATGGAGGTCAGTGGCCTGGTTGCCAGATGAGCGAACAGAACAAATACGGCACAATATTATGTTACAGGTGAAAGTGAAGTCGGAGCCCCGCAAATGTCTCGTCTCCTGCCACTGCTGGTGGAAAGGCTTCCATTAGAAGGAGCTCTGGAGAGGCAAACTCGAGGGTAATTCAGCCTACTCTTTCACACTGGCTAGACGTCACGGAGGAGGAGGGCGTACCCACACTTCACTCCACACACACACCACCTGCCGATAGACTGTGGTGCACCCATGTATGCTGCTGGGTGGACAATCGTGGCCAATCGACCACTGATCATTTTTAAAAGGGCGGAATGTTGTATATATAGGCCTTTTTCCAAAAAAATATATTAAGAATAATTCGGCCAATATTTTTTTTCTCCATGAAAGGAGCATGAACAGGCGACCTCAGGATTGCAAGTTCAGTGAGCAAACCATTGCACCATGGCCACATCTCCAACATTATTGGCAGGTTAACTTGTACTTGTCAAACAAATGAAAATGATAAGGGTGGCCAACTTCAGTGGATTTTTCTCCGAGTCCTCTGGTTTTTCCCTCCACATTTAGAAACGTAAGTTTAGATTATTTGGCTGGTGTAAATTTCCACATCATAAGCCACTTCGTTGAGCTATCATTTGTGGCCAGGATGTTTATGAAAAAGATCTATATAGCTCAGTGGGCCAATTGTGGTAAAAAAAACTAACTAACACCCAAGTGAGTTCACTCAGTCAACGCCTCTGAAAGTCTGGTGAAAGCGATGGTTTTCCCGCATGCAGTGGACTTGACGGTGACAAAAAAGCGTCTGAAGCAATCCACCACAAATCCCCCCGTGAAAGTGGGCAATATTCACCTCTGAAGACATCGGAAAGTATCCAAGCCATGGTAAAAATGTCAATCGTTTGAGGGAAAAAAGCCCAAATGGGAGCAGCCAATGCGAAGCCTCAGCAGCAGACCATGCTTTCCCCACCTGATGATGGACGCTTGTGTTGCGCCCGACTCGTCGTGATTTATTTTATTTTTATACCTACGTGACTTTACCGAAAGAACCAAAGAGTATGGATTCCTGCAGTCACGAAAGCTTCAAATCAAGATTGATGCGAAGCTTATTCGATGGCCGCGTACCGAGTGGCCAAAGTGGTGTCCTACTCGGCACTTACTTTTTACAGCTGTTCTCTCGCCAGGTATGGCGAGTTTACTAAATTAAGTGAGCACATTAGTAAGGAAGTTTGTTTAATGACCAAAATGTAACAGCTATTGTCATCGGCCACAATGATAATGCATCAACCATCGACCAACTGGTCGGGATCGGTAGCACTGACTTGAAAGTACAGTTGTGTTCTCCTATAACGCGGTAGTTCCTGAAGAACACCGCAGTATGAAAACATTGCATTATAATAAACAATATAGGGTAAAGCACCAGACGAGACAACATGTGAGATGCGTATGTAGGCCAAAAGCATCCAGCAGCATCCCGTCTTGTGTGACGCTACATCGAGGCAGCTGTAAGTCAGTTTACACTGGTAGGAACCTCCTGGTTACACCAGCCCACAGGGGATTATTGTGTCCGTCGTGCAGGGAGGGCCTTGGTGGGGAGAGAGAGGCTGGGTGGGGAGGGGAGGGAAGGGTGGGGATGGTCTGGGTGGGGAGGGTGGGCAGGGGCTGGGTGGGGAGGGTGGGGCTGGGTGGGGGTGGGAGGGGTGGGGCTGGGTGGGGAGGGGCTGGTCACCCCGTGGTGCTCTTATAAAACGCAACGTTTAACCTACTCACGCCGGCTTGTGCCCGCCCTCACAGTCAGGCATATTTGCGGAATACACCACGCCGCCGTTGACCCTGGCCATTGACCGAGCAACCCAACGTTCCTACCAGCTCCCTCCGCAAGAATGTGTTTTTTACTCGCGTGAAAATAGTTCTGTTCACTCAATCACGTTATCTACTATTCGCATCCGCGTTATAAAAAGTCTGTTCCCTAAGACGTTCATCGCGTTATATCCAATTCGCGTCATGAAAAAACACGAGTTATAGGAGAACAGACTGTAAGGCAAACGCTGCAGCAGTTTATCCTAAACACTGTTCAGAAAAGAAAAGTGGGCTCAGGCAGGACACGTTACGAGAAGGTCGATGATGGTTGATGGTCGAGAATAATAAAGGAGTGGCAAACAGCGAAAGAAACGTGTCCGGGAGGATGTCCATCGAGGAGATGGAGCAATGAAATCAGTTTGTGTGCAGCTTCTAGGTGGAGGGTTGTATCTTCAGCATCATGAGATAAGGTGCTAGTTTTGTAAGGCCTTCATCCAGCAGTGGACTGACCATGGCCGATGGTAATTCTTTAAACCTTGGATGGGTTTAGACGGATTCTTATCAGCAAGGTATGGTCTATTAAACCCAGACTCCTGCGTATGCCCCAGTTAATGGCGAGGACCAATCACAACGTGGGACCCACTCACCGTCCACAAGTGGGTTTAAAAAATGATGGAACATATCAATGGAGGTTTGAAAATGGCCTTAAGGTAATACTGCGTTGCTGCGCGTGTGCTGATGGCGTACCCGCACAATGTAGACCCTCACGAGCACGTTGATGGGATCGTTCGTGGGGATGCCCTGGAACATTCCAAACTGGGGGTCGTACCCCACCTCCTTCAGCACGTTGTCCGCGAGGGGCCACTTGTACACGCAGGTCGAGCCCTGTCGACAAGAACCGCGATGACAACAATCGTGTGCACAGCCGTTGACCAATCCATTCCACATGTATTTATATTTTTTTATAAAACTAAACTAAATAATTTAAAATTTTACCAGGTAAGGCCCACTGAGCTATATAGCTCTTTTTTAGTAGCGACCTGACCACAAATGATAGCTCAACGAAGCGGCTTATCACGTCTAAATTTATAATAGCCAAATAATCTAAATGCATGTTTCTAAATGTGGAGGGAAAAACCAGAGGACCCGGAGAAAAATCCACACGACCACAGGGAGAACATACAAGCTCCAAATATACAGGTGGCAGGGTCGGGATCGAACCCACGACTTCCTGCATATCAGGCGAGGGAGTTGGCATCTCACCACCCTGATGTTCAGGTTGTTTGAAAAAAGGTTACGGTCACTTCAGTCTCACCTTGAAACGTCCCACCACCCTCTCCTCATCCAAAATGTCATCTTCATCGCTGGTCTTGCCACGATACAGATTGAACGTGTGTAGCCAGTCCTCAAAGTTGTCAAACTCTGCCTCCAGCTCCTTGTCATAAACCTGCACAGGTGCACAGACCACTGGCTCAGTGTGTGGCATGGACAAGCGTGCGGAGATATTAAAAGGAAGGTGGAGGGCACTGTTGAGTGGAGGGCACTAACTAAGATATTTTCCCATGAAACAGAGCACCTTCATTGCAATGACTTGGCAGAGTAAAGATGAGCAAAAGCAGCCAATGAGGTCCTCTAAACATGTACTTGATTAGGCTGAAGTTTGGCTTCAAGCTACTCGGGGTTCTGACTTTACAAAACTGAGGATGGATTTCTGTTTCCCATTGCTACTTTAGGCGATATTTCAACATTGCTCGAACATGGGTGCAAAACAACATTAATCACCACGATAAGGTACTGTCGAGATTAAGTGCAAGCCAAGCGCCTTTCTTTATGCAAACAGGTACCTTAAGAGTACACACGCTTTTGGTCAACACACTTCAATAAAATGCGTGGCTTATAACTAGCAGGAGATGAGCCCAATTGGAGAAAAATAAACATAAAGAAATACCCAGAAACAGTGGGATATTTGTCTGTTGCTGGTGTGGACCAATCAGTTTCAAAGACAATGCATATATTATTATCAGAGCATGATTTTTTTTGCTTGTTCACCACAAGTACGTGTGGTTAATGCAGACAGGGTTTCTTGAATAAGGATTCTGTTTGGTGGTCCAACATCTTGACACCTGTTTTATTGCCAGAAAGGGCAGCTTGACAAAACATTTTACGTGACCAACAGCTATAAAATATCTGAAAATTGACTTGAAAATTGGTTTGGATGTGGAAATAAATGCACACAAAGCATATCTTTAATTGCGGATTTGTTAAAGGAACGTTTCAATGCCATTGTGCCAAATACGCCAACTCACTTATTCATGAATGCATGGGTGATATTGTTTAGTTTTAGAATATATAGTCACTTAACAATTTGGAAATAAAAACCACGTAATATTTTTCTGGGCCGAGTTGAGAATTTGCAGGTACAAATGTTATTCATTATTAAATTGCCCTATTTGTTTAATTAACAAATGACCTTAATATAGACCTTTGCACAGTTGTGGGTAATTTAAAAAAAAATGCAATTGTTAAATGCTATGTAATTAGTACAAATTACCGAAAGAGTTGGATATCTAAATGTGCTCAGTTTCTACTGGATTAATAAACATAAACTAGATGTTGGCGGATACTGCATTAAAATTAAATTTAAAAAATATATACGCATAGCTTGGCGATGCAATTAGGCACGACGCTTGTTTTTATTATTTGATTCTGATACTCCACCGCCCGCAGTTTGCACTGCCATGCAGTGAAGAATATACGTGACTGAGTTAAAATATTGGTATTTTCCCCCTAGTTCTTTATTTCATATGCTCTCTGGATAAGAGGAGCAACAACTGATAAAGGTTCTGGGTTAGATCATGTTATTTATAAATGTGTCGCAACCCTCCACCACCCGACATGGCCAATCAGTAAAAAAACGTGTCACGTTGACAAAAGACAAATCGTTCACTATTTTAGCCCACCGGTGTGTTGAAGAGTGGATCCATAACAATTACAAGGAGGGTTGCGACATATTTATAAATAACGCGATCTAACCCAAAAACCTTTATTATGAATAATACTGGTCGCGAAAGCCTGCTACGTGTTAAGAAGCAACAACTATACGTCATGGCACAGGTCTTTGCTATTAAGCTAGCACCAATACAAATTAACAGCGGTGGTGGGCAAACGTTTCCAAAAGCGATAAGCCAGAAAAAACACTGATATAAAAAAAATCGAGGTCTGTGCATCACTGCTACCGCCTCTAGGAATTGCTGCTTAAGATTAGAAAAAAAACGGGCAGGGTAAAGTCTAAACCTGTACCTTAGCGACATGCATTTAATTGGCCTCACTGATATTAGAGAACAATGTATGGCTCATTTTACAATTATTTTGAATGAGTGGGAAGATAAATTAATCTTAAAATCCTAATTATTTTGCACCATCCTCAATGCCGAGACTCTTCAGCAAAACGAACCACAAACGTTTGGCGTGTGAATTGTGAACTAGAGGTGTGATTCGCTAAATGCTCTGCAATTCCTCACATTTCTTCAATGACCCCCAAGCCTTCGCTGAATAATCCCACCGAAATATCTTTGTTGAAAAATGAATTTTGTTTCCAAGATAAATAAAAAATGTCTTGGGAAATCTGTAAAGAAGGTTGGGGGAACGAATAGAAAATACGCACATACATCTCCCACCACCATGAACCTGTGCATGCTGTCACTGCCCACCGCAAACATCTCTCCATATTGCCGCAGAAAAGAGCTCAGCCAGTCAACAGAGAAGAATGAATGTTGAAAGAAAAAAAATATTTTCATGATACAGTCTAGCCCAGTGGTTCCCAACCTGTGACCCACGGAGCCACCGGTGCGCTCTTGCAAGGCCATCGCAAATGATCCGCGAAAATGAAGCAGACGCAATTCAATCTTGATTTGAAGCTTTCGTGACTGCAGGAATCCATACTCTTTGGTTCTTTCGGTAAAGTCACGTAGGTATAAAAGAAAATAAATCACGACGTTTCGGGCGTGACTTTAACGAAAGAACCAAAGAGTATAGACGCAATTCACTTTCACTAAACACCATTCGTCTTCGCCGCCTGGTGCTCCGTGAAAATACTTCAAGGGTTGAGCGGTCCGCGGGTCAAAGGTTGGGAACCGCTGGGCTAGCCGATCATGGGATAGCAACGCCGTTGCATACTGCCGCAAAACAAATGCATGTAACTGAACGCAACATGTATTACGCAATGTACGACCATGCAAGATTTCAGCCACAAATCACGAAAAAACTGCCGTAACTCCCTATTTAATGAACCAAATCAAAATCTCTCCATTTTAAAGTCTCAGCGCGGGGATATTGCTTTCACGTTATCACGTTATAGTCAACTTGTGCCCAGCAGTAAAATAATAATGATGTTATTTTTGTTATGCTATGCTGATGACCGAATTCATCTGTTAAATATTGGCACTTCATTAAATAGAACAGGAACGTTATATTCTAGTGATGGGCATTAATCTAACGAAGCTATTTCAGGCTGGGCTATTTTTTTTTGTATATCATATATTCTTTAATAACATGGGCAGGTGATGCAAATGGAAGATTTAATGAAAATTCACTGGAAAGAGAGAAGTATTCCTGGGGAAGGTAGTATATTTGTGATTTGCAGCTGAATCGATTAAACCATATTCTATAGGTCCATTGCAGAGGTCTCTGGGTAATGAAACTCAACCAAAAGCCAGCCCAGGTTTTCCATGATATTCCACATCAGGTACGATAAATACAATCCTGGAAAATGACATCAAATGTAATGTATCTAATGGTACCTTCTAAGGAATATTACTGGGCTGATCTTTGGACTGAGTAATCACTAGCCAGCACTAGTTGCTGCATCTACCAGAATTGTAGAAATGCACTGCCACCGAACGCAGAGGAAGGCATGGCCTATGACACATGCATAACACCTGGCCCCACCATTAGCCAGAGGTAAGGTATGGTCATTACTGTACCATTAACAGTCCACCAGACTTCATAACCATCAAACAGTGCTTCAGCAGTTCTGGGTTCATCCGATGCTATGGCAAGAAACATCGACCACCAGGGTTAGGCCTTTGTTGATCCACACGTAGACGACGAACGCCACACCTTGTTGCTCCAAGGCCAAGAGAAATCTGCAGGTGCTCATAATTCAAAAAACAAACTGTACCACGTGCAGTGTAGTACATAATGATGGTGTTACTACATCATGTCGTTCATAATGATGTACGACGTCAGACAGGTGTAGTGGTGATAACTACTCGCGGTTCGCAAGCTGTGAGAGAGCAGTTGGTAAACAAGGTTTTCCCGCTCAATCAAACGGTTAGGGTCAAATGGGGTGAGGTAGGATCCAAACGCCAGATTGGGAAGAACCAATCGGAGGGGTCCAAGAGGTGGCCGGGGATTGGTTAACCCGGCCACGAACAGGTATAAAAGCTGGAGCGCTGAGAGCTCTTGGTGAGTTCTGCTACACGAAGACCCAAGTCGGCTGAAGACAGCTAGGACCCTGGACCAAGCCTTCCAGCCCTTGTCAGGGCTGGGGCTCAATGTAACCAGTGGTCAGGGGAGATAGGTCCTGGATAGGACCCTGGCTCCCAGCCTTCCCGCCCTTGTGAGGGCGAAGGTCCTGAGTGACCAGAGGTCGGGGACCCGCCGGGCCAACGGCGGGTCGGTGTGCCTCCCCTAGGTCCCAGCCGGAGGACGCTAGGCTAGCGGGGGAGATAGCCGGCAAGTCCGGAGTCTGTAGCTCCTCAGGATAGCGGGTACGGGGACCGTATACCCCTTGTGTTAGGTGTAGCAAGTATTGGTGAATAAAAGCGTGTGGCCTCTAAGAAGTCTCCGTCTCCTTCAAGAACATTACACAGGTATGCAGTACATCATAATGTATTAACTCGTGTGTGTGTGTATGTGTGTTGGAGGGCTACGTATCAATGATGTTGCCATTAAGATGTCGGTACGAGGTTTTATAGATGATGGCGATGGTCGTTTGTGGTGCTGGTGATCTAAATGAGGGTATGTGTTTAGAAAATGAAATTGGTATGAACACTAAGGCAATGTAGTTATGTTGGTGAGGTTACAGAAGATAGCATTTAAAACGCTTCTGTCCTGTAAAATGTACTGAATTGACAAAACAAATCAAATAATGCCACCATACATTTACATGCAAACAATACACAGATGGATACACACAGGAGCATCAGATCCACACCTTTCAATAAATATTTGTAGCTCAATTCAATTGCTGGGAGCCATTTGAATCTATAAAATCTCTACAAAATCGGCAAAAGAAAATGGGATTTACCACTATGCAGCAACGCACGTGCATATATATAGGCCTTTAATACATTCAGTCCACCCCAGGTCACCCGAAACCTTTTTGTTGCCATTACACCACGTGACTTGCGTATTATTTTTATTTACCAGTGATACACTGGTAAAGAAGACAAAAAAACTCAACGCATGTGTCAATAAGACGGCCCCTATAAGGAAAAACGTGACGTTTCGGGCAATGGCCCTTCTTCATGGCAGAGATACTCTACAGGGCAGGGGTTATCGCCGAATGAGTCGCGGCTTTGTTATCGGTGCTTGTGCACCCACTTCCAACGTAGCATCGCCAAGGGTTTTGTTGAACGAATATATCACGAGCACCTCGCCCAGGCCTGGAGTTTTGTTTCCTGTCCGTGCGGTTGGTCGCCTCGACCAGTCGCCACGTTGGAAGTCAGCTTCGGTGACGCATCAATGATTCCCAGGGGGGATTACGAATGCTTTTAAAACAGGCTGATCCATTTATAGACACCCCACTGACACGAAACGGAGAATTTATATGGAAAACCACATTTTGCATCAAAGCCTCTAAAAATCTCCTATAAATCTCAATAAATGTATTACATCTGTTCACCCTCTCGTGTGTAAAATATGAGCCATTGCTTTCACAACATTCGCTCGACGGTTGAGCATAAAATAGCAAAGGGCATTTTCGAGCACTGGCATATCTATAAATGGATCAAACACTTAGTTTATTGAGCCCCGATTGCAGTTGACAAACATTAATGGGAATGGCCAACCATCTCAATGCAGAATCGTCCTTTTAAAAACATCTTCAAACTCAGCGAGGCTTAAATTCCGATTTAAAGCTTTCGTGACTGCAGGGATTCATCTTCTTGGTTCTTTCGGTAAAGTCACGTAGAAGGGAAATAATAAAATAATAAAAAGAAAGCATAATAAAAAAAATGTACATTTAAAATTATTATTTTATTATGTTTAATTTTTATTATTTTATTATTTCCCGTCTACGTGATTTTACCGAAAGAACCAAGAAGATATTTAAAATCCATCCAATCTTGAGCTCCCCTGCCCAGAATGTGCAGTAGCCCTTCTCAAAACTAGCATTCAATACAAAACATATATTGCATTGCTTTTTTAATTATATTACGTGTGGAGCTGCCCAGAGAGGATGATTACCGGTTACTTTAAGAGCACTTCAATTAAATCGCCTACATTCGATAAGCTGCTACAAACAGATGTAATTGGTTTCTCCCACCAGTTTGGTTCGTAGGGTCAACTGTAAATTGCTGATGAGGTGAACTTGGAAGTTTCTTCTGAGCCCTTAATACACAAGTGCATTCTTACATTGCTTATCGAGTGCCTGGGAAAATCTATGATATAAAACAGCCAAATTATTTCAATCCGAGCATTGAAAACATGCGCAATTCTCTTGGATTACAGATAACTGAGAATAGATTACGTTTTAAAGTCATTACATTATTTTAAAGTGTTGGAAAGTATTATATATAATAAGTGGTCTTCTGAAATGTTCATTAATTTCGGAATCTGAATTCTGACCAGGATTGTGAATATAAAACCAGTGGTTGTTCAAGGATTGTTTTAATGTTCTGATCACATTTTCAATTCGCTGCATGGACAAATTGCAGTGTTTCCCGTTGAATTAAAATCCTATAGATAGGACTGACTCATGAGCCTTGCAAGAGCTACCAATTACACACTGAAGACCAAGGATTATCTGTTAATGTAAACGTCACAGTCATCATTTCAACAGCAAAACCTGGTTTATTTGAAGCTGCAGCACATAACGATAGATTAAATATTTGAACAAGATAATGCATTCATTGTTGCCATAATGAATGCCTATTTATACTGCAGCTTGGTGGTAATTACAGTCGGTTCATCCTATTTATAAAAGCAAGCAGGTTTTGCCATTTTACAATGATTACAACTGTCACTGTTTTTTTTAAACCCACAATGGTCCTTACAATGACTAACCGGGCGGTTTTGAAGTTCTCAGAACAGAGAACGAAGACCACTCGTTCTAAAGAATCCTTACACCGTGGGGCGTATGTTCATATAAAGTAATCACAGCACAACTCTGTTCTTCAAGTAGCCCCAACACGAGAAAGCCCTTCAGTCATAAACCGATGTGATGCAATCACGTGACCTATACCATGTATTCCCAGGATTTTTTAGCCCAGTGATCTCAGATATCACAAATGTTCTTAAAAACTAAAAAAAACGACACACACATTGTTACAACATGGAGACATCCCATACTTGAACAAAGAATAATGTAATAGTCACATTGAACAATCCAGTGATTAAAGACAGACAATGCAATAACAACGGTCACCCTTATGAATAAATACCTACACATACCTATGCAGCTGAATGGATAAATATATTAACAAGATACACATATAACCACAATTTAGTACATACACCATGCACACAGTGCAGCCATGAGAACAATGTATGACTGCCACGTATTTTTGGACACAAATAATAAAAAAATGGCACTTTATCAATAGCTATATGTGCCAGTGATTTGGGTTTCTACAAGGCACAGGTAGACGCTATTAGCACGGATAGATTGTATTAGCGACACTATGGACTGCAGGGATCAATAGCCGCATCCACCATGTACCAAATTCAGAGCACATGAGACTACAGTCTTGTAGTTTTGACTCAACTGTTACGTTTAATATGTAAATCGCTTTGGCTTTAGCAAAGAGCAGGAAAATAAATCTATTTAGAAAATCGATAGCAGCCAAATAAGGTCAAGCTACTTATTTATTATAAAAAGTAGCTGTGTGCGTAGGAACACCACATCTTTGCTCATTTGGTGGGAAGAGGAAGGCCCAGTAGGGATTTCAGTTTCTGTCTCTGCGGGAGACACAAATACAATTGGCTAATACACACACGTGCACCCTCGCCCATCTTGTCGGGCCAGGTCTAGTTCGCTGGCCAAGGCGGTGTGATGGCAGGCACGATGGGTTTTTTTTGGCATTAAGGCTCTGTAGTGGGTGTCCCTGTATTCTACCTTCAACTCTTCCACTCGAAGGTGAGGTTTCTTCTTCAGCTGTTTGTCCTTGTCGGCCGCTTTGTGGAACTGCAGGGCCTTTCTTGGGGACTCTGCGGCTGTCGGTGTTACGTTTGTGTGGCGTGGGAATGTTACATTGGGGCATGTGGGCATGAGTTTTGTGTAATTGCAAGTATGTGCAAGTGTGTGTGTGTGTGAGATAGAATACATCACATAGTGAGTATGCTTGCTAAAACTGTTTAATAACATTGGTCTTGAAAGCCGATAGGCTGAGAGACTAAAACATTTTTATTTCGTGTGAAAACACAAAATCGAGTCCTTATTCTATTTACTTCTATACGCAATCGTAAAAATTATCCCCTCCTTTACATAGAAATGCTCCAAAGTGACCAGAGACTTTTAAGACGGTCTTCTGAGCGCCCCTGAGAAAATGTCTCCACGTTCAAGGATCTACGCTGCACGCGCCAGTCGAGGTTTCATTGTAGGGCATTTCTGCAGGAGGCCGTGGGTCCGATCCAGACCCTGACGCCTGTATATGTGGAGTTTGCATGTTCTCCACGTGGTCGTATTGATTTTACTCCGCGCCACATTTAGAAATATGGTTTCTAGAAATCTGCACACGATAAGCCACTTTGTTGAGCGATCGTCTGTGTGGCCATGTCGCTTCTGCAAAAGAGATCTGTTGTAGCTCAGTGGGCCTTACCTGGTAAAGTAAAAATAGTTCATCGTAAAATATTGAGCAAATAGCAGACAAACCCTGGGCTGGCTCTGCAGCGGCTCCCTCCACTGCATCTTCACCTGGAGTCTGCAACCGACTCTGCAAAGCGAAATGCAGATAATGCAACAATACAAAAAAAGGTTGCAGAGGAAAACACGGGGAATTAATCAATGAATCAACATTCTCAAAATAATAACGATGAAATCCATCATGTGACCTCCTTTGCAGACATGATTCCTTGTAAAAGGTTTCAGTTTGGTGTTTTAACATCTTAACACCTGTTTTGTTGCCAGAAAAAAGGGGAAAACCCTATTATGTTGAAGACCATTTCAGTAGAAAGATGCAACACAAAAAATAGATACCTCTTAGCATTTATTATCATGCAAAGGTATCTATCTCATTATTTATGCTGGGTTGGGGTGCAATATCCTTTCATTATATAATACAATCTTGTGACAATATAGCGACGATCGTGACATCAGTTTAACGTAACTTTAACATTGTATTTAACTATATTATTGCATTGTTTTTGTGCTCAATTCTTGTCAATTGTGTTTATGCACCACTGCCAATACTGTGTTAAGTTTTAATTGAATGCAAAAAATGATTTACCAAACGTTAACCCTTTCCCATTCTGAGACGTCTGAAAATTGCAGGGTGGGTCCCGTTCACCGCTGAATCTCGGAACGCACAAGTAGTTCAGTGTTAATTTTATCTAGAAAAGCGTAGCGCTGCTGTTTTTAAAGGGATTCTCCTATAGTCACCACAGACAACTGCAGCGACACGACCGCACTCTACGATAGCTGGCGCCAAGCTGTGCCAGACGCCCTCCCGCATGGCCTTTAACTTCTGATTCCGTTCAGAATCGATTCCGTTCCGATGATGTGAAAGTACGTAATCGGAAACAGAATCAGAAAAAAAACTGATGATGTACGCCCTACATAATCGGAACGTGAGAGGAGTTAATTGCGCCTACGCACTTCCGCCAATACTGTCTTCGGTATTAATATGAATGTGACAATTCACCGCACGTTGAAATGCATCTCTCGAGAAACATTCCTTCCTGTAAACAGAGAGATGCCAGCCCCCACCCACTCCCTACCTCTTGGAGCATCTCAATGGAGGCAAAGTACTTTGACCACCAGTCCAGCACGCTCTCGTCACGCTCTGCATCCTCCGGTTCTGTCTTCTTTTTTTTACTCTTCTTGCCGTGGGTGGCCCCCGGCTCTCCCTACACAAGCAACACGCCCGCAGATAATTTTTGACGACCGAGGGCCACAATTTGCTCGGCCTTTCGTTGAATCCGTTCGCCCGCTTGCGCACATACAACACACACACACGACAAAAGCGCTCACATTGCAGAAACTTCAACGTGGTAAAGGGAGCATCTAGAAAGGTGGATTAAAGGGAACTCTCATCATCTATTTTTTTCTAATCCAGTGTGCGCACAGGCCCTTTGTCAATCTACTGCTGCCTGAGGGACTTCTATACCACAAGGGTTGAAGGTGTGATTTTACCATACTTTACCACGTTGGTCAGTGCCGGTTGGTGTAGACATGGGAGCGTAGAAGCACAGTACAACAATGGAACTTTCTGCACTGCCCTTTGCTGCCAACTACGTATGCACGGAGATCAGGCATCCGAACACTGGCCGGGCTCCACCGTTTACCAACCTTTGTCAATAATTCACATTTATATTTTCTTTCCCAAGAAAGTATCAATACTTTCATTCAAGATATTTATGCTTGCATTTTTAAAAGTATATTTATACAGTATATGTCAGAAGCTGGTGTACCTGGCTAAACCCCATATTCACGAGGAGACACTAAAACACATGTATGTTAAACTTCCTTCGCACCGTACGTAGCCAATCGCGCTAACCGGATTAGCTGCTAGAAACCTACTAGCAATGAAGGGACATTCACTTGTAGATAACAGCTTCACTATCCTGTAGGTAGGCACCTCAAAGAGAATCAATCTCTACAAAAACTAGGAACAGGGCCGCACAGAGGTCGGCGGAGGGGTCGGGCAGAATGCCATATGGGGCACCCTAATGGCACCTCCTTATTTGCAAGGCCCTAAGCAAATTGCCCCCTTTCCCCACTTCCCTCTGGGCGGCCCTGCCCATCAACGCCAAGGTCAAGTTGCTGATTTTTACATGCGTGTTTGTGCCACCACAATACATCGAACAAAGATGCAGCGATCGTCTTTGTTCAAGCCACCGAACAAAGACGGCCACTGCTTCGCGCACTTTCAGATGCGCTTCTGCGGCCGTCTGGAGCGCTCTTCCTTCCGATCATAGAAAGCCACTGGAGCTATGCAATTTTAAATCTAAATTAAAAACTATTTTCTTTAGAACTCTTTTTTGTGTTTAGTTTGTTGTCTTTCCCTCCGATGAGCACAGTTGGCTACGTATGGTGCGAAAGAAGTTCAACATACATGCATACATCCAGCCAGGAATGTAATGGAACGGTTCTGTAGAAACCATTGTAGAATTAGCCCATTTGTGAGGCCTGATTTACATTTACATGCCATCCAATCAATCCGCCCTGATCATCGCTGGATGGTGGAGTGCAATGGTTCTTATAACCTGGGGTGCACGCACCCCCTGCGAGGTGTAGACAACCATGGGGGTGCGAGACACGGACGTTTTTTTTTAGAAGGTAAATCATCGAAACACAAATTAACCACGGGCACGTAAGTTACAACTACTTTGTTTCATCAAACCTCTGTATTTATTAACATTATGGATTTTTTTTTTTACGATTGAGAACCCCACTTCTTTCTGGGCGGCCCTGCCCATCAACGCCAAGGTCAAGTTGCTGATTTTTACATGCGTGTTTGCGCCAACACAATACATCGAACAAAGATGCAGCGATCGTCTTTGTTCAAGCCACCGAACAAGGACGGCCACTGCGTCGCGCGCTTTCAGATGCGCTTCTTGCGGCCGTCTGGAGCGCTCTTCCTTCCGATAACAGAAAGCTACTGGAGCTATGCAATTTTATATCTAAATTGAAAACTATGCCGCGGTAAAGATTAAGAACCACTGGTGTAGTGAATGTGCGATTACACACGCCCTCGATGGTGATTGTTGTCTCTGTTTTCTTGTCGGAGTCTGCCGTGTTCGTCTCCACGATTTGCTTGATAATCTCGGCATCGCTGGTCGCCTGCTTCACTGTGAAAGCAACCACATTGCAGCGGAGTGAACACACCTGCCCTATGCACACATTGCTCGCCACATCTCAGACGAAACTATCCCTTACTTCATTGGCACAGAGTGCACTTCTTCTACACTCACGCACAATAAAGCCATAGGGGGGCACTCACACTTTACCCCAGTGCAGCCCATTGTACCACCAGGTTGACAGAGGCTATAGTGAATTAATACATGTTTAAGTCACCTGGACTAGGAATTGAACCCAGATTATGTATACACTGATGTGGTGCATTAACCTACCATGTGCGAACATAATAAGAGTCTTACTCATGTGCATTTAGGTAGTATGCCCACAAGCAAAATTGTACAAATCTGTACAGCTATCAATTGTACAGATTTTAGGCTGGCTGAATTGAGTACAGCACTGGGACCATGTATGCATGTGCTTGTATTTAGCTTTGTCAAGCTTCCCGAATGCCATAATGATAATGAATGCAATGTATGCATCTACCTATACAAATATTAATTTACATCTCATGTGGCTCTGAAAGGCCAAGGTAGGTAGACACAACATGTCGGGAGGAAACATGGGCCACGATAATTCTAGTTAAGAATAACTGATGCAATAATGTACATGATGCATTGATGTGCCATGCTATAGTACCAAATGACTCCCCTAAATATGGAGGCAATGGATCAAAAGGTTATTTATCTTAGCCCATATATATTGTGAATCATGACAATGGTGGCATGAGTCATGACGTGGACATCGATGGAAATAAATGAACGACTGACATTGCGGAGCTGAACATGGCTCACGGTGTTGGTGATGAGGATGCGCGTTTGCAGCGTGGTTAACTGGCAGGAATGATGCACAAATGTGCGACTTGTGGTGTTGTCATCGAGTTCAAAAGGGTTGACGCAGTAAATCGAAGGTGCGATGGTTAAAACATGCAGCACGGGAGGATGGGGGCCATGAGCACAAAGGTCAGTTACCTCGAAGGACAGCAAACCGTTTAGCCAGGAATCGAGGCTTAGCTGAGCACAAAGTAGAGGCAAAGAAAGTTCAGGACAGGGAAGGTAGGCAAGATGGTTTCAGATCAAAGGGTACAGGGAAACAGTCAGGGATTAAGGGCCAAGGAGGCAGGCATAGACAAGAAACCGTGCCAGACTACCTGTGCATTATTTTTCTATTCATACCAGGTAAGGCCCCACTGAACTTTTGAGTTCTTTGGAATCGGAAGCGAACTGGCTATCACACAAGATAGCTCAACGGAGTGGATCACCACCTGCAAATTTATAGCAGCCGAATAGTCTAAGGGCACGTTTCTAAATGTGGAGGGGGAAACCAAATGACCCGGAGAAAAAATCCACGCGGCCACGGGGAGAAGATGCAAACTCCAAATGTGCAGATGACAGGGTCAGGATCAAACCCACAATCTCCTGCATAACAGGCAAGGGAGTTAAGATATTGCCACCGTGATGAAGAAAAACGGTTAAATTGCCATAAAACTAAAAAAATTATGAAACAGTGTTACACGTTTAATATTAATTCATGTCCTTTAGCTAGATTACAGCTAAATAAGGTTTATTTTTGAGGGCATAAATCTATTCAAACGTAGTTGCCCAGAATGTAAGGAAACACTTCTTCAAATTGTGACATTTTTGAAATAACACTGACAAACAACGGCGTATTCGCACGCATAATTACATCCCAAGATGGTAAAGATTTGTTTCGGAGAGGATAATGTTATTTGATAACCTACAGTGGACATTACTGAGTGGCCGTGAATCTGTCGAATCACGCCCGCCAAGCGGTAAACAGTCTTGACCACTACGTTACTCAGCTGCTCAGGGTGAGTAACCTAGTGGTGAAGAAAAGACATGTGTCACTCCCAAGTAAGTCCACGCCGTATACCATCGATAGAACAGCTTACTGAAGAGAGAACAGTCGATACATTTGCATTGAAGCCTTTTGCAGGTCATTTAAAGCAGTACAGACACTATCGGGCCCAGGGGGCATTGCAGCTATAACGGCTTCATAATTGGAAGGCTGCCAGTTATACATCTTCATTGAGGTTGCACTCAGCCAGCCATCACTCCAGGGACAATCTCCAGGAACGGATGGCTGAGTATCTGCGAGAAGTAAACAGCGGTTGTACCATACAGATTGGCGCATATCACAGCAATGTGGAATTCCCATACCGTCAGTGGATCAGGGCTGCCAACAGAGATGAGGACCGAAGGGTGTTATTATACTCTCCTGAAAGTCAGAGCGATTATTTCCAGCTCACACGAGCATTTAGACAGTGATCATCACCTGTCCACAGCCCTCAGCCAGTGGTGGAAATTCCGCGTTCCTATGGCAGGGGACGAGGCAAAACCACTGATATCTTCCCCAAAAAGTTGTCATCAATTTACCAACCGCAGAGGAATGATGGGCTGTGTCAACCCTCCGGCCAGAAGTTAAACTTGCAACTTTTCCGATTGTGAGCTGCTTGTACTCTTTGTTTTTTTTTTCGGTAAAGTCACGTAGGTAAAAAAAGAGAAAATTAAATCACGACGTTTTGGAAGCAACACAAGCAACCGTCATCAGGTGTTGGCTGCTCCAGCAAAATTACTGAGGCGTGTGTTTCGTTTCTCTTTTTTACCTACGTGACTTTACCGAAAAAACCAAAGAGTATGGGACCCTTGCAGTCCCGAAAACTTCAAATCTAGAATTAATGCGAGCTGCTTGCTCTACCATCGAGTCACCTGGGCATGCAATGCCTATGCGGGGGGTGGGGGGGAATTAAATGCAGTGCTCAGTGGCAAAATGTTTGCGCGTAATGGACAGCGGGCCACTTACTGCTGCCTTGGCGGCCCATGTCTGGCCCCGTGGTGTGGAAGATGAACTTGCGTAGGGAGGTGACGGTTTGCGAGCCCACAAGAATGTAGCGTCCGAACGCGCGACAGTCCACCACTCGGATGTTGAGCGGCGGGTGGAACAATTCGTTCTCTGGCAGATCCTGTGAAGCAACCAAACCGAACTGATGTATCCTCCATCGAGCCACTCCCTTCACTTAACCCGCCCCCCCCACCACCACCGCAGCTTGCGAATTACGGCTACATATTTAATCTTGCAACTCCTTACGAGTAGAGCTCCGCATGATGTGTAGTATGTCGGCATTCATACATATTTTAGTCAATGCTTGCACCCTTTGCGTCCTTTATATCGGCGTTAGCGTCATGCATGAATGCGTTATAAATAAAACTGATTTTGCGTTTTATTACCGCATCATTTAACACATCTCCGTGTAAGCCCACAGAAGCCTCGGTAAAAAAAATATGTTGAATATGTCTGCCCTCGATTTTAGGGGGGCCGTGATAGAAAAGGTAATTGCTTGTAATATTTTATTATAGGTATAGACTGGACAATAATTGTGCCAAATATCAGTTTCCTAACCCCATCTAGAATATCATTTAAAATAAAATCACTCCCTTTTCACAACCATTTAAATGTATAAATGCACAACTTCATCGACAAAGATTCAAATGTGAAATATCAATAATCATAGAAAAACACATTGTAGTGATAGACTGCGTTGTTCAAGTACAGTATTTGTGTTTACAGTTATGTTTCGCCAAGCGAAGGGCAAACGATATGTTCGGCATGATGCATTGTGCAATAACTTTGATGAATGGATGAGGCCAAAGTGTATGCACACAGGCTTAAATCTTTTTTTTTAAACCAGATTATCTGGGATAAAAGTCAAAGATTTTGATTCAGTGCCTGGCACAGATATTATTTTTTAGTACAGACAGTTTAGTTTAATCACAGACATTCGTTTTTCTACAGCCACACAGCCACCTCCAAATTAGAGGCAGGCCTCTTGAACTGAACTTTGAGCACCATGTCCAAACAAACCTGCAATGCCTGTTCAAGTTCATTTATTAGGTATAGTCCTGTGAGCCATTCGGCTCTTGAATCGGGTGCAAACGCAACAAACAAAAAACAAAAACATGAACAAAAAACATCTTAAAGTGAATATGTGACTGAGTGCAAACAGAAAATCCAAGAAAAGACAGTAAAATATTGCAGAAAAAGCACCGTACACAAAAATGCGCAAAAATACCAGTGGGATGCAAGTCAAACAACAACAACCACAAGACAACTTAGATTAAGCCTTAGATTAAGATTAAGGTTTGTCCAGACAAACCTGCAATGCCTGTTGCGACATAGCCCGAGAGAACAATTGTCGCTTACCACCTCAAAGAACTTGACAAGGTGGCTGAAGTTGGGGTTTTTATTGAAGTCTGTGATCACCACCGACTGGATGCCCTTCCCCGCGCACTCGATGTCGACGCGTGGCCGATCTACCGACTGCAGCTGCACTCGCTTGAGATCCCTCAGGCCCCAGAAGAGAACCTGCAGGATGACAAAGGCCAAGGGGGGTGACACTGAGCATTGCAAGGGAGTGGTGGTGGCGGCGGTGGTGGTGGCGGCGGTGGTAGTGGCGGTGGTGGCGGTGGCAGCGCTCGGCATTAAGCAAACGAAGCAAACGCATGCGTGTGTACGTTGAACCTCTTTCGCAGCGTACGTAGCCAACCGCGCTAATCGGAGGTGCGCGGGAAGGACGAACAAACTAAACGCAAAAAGCAGTTCTAAAGAAATGAGATCTCAGTCTAGATTTAAAATCGCACAGCTCCAGTAGCTTCCTAATAAATGAAGTGCACAAGGCCCCAAGCAGCTGAAGGAGGTCCCAGGTTCGTGAAAAGTAGCGGTGAACCAAACGCCAGCTCGGATTACAATCCCAATAAGCACAAAAACTTAAAACTATCAAACAGAAATACAATTAATTCCATGCATCCCTCTTTTGTCTCCATCGCTCTTGCATCCGCACCCACCTCTGTCGCTTGTGAATGTCTCTCTCATCTCCGCTACATCTCTGTATCATCCGTAACTCTATTCTCTCATCGCACTATGTTTTTGCTTTCATCCCTTGTCTATAACTCATCTGTTGTCTCGCTCAGAGTTTATGCATTGAGGGGTGGAGGGGGCAGAAATGATTTCTGCTTTTGGGCTCTTAGCAGGCGGGCGAGCAGCAACACTCTGTTAGAGAGCTCCGTCCTTGACAGCAGTGCCTTTGATGATGGCCATGCATCTTGATGCATCTTGATGCAGTAATTTTAGCTGTGACAGTCCCACCTGATGACCGAGACTTGTGTTGCCTCCGAAACGTCGTGATTTATTATTTTATTTTATTTCCATTTTTACTTTTATTAACTTTAAATTTAATTTTTTTACGTACGTGACTTTACCGAAAAAAAACCTAACAGTATAATGGCCATGTTTACATAAAACATTCACACCGTGATTAACTCTCCATAGACGTGCTGACGCATTCACACACATCGCCTGTTAGGTTCGGACCAGGTTTAGTTCATGGCATAGCTTGCATTTAATTCCTCGGGAGAGCAGTAAGGGGGACTGCCACGTTCAACGATTGAAAACAATTGAAATGAAAATCGGTGAAAACTAAATTAACAATTGTGCACGTAATGGATCGAAAGAGTTAATACAAAGATTTGGAGCGTAACGAGCATATTGCTTGAAATTGATTATTACGCCTGAGTTTACAAAGTATTATACAGTGTGTATATATATATATATATGAGTCAATAATTAATAATGAATGAGTATAATATGCAAATTATATGCGAAAAATACATTTAGAATAATGGAATGACAAAATAAAATTCCCAATCCATATTGCTGCTCAATTATATCCAAAGCATAATAAACTGAAGCAAATGCAATCACACATGTCATCACTTTAGAAACATTCTCCAATAATTCTCACATTTCTCAGAATTGAGGGTAACTGCATTCCGTGAGCATTCCACCACATTCCAGTCTTCACAATGGCGAAATGTGATCGATTATTGATAATCTGTCTGCAGCAAGATGCACGGCATCCGCCTTCCAGGGGCACACACTACGTGCTCAAATGTAACAGGCAAAAAAACGAGAAATTTAAACACTGGGCTCAGAGGCAGTGTGTGTGCGCTTGCCTGTACAATGCATGCATAGGGGGCCGTGGTGGGAAGATATGGGGGGGGTCAGGGGTGAGCTCACCTCTATCCTGTACTTGGCCAGGACAGGCCGAATCCCCTTGGGCACCGGGATGATGGGCCCTCGGTCCGTGTCGTTCAGTCCGGAGACCGGAGGGAATTTACAGTTGTCTGCTGGTGGGACCTATAAGAGCACAATCAGTTGCAACACGGCACGGCTTTCCTGCACCACGCAGAGATGAACACTGCAAATCGGTTTTATTGGACACGTGGACGACACATTTTTATTTTATGTCTGTGTCAGCGGCCTCGCCTCGCCTCGCTTAAGAGAACGCAGGCTAATTTTTAAAGTGGAGTACGTATTGTTCATTGCGCAAGGTTGGTGTAATGAGATAGGGCATTTGGGCTGAGACTTACCCTGCGAGCATTTAAACAATGAGGCGAGAGGGAAAGGAACGACGACCGGGGAAATTAAAACGGGTGAAGCGATCGGTGCCGGGAAAACGTTTCGGTTACGGACGAGAAGTGGCGAGAGAGGCGCGGGGTGTTGGCGATCGCGCGATCGAGTCCGATAGAGTTCCACGACCACGAGGATAAAAAATGAAATAAAAGGAAAAATAAAAAAAAGATCGATTTGTTAAGATTACACGCGAGACGCACGAGCATGCAAAACGCAGACTCAGCCTTCACTCCTGTTTCATGTTGTCGCTTGACTCGCGAAAATCTCTGGGCGCGGGGCTACCAACGCCTCTCGGTGCGAAACAGCAAACATCGCTCAATCAAAACGTACACCGCTGTTCGATTTCCATCTAGTATCTAAAATATACTGAGCTTTACTAAATCCGTCCAACGCTCAGCCCTTTCGTGTCCACAAGTTGAGCGCGCAATCACGACGCAGCCCTTGTTTCCACCATCGCCTGAGAAAGAGTGACGGGACTGTTTGCGAACAACCTCGCCCCGAAGGGCAACGCAGCGCGAATTCCTAGAGCTCGCCGCGCAAGCGTAGATTGCGCCATTGATCGTACGCCACTTCTTGGCGTCTCAAAGCGCATCTGTCCTGACACTGATGCCGTGGTGATGTCACGGCCAATGACTTTGGTGAATGACGCGGCGGGAGGGGTGATGCCGCTGTGATTCTGGCGAGTGCGTGGGTCACCTGCAGGAGCTCAAACGATGCCAGCAGCTCTCCAGCAGTGACCGGGCCTCGGTAGATCTGGTAGTAGTCGAGCATTGGAGGGAAGCGCGGGGGTTCGTACGGCTCCGTGCTGATTTTCACCACCGGCTTGGCCAGTGCTCGACCAATGAACTCGGCTTTGCCCTAAAGGAAACAATATCACCGTCAAGTTCAAGGATATTTTGTGGGACCAGGTGAGAACTAAAGAAAGCACGATGAGTTTGCGTGAGTGACCTCGGATGACAAACCAATACGATGAAGCAAGAACGACAAAGTATCAGAAGCATCGGTAATTACATCAACGAAAGCTAGATCTGAATGTCTATTTGCATGTTTCAACTTTAACGCTCTATTATATTCAAACACGATAATTAACCTGGTGAAATTAGAGACCATTATTTTTATCAAAAGAGCTACAATGTAACCTTGTGATTTTAATTCATCATTACCATCATGCATTATACAACACAAGGCAATTCTGGTTCGTAGAGAATATAATCGCAGGTGAATATCAATCACCATTGGACACACTCTTGGCGGTCAGTTTCAGCAATGACCTGCTACAATAGCGGAAACCATCGCGTTGATCCACACCGAGCACTATCGCCGTCGACGACTCTGCCGCCGCCGACGATGACGACGACAGCCCTCGACTCACCACGGTGTCTTGGTCGAACACCTCGATGACGACCATGGGTGGGTCATCTCTCAGCTCGCGTGGCTCCCCGTACATGTAGACGTTCTGGAACTGCAACAGCTGGTCCCACGTTGGGCAGAGCGTCTCCTGGAATACCTGGTTAATCCACAGGGTCGGGGGGCGAGCAAAGGGTTAGCCCACAAGTGGCGGCGCTGTTTAGGCCACAATAAGCAATGCTGCTACTCATGCAGGAAAGCAACGCAGGACGCTCCTTCGTACAGAAACCACGTGAGAGTATTTGCAGAGAGAGGCGTGGGATGACGCTGTGCAAAGTTCCTCTTTGTAAACTCCTGGCAATAGTGCGCATTTCATATCGATTTCACGATTTACAGCATTAATAATCTCAATGTAGTTAAATACAGGCATTTATAATCATTAGTAGCAATGGGAAATACTCACTAGATTGTAAGTTCTAAGATGAAATGAGAGTTTAGGTCAACTGAGCTCATCGTTTTTCTTGGATTAGTTGCATTAGCACGACTATTAATCACCGCACAGTCTAAAGTCACTGACTGGTCGGTAAACACAGGCCGGCCCCTGCCACGTGAATGTGACATTTACACCAAACGGCTCAGGACCGGCAATGGACCCGAGCTGCACCCGACGCCGATCAGAGCACGACGACGCAAACTCTGCACCGTGGCGCGGTGACTCTCGCGGAGTCTCGCGGTCGTCTCATCACGCCGGTGCCGGTTGGTGGTCGGTGGGGGTAGATGCCGGCGACCTGCTAGGCACATTCACCCGTCCCGTTGCCACACTTGCCCCTGGACTCTGTGCCGGTGCCGGTTCTCCCGTGGCGGTCGCGCGCGCCACAACCGAGCGCGACGCGCAAACCCTCGTTTACGCTGCGCGGGCGACGCGCTCTTCGCCAAACCTTCGCTAAAGTGGGCAGCCAGAGAGAGCCGAGCAGCCTGGCGTACCTCGGTGGACTTGCAGTGGGTGGAGAAGATGACTCGAGCGAAGGGGTCGGAGAGCCCCGTGCTGTCGGCGGCGAAGAGGCTGCGAGCCTGGTACATGTGCGCGCGCAGCTCGAACTGCGACCTCTCTGCATAGCGGGGGAGCGAACGGCATCGTGAGAAAACAAATCTGAAATTTCGATTTAAAACGTTCGTGATTGCAGGGATTCGTCTTCTTGGTTCTTTCGGTAAAGTCACGTAGAAGAGAAATAATAAGATAAAAATAATAATAATAATAAATGAATAAAAATTATAAAAATACGTGATAAATGTACGTATGTATGTTGAATTTTTTTCGCGCCGTACGTAGCTAGCCGTGCCAGTCGGAGCTGCAGGATTGGGTTGCTACTTTGTTTTGTCCCGTGTAGTCTGTTAATTGCTGATCTTGTTAAGGATCATAAACCATCACGCAAGCTCTGGTCATCCTTGGAGTGGCTTTTGGCTTACCATCGGACAAAGGTGGTCGCCGCATCGTGCACTTTCAGATGCGCTTCTGCGGCCGTCTGGAACGCTCTTCTTTCCGATATTAGGCAGCCACTGGAGCTATGCAATTTTAACCCAGATTGAAAACTAATTTCTTGGGAACTGCTTTCTGTGTTTAGTTTGTTGTCCTTCCCCTGCACCTCTAATTAGCACGGTTGGCTACGTACAATGCAAAAGAAGTCAACATTCATACGTACATATGTGCTCGGGTGCCAGGAATTGATTCTAACCGAGATCCGGCGATACTGAGTTAAACTTTAATAAAGTGTGCTGCACAGTTCTGATAGACCTAGGCTGACTGAGAAATGTGTGTGGGTTTGGTCGATGGAAAATGTGGCAACTCCCTAGACAACGAGGGCTTTTCACATGGAGGGGGGGACACACCAAGAGCCCTCGCTTAGCTATAATTGCAAGTCCATAGGCTTGCAGAGATCGTTTCTCAGTAGCAAATGAACCTATTCTCGGCAAGTGCACACACATGCATTATAATGGATGAATGAATAAATAAGTAATGCATAATATAGGTTGTGTTTTTGGGTTAGATCGCGTATATATATATGTTGTTGAAACCCACCAACATCCAACACAGCCAACGAGTAAGGGTTGTCACGTAAACAGAACATTCCAATACGTCACTAGTACAGCACACCGGTGTGTTGGAGAGCCAAGCCACAACATTTACAATCTGAATACGACGTTTCGCCAGTATTTCAACTAGCTTCATCAAATTGATTTAAATTGTAACGTTGTTGCTTTGCTCTCCAACACACCGGTGTGCTGTACTTGTGACGAATTGGCATGTTCTGTTTACGTGACAACCCTTACTAGTTGGCTGTGTCGGATGGTGGCGGGTTGAACGGCACATTTATATATTTGTGCGATCTAACCCAAGAAACATGTATTATGGATGATATTGGTCGCGAAAGCCTACGTGTTAAACCAAATAAATAATGAGTAAGAAAACAAAAATTACCTTAACAGATGTTTAGAAGTAACCATTGTTTGAGAACAGCTGACAAGGTCAACACGGCACATGGCATGGGGAGCACCGCACATGCTCAACTACCTTTGTCTTCCCAGTGCTCTTGCTTGCAACATCATATCACTTACTCATTTTAAAATGAATCGACTTGGAGATGGATCAGCCCAGGTTCGGATACCATATGCCACTGGCATTGCGTGTTGCCACACACACGTGGATATGTATAAGAGATAGAGATCTCCATTTATCATGGTAGACCACAGGGGGTAGTGCTGTTTGTGAGCACTCCCGCAGATCTGCATGACATACAACCACTGCATTCAGCCACCTCTGATGTGCTGATGCTTATACACTGCATTAGGTACTCATTTAAGACTGAGTCAACCTAACAAGGGAGCCCCCAATATAGGTTTGATGCAGAGGTTGCAGTATCACATACGAATGACCACGCTGCACACATAACAACAACAGCCACCATTCACTAACTAAGCGGTGGTGACATCACTACGGCGTTTGTGCCAGGCTAGGTGCACTCCCGAGGCCAACGTGAAGTGTCGAAGGCTCGCTGACAGGAGGTCGCGGGACAGACCCACACACCCACACACATGGAAATACCTCGCAAAGATAAATATCACGATATAACAGAATTCAATAGAAGAGCATTCCCCAATTGACATACTGTGGTAGTTGAGGACACTCGGCGGAACACCGGTGACCCCAATTTTCTTCTCCTCAAAGCCGCTGGGCAGACCAGTGAGGAAGTCTTTGCGTTGCTTGTTGAGGCCCAGCCAGAGGTAGACCTCCAGCTTGGCCTGCATGGTCCAACCGCCCGAGCCGAAGACACGTTTCCCCGGCAGCTACCAGCACATTGGGCACAACAGGGCAACGTGTGTGCGTGTGAGCACGGCGAACCAGCTAACCTCCTTCCTCTAGACGCGAATGTCAAATGCTGCCTCGTTCACGCCGGCGCCGATGCCATTACTCGATGACGGTAAAGGGCGAATTTGGCTCGATGGTGCGGACTACCTCGCCAGACTTTAGTTTGCTGTCCCCACGCCCGCACCTCCGATACGCACGGTTGGCTCACGTGCGGTGCGAAAGAAGTTCAACATGCACACAAACGTACGCGTTTGCTTCGTTTGCAAACGCCTCCAACCACCGCCGCTGCCTTGCAATGCTCAGTGTCACTACCTGGCCTGGGTCGAACTGCAGATTCTCTTCTGGGGCCTGAGGGTTCTGAAGCAAGTGCAGCTGCAGTCGGTGGATCGGCCACAAGAAAGAAGTTCAGCATTACATAGGCGATAACAATTTCAACTTGGCAACAGAAAACTGCCAGTTGAAATTCTGGTTTGAGGTGAATGAAGCCCATCATATCCATGGGGCTGATCCCATGAACACCAAGGTTTGTAAAGTCACCAGTAGACATATGGTCAGGCTGGTCTCAGTCGCAGGAATGTGAAATGGCCACTCGTGGCTACATTTTGTCAAAGAGATGAGCACTGCTTCCATGTCTGGCAGTGTGGGGAGGTCCACATCCAGCAGCAGATTGACAAAGGGTTGTAAATATATATATTTTTATGGATATCAGAAAGTCTGTGGTTATGGCCTAAATAAAACTCCTCTGAATTGTAATGCGTAGCTATTGCATTAACCCCCCTTTTGCACACATTGATTCACAGTGTGTACCCATCCTAATAAAAACAGGGGTCCATTTCACCACCAAAGAAGAAAACATTTAGGTTCATCAGTCAAGGAGCCACCTGGACACATTTTCCAGCAGCATTATCTTCAGCGTGAAAATCCGCTCTCGATTTTGACTTTGTGTCCCATAAGCCGGGTGCTGCCTGTTAAATGCTTGCGGGGTGCATTGGTCCAGAAGATGGACTTAAATGTCGTTTACATTTTTTTGTTGTGTTGAAATGTGCCCTTGTCTGTTTCATTATTAAGAATTAGTCACAATCCACTGACAATAACACGCGTATTGTTCTCACCATGCACTGCTGCCGAAAACCCATTGCAAACCCATGGAAGTCGAATACAAATAATAACTACGGATACATTAAACGAGCACGTCGGAAATATGAATAGCATGCGTGTGGAATGGAGGAGAATATATTCTTGTAAATTATCAACGAATAATTCAACAGGCATTGTCCACCGACACACGTGCAATTGTATCCTATGCCATCAGCAGCAGTAGATGGAATTGGATACATTGTGGCATTAACTCACCTACGGATTCCGCAAGAACAGAAATTGCAATTAAAATACACAAATTGTGCACACAACACGAGCAGGCGTCGCAGAAAGCAAAGGGATGTCGGGAACGGTTAGCAAAGGAGTGAAGAATACTGAAGCGTTGAACAGTTTTAAAATCAACGGCTCGTTGAAACTTACACGGTAAAGTCACGCACTTTCCTTGCAGAAATTTCTAAAACGCTCTCTCTCTTTTTGCAGCTGTTTGCACAACACCAAAACACCCTTCAACCGTCCAGGTGGCTCAGTGGGAGAGCGGCGAGCGGCTCACAATCGAGGAAGGTTGCGAGTTGGAATCCTTGTCGGGGTTGTTGACTCGGGCCCACCATACCTCTCTCTGGCCGTCAGTAAAAAGAGTGGCAGTTTGTTGCCGACCACAACCGGCGGTTGTTTTGTTCTTTTAGAGGCTCGCCCCTGGTCATATGGGGTGAGTTTCTCCAATGTTTTTTCCACGTTGGTTGTCAGAGGTCGCAACCGGGTACCCGATACCCGTACCCTACCCGATACCCGGCTACCCATACCCGGCCGGGTACGGGTACGGGTAGCCTGTTTGCGACCCTGGTGCGGCCGGGTACGGGTACGGATAGGCCGTGAGTCACTGGTGAGTAACCGTTTGTCACTCATTTCGGGTAGGGTACGGGTAGGGTACGGGTAGGGAACGGGTACCCGTACCCGGCCGGGTAAGGGTACCCATTTGCGACCCTGGTGCGGCCGGGTACGGGTAAGGAATCAAAACCCGTTTGCGACCTCTGTGATACAGTCGCATTTACAACAACGCTCTGTTGGTTGTCCAATGTGGAATCCCCACCACAGGCTCAGGGCTGTGGATGGGAGATGAGGACTGCCTCAATGCTCAGCTGAGCCGGATATCACATTTGACTTTTCTGTTTAAAACACCCGAGTCTAACTAGAGGTTGTTAATATCCACCGCTATATGCAAATGTTGAAACGCGATGTTTAATTCGTGTCAATAGTTACGTATGTTCCTGCAAGAAATTGATATTTATTTTATTTCTTAATTCGGCACATTACTTCACAGTGAGCTGAATGGACATTCGAAGTGTTGATGTTCTATATAATGTGACTGTTTTCTTGCTCTGAGGGCAAAGAAGATGTAATAAATGGGCTATACAATATTCCAGAAACGTCTGTTTAAATTAATGGAAAATGTAATCAATGCCACGAAACATTGGCTGCAGAAGCCAACCTTGCTGAGCGCGATTTGAAAGCGACTGCTTGAAGAACGTAACTTGCCAATTTATTTGTACTTTGGAAATGAATCCACGCATCAGCACTGCCGGCAGCGAGATGTTAACTAACTTGCCTTGTATACAGGAGGTCGTGGGTTCGATCCTGACCCTGACACCTGTAAAATGTGGAGTTTGCATTTTCTTTCTGTAGTCGCGTAGATTTTTCTCCGGGTCCTCCGGGTTTTCCCTCCACATTTAGAAACACGCGTTTATAGTATTTGGCTGCTATAGATTCCAACATAATAAGCCACTTCGTTGAGCTATCATTTGTGGCCAGATCGCTTCTGAAAAAGAGCTACGTAGCTCAGGGGGCCTTACCTTGTAAAATAGAAAATAGTTCATAGTATATATTTTGGTGTCATGTAAACAGCTCTATGCATTAAAATAAAGGCTACCGAGCAGAAACCAGATTTATTTTTACAATGCTGATTTATGAACTTGACCAGATATTTCAGATTTATACAATTGTTAACATTTCAGTATCCTATTTCTACAGCTTCGAATGTGATATGAGTGACATGATTGAAATGTAATTCTACTCTTGCATGAGTCATCTCTTTAAGAGGCTTTGACCTAAAAAAATACTAAATTCGTTTCAAAAGTTGAAAAGAAATTGTATTAAATAGGGCTAGAAGGGTCAGATCATTCTTCATTGCAACATGCTTAATAAGGACTATCTAAAAAAATGAATACATCTTACACTATGAGACCTCCTTTACCAGTGGCAAAATATAGTAGTAGGTTTTTACCCTTTAAACTGGTACAAAACTGACACCTTTATACAAAAAGAAACAACTCTGATAATGGTAATTATCAGAGTTGTTTCTTTTTGTTTGCATTTTGACTGCTTGTGTTGTGGTTATTGCAAACATTATGCCTTGTATAAAGGTGTCAGTTTTGTACCAGTTTAAAGGGTAAAAACCTACTACTGAATACATCTTATAAATGAATAAACTCAAGTATAATTGTGGTGACATGGAATGGGTCACAGAAGGAGATCTGCAGTTGCAGCAGCCTTGTCTGTCAGCAGGTCACCTGATAAGCCAGTGAGAGGGATATAGGCCAAAGGTAATAGAGGCGGGGGGGGGGGGGCACGTGAGGTGAGCCCGGGAACCCGCGAGTAGCTTCTAGAAAGGGGGCGTGGCCGGGGCGGAGCGAGGCCACGCCGGGAGGATAAAAGGGAATCCCGAGCAAAGACTCGGGGCTGTTGCTGCTGGAGTGTGATCCCCTCGTCGTGCTGCTGGAAGTCTTCGTCTACGTCTACGTCTTCACCTTCTCGGCGTCGTCAGTCAGGCTGTCTACCAGATGTCCTGACTGGGAGCTGTAGATACCTTTGTAAACTGTGAAGGTTGTTAATGAATAGAGTGCCTCCTACTCCTAGTGTCTCTGAGTCAGTCACTACATAATTAACATGATAATATATCTCAGGCTCAACTGCTATGAAAGCCAAAACATGAAATTAGAAATAAAAATAATACAATGCAATTTGGCTTATTACTTGAACTGAAAAATCTATGCCTTTAGGCTGAACATGATCTGGGAAAAAAAACATCCAATTATAGTGGAGATGGACTTGATATTTTCTGAGAAGTAACATGTTCTGCAAACTTTTCAGCCGTGACATAATCAATATCACACACTCAAGGCTAAAATACAAATCGATAAATTGAACGCTGTAAACTGGTGAACTCGTGGTACTAGACTCTACTTCCCAAAATAGTTTTGCAATTCCTATAATTAATTATAAGTACAGCCCTTCATCAATCCACTGCTGGATGAAGGCCTCCCCATACTCCACCCCATTACATAACTGCCGCGTTAATACAAATGCTGAAATTTGAAAATTTGCTTGGGCAAATTGTGCAAGATGACAATGGAAAAAGCTAGATGAGTCATGAAGCTAATTTGCCTTGATCCTACAGAGGTGCACACGTTACTAGGGGAATCGAGCGCTGCGCTAGAAATGCACAAAATGCGATGATTGGTGCAATGACAACTTTAACCTCAGTAGGGCTACGCACAAAGCGATTACGAGAAGAATGGAGGTTGGAATATGAAATTCAGCGGTTCATAATCAGCATAATAAAGACATACTGTATTGGGAACTGCAAGGCACCAAGAATGAAGAATAATATTTTTTTTTCAAAGGCCTTTTTCAATTACTGCACATTAATGGCATAATTTATGCCGTGTCAAACATAATGTCCCAGTAAAAGATAATGTTCTTGTCGTACTCCAAATTTTTTACGTACATTTTTAACATAGGCCAATCACTATGCACACACTTGGAGATATATGAAACGTACTGCAAGTACCGACGGCGATCGGTACGTGCATTCATGAACGTGAACACAGTTTTGCACGGCAGACAAAGCAACACTGATCATGCTCATTTCCTTGATGTGCATTATTGTTTATGCCATCAGCAGTGTCTGCCATCATTTCCAAAGGCACATTGTATTTTTCTGTAATTGAAGTATGACCTTGGAAAAAACGCGTAGACCCAGGTTGAAAATGCAAGCGAGTAATTTCAGGTATTTACAGTATGTTCTTTTGTATTTCAGACCTTTGTATGGGTTACATGATGATTAATAACATTAATATGTGTAGAGGGTTTAATAGCATGTTTAAAATATTATTTATGGTTCCGTAAAAGAGAGGTTAATTTATAAATATGCAGGAACAGACATCAGCGTAGCAGAGATGCTGAAGAATATAATTATATCAAGGCCCTTGTGTGAGAATGGCGGTCAAATTATGTATTTATCAGTCATGGAAAGATCTGTGAGGTCAGACTTCTTTCTTCAATAAGGAATTTTATTTTTTAAATCAAACAAGGTAACGAATAAAAAAACCCTCTTACACACAGCAGTGGAAGCAGCTGATTTCTGAACAGCGTGTGGGTATTTCTGCGCTGTGAGCTATTAAAATGCTCATGCGTTTGCCTTGCCGTAATGAGTCCTCAACGGTAAACTTGGGGTCAAAGCATGCACTGGGCAAATTAATCAGGTAGGGCATATTTTATCATAACCGTATTGTCTGGATATAAACGGTGCACTTTTATCCCCTGTATTTTATAGCAAAAATTCGGGGGGTGGGGAGATTCATTTTGTAATCCGGTAGGTGGTAAGTTCGTATGTGTGTGTGACCAGATTAAGGTAACCTTTCCGATACTGGGCACACGTTTTTGGGTCTTACGTTCCAGAGCATCTTAAAATCCGGAGAATACGATAAATATGTTTCTGCTTTTATAAAATGCAACTGGAAGAGTCATGTGCTTGCCGTGTTGCATGTGGACCCATAATTACTTGGAGATAAATGTAACATCTGAATGAAATGGCTAAACCATGTTTACTTTGGCAATTTGCTTCACTGTTGGTGATGCACACCTCTGCACATATTTTTTTTTGCAAACACAAGACGAGGGACGCTGATTAATGTGCGAAGAGAGGCATCTGGTGTGGCTGTCGATGTGTGGGGGTGTTTTGCACGAGCTATTCAAATTGCAGCGTTTCCCTCGTGTTATTGCGTCGTAGATGTCGAATTCAATCAATACTAAAGTTCGCAGGACATGCCACTAATTGCAAAAAGGGAATAAGCAACAAGGACTTAACAATTCCTGCCGCTCGAGTTTCACCAGATCACTTGCAGTCATAACATTTAATAATTATTGACAATCTTTTCCTGCACTAATCAACTTCCTGGGTAAACTACTCGAAGAAGAATGCAGCTGGCTTCAAGCACAACGACCACCACAAGCCAATGAAGCTGTGTGTGGCGTTTCCACTGCACGGTTGCGAAGGGTCACAGGTACGCTGCACCACGTCTGTTAATCTCTGCTGGAGTGGAACGGTGGGGGGGTGCTGACATTTTCAACCGGGGGTACGCAAGCCGTGCTTAGGGCACGTGGTCTGGAAGAGAGGGAATGCTTTAGCTCTTACCCTAAGGAAAAGCGTTTTGACTTTACCACAGTCCTTCCCCGTCTCCTCCTCTACAATGGAATAGAGGATATCTTTGGCGGGGATGCGCGCGTATGCGACGCGCTTCGTCTTGTTGACCAGCATCCAGACGAAGACGTCCGGGATGCTGTCCTGGGGCTGCGGGGGCGGGGGGAGGGGGAACAACAGGCGCCACACGGACGCAGGTGGTTTATAGTTGGCGCAATGTGTGGTTCGTCGAGGTCAACAGCAGCGCCAACTTACGTCGGCGCAACGGAACCCGTGGGTTTCCCCCACCGCGGCCATCAACACGGCCGTTGAACGAAGCGTACTGGATGTGGTGTGCCGGGTGAAATGAGGCGCTGTGTGTATAGGCGTTCGTGTGCGTCCAGCTCATCGGCTGCACCGCCTGGTTGCGTGGGTTTTTTTTTGTTTCGAGGCCCAAAGAAACGGCACCTCGTCGGCGAGGAACCGGAGCTTCTGCAGGAAGCCCTCGGCCGTCTTGAGCCGCTCCTTGAGGTTTGCCCGCTTCACCTGCTTCACCAGATTCTTTGCCTGCGGGCCGATCTGTTCCTTTGGGAGTAAAAGGAGAGAGAGAGAGAGGGTGAGAGGGTGAGAGCGAGCACATTCAAGTCACTCTCGCGTGTTCTGGCTCAAGGGACGACACTCAATAAGCACGTGCTTTCTACGAGGCCATGCAGAAATGGCATTGTGTGCAGTTTCTGCCAATAAAAACCAGAGTTTTTTTTTTTACTTCACGAAGTGGCATTATTTTTGTACCAAAAGTCAGGTAAAGTAGTGACCTCTAGCCAATATGGAATGCTTTGGACCAGCACATTTGTTTTGTATTAGTTCTGTGCTGAATTCGAAACTAAATGTATAGATGTTTTTTCAACCCACATCAATTAACAATATAATATTTCTAATATAAAAAATTAGCTTAATGTGTATACTTTTCGAAAGTGTGAAACACGTTTTTAAAAATATATTTCTCAAAAAAATACAGCACTTGACATTAATTTTAGGCTGAGCCAACTTAGTGGTGGATCAAGCCAAGTTCAGATGCCAATTGTCACTCGTACATTGCATAGCTATGAACCCCCGGGAGTTGAAGCACAGTGCGACAGCCACTATGCCACTGCCGCACAGACACAATCGCGGTCACACGTGAACTTCATTACCAAGTAGGAAATATATTCTGAGCGTAATATATTCTGGCGAGGGTATAGTAATGTTTAATGCTTCTTACAAGCTCCCTCATGCATATCTTGAGACGGTCCCGGTCCAATCTCGTGCGCCCGAATGCAGATGGATCTTTGTTGGCAAGGGTAAGGAATCGGCTGAAAGAAATTGTATTTTTTTATTAAGACCAATGCAATCATCAATACACGAGTGACAGTCGAAAAAGATACAAGTGTAGTATATTGAACATACTTCCAGACTCACACACACATTAACGTACTTTTCAGAAAATGTATTTGTACTGGAGGAATCTGATGCATTTTTTTTACAGATATCCAGTATTGGCAGTTCCATATCAATGCACATTAGTAATTTAACATTACATTATATGACGGGCTACAGGAAAAGCATAAGATTTTAAAACTAATAATTAGAAAAAACACTTTTTTATGGACAAAAATCCTCATTTTCTTTTAGTCATATTTTCAGTCTGGATCTCAAACAGCAAAAGCCACATTCATTCTAAAATTTCCCGCACCACACTCAGATGTTCAGCAGTGACACCGACACTGTCATCTGGGGACACAGATTCACTGGTTTGTTATTCCAGGGCGGTCAGTACTCCGCGTGCCTGACCTCCCGCTTGGCCAGCTGGCGCAAGTCCCTTCGTAAGCGGTGAACCCGCCGGTAAGTGCCCCGCGTGATGTATGTACAGTATGTATGTACGTTGAACTTCTTTCACACCGTAAGTAGCCAAACATGGCAATCGAAGGCGCTGGGGCAGGAAATAACGGAGGTGATTCTCCGCACGTGGTCTCGGCGGCTCTGCTCAGCGCCCTCCCGACTCACTCTCCCTCACCTGCAACCCGCGCTCATCTCCTCCAAGGCTCCCCGCAGCCTCCGTTCTGGGTGGGGCCTCTCTATCTTCATCGTCTCCAAAACATCGTTGATGCCCTCCTCCTGCAGCATGTACATTCGTTGCGACACGTGACAGCATTATTTGCTGCTGCTGCTGCGATTGATTCATTGTCAGGTTCAGCAATCGGCAGGCCGTGTGTGGTGGTGGTGGTGGTGAAAGTCTGGTCAGTGTAGAAGAGTAGGCCAAAATATCACCTGGAGGGGCTCTCTAGAGCTCCCTCCAGCAGATGGCCTTCTGCCTTTACCCTGTTGATAATAATGGTAAGTGGGAATGATAGGCAAAACTTACATTTGTGGCTTATACATTTCATACGAGCATAACATTAAAATTACGCTTCTCATACCCTTCCCCATACTCTCTTCATCAATGTTTGCCCATTTTTCTCAATAAATGTCCAAGTTACCTTCCAAAATGCCTGCCATTGATCCTATCTCAACTTGAAACACACACAAAGGTTGTTTTTGTGCACATGGGAAGAAGTCCTCATTGGATCTCACGACTTATTTTCAGGCGGGTTGTATTTCGTACATATTAGGCAAATCTGTTGGTTGAGTATTTTTTCTGCATGTGGATGCAGATTTGGAGTGCCCAGAGATGACTGACGTGTGAGCAAAACAGGCAACGAGCTCACATTCTTGGTTGTTTCGATAAAGTCGCGTAGATAGAAAACAAAAAAACAATAAAATTAAAATAATTTTTTTAATAAAAAAAATTTGATACTCTATTATTATTTGTTTTTAATATTATTTACTTTTTTTTCCTATCTACGTGACTTTACCAAAAGAACCAAGAATATGAATTCCTGCAGTCACGAAAGTTTTAAGTAAAAATGGAAGGCAAAACGATCAGGTTGCTGTGCTGTCACCTCCAAGTGAAATGTCGCATCGAATTTTCCGCTTGTCGCAGAGGTTCGCCGTTTGAGCCAACCGAACCACCCTGGCTCACACCGTGAGCGCATTGACCACATATACTGCGCGCCATCTGCTTCACGGTGGACGTTAACATATCCTGCGATGTTACTCGATAAAGAGTAGGACGCTCGTGTGCCGACTCCATGCTCCAACTTTCCCAAATTTGTTAAATGACTCACAAATTACTTAACCGGATAAAATCACAAAGCAAATATCGCCTCCAACTGGCAGACTACACTCGTCTGTGATACGTTGCGCCTTCGTGATAATCTTGCGCCAATACCACGCGCGCTAAATCATTACGATCACGTAAGTGTCTCGCACAGCATCCATCCCTGGACACACCAACAAACTCTGCACGTCATAAGTGTGGCGCACCACACCGGGGCAGCAGGCCATCGCGCACGTACCAGCTTGTCGGCGATCTTGTCAATGATGTTGGAGTTGTAGAGACGCCGTCGCTGGTCGTGCCACGCGCTCCGCACGTGCACGCACGGCTTCTGCTCGTAGTAAGGCATGTGGAAGTACTGCCTGCCAGCAAACAGCCGTCAACGTGGGCACGGTTAGCTTTGTAATACTGCAAGACTGGGCACCCGAGCCCAATGTGCATTCTGTCATCATCGCAAATTAATCAGACGCGGTCAATCCACCGCTGTGCAAATGCTTCCCCTAGCCGCCTCCATCATGTTATGATCCTGCGATGGAATAATCTCCTCGGTTTATGTCACGATCTGTGCTTCTGTGGAGAGTTTAATTATCTTTGAGCAAAGGGCAATTGACATTGACTCTCGAGGGTTTATTTGTTTTGGGGATCTTTCACACCCAGGATCGCGACGGTTACACCCTTGATAATTAGTCAGTGTGTAATTACTCATGACCATCAGGTCATCAGACGCTGTTTATTGCACGGCCTGGGTGTGCTAAAGTGTCTGCTGATATTTACGCGGCCGCAGGGTCCAGTGATCGGTGCGCTCGCTCCGAGTCCGTTTCAATAGAGTCAAACCACCTGCCAACACCAATCCGTTCAACTCTCACAGCCCCCAAATAAGTGTATCGACAGAATTACAAACATGGTTCAACTTGCTTGCAAGTCGATGTAAAATATTCCTAGGACATGATTTACAAAAAAAAATAGGAACTGTTTCCTATTAGTGCGGAAGTTCGAGCACAAACATTTGCTGACAGCAGATTTTTTTTAATTTCACCACTGCAGAACCAAAAACATTACTCTGGCGAAAACACGGAATGATCGTGTGACGTCAGCGTCACCAATTCAAGTGTATTGCCTGATGCAACGCGTGACAAAAAACGATTAACCCTGCCTCTGGCCCTGTTTCCCGGTTTGGTTTCTCGCTTGGCTCTGCAAAATGCCAGTGGAAAACCACCTGTACTCAGAATCGGAACATTTATTTGTAATACAACTCTTTGAGACGACTTCTGGAATCTGTCTTTTATTCACTTTGGGTTACATCTACTTCACGCTGCTGATAGACAACATGAAGGGACAGATAGACCGAGAGAGACGCACTGCCACGTGGCAACTCGGAGCCCCGCTCTCGCGTGGCTCCTTCCTCCGTTGGTTCCCGTTCTGACCACGTGTCATTCCTCTCTACCCCTATTTAATCCCCGGGTCACGTGGTATGCTTCAGCCAATCCTCGTTAGCCTGCATCGAATCTTCCAGGCTCCCTTGTCAGCTCCCGGGACCACGCCCCTGACTCATCTCCCCATTGGCTGAGGCCAAAGACAACAGAACCAATCTCCATAGCTGTCACCCTTCCATCACGTCAGGGCCATGCCCCCAGGCTTCCCCCCATTGGCTGTAAACCAGGACCGGCAGAGCCAATCACCATGACGAGTTGTGATACATCAGTGAGCCGGATATATTCTCATATTACATATTCATAGTGGAGGAATCCGATGAGCTGTGAAGCTCTTTGTCGTGAATGTCCAGTAGGGGTGGGTAAGAACGTTACAGCAACAAACAGTACAAACACACGAGAGGAGTGCAAAGTACAGGAAAGGTAAACAAATCACCCAAACACACAGACAAATAAAACGAAACCATCCCCAGCCTACCAGGAAAAGCCCCCTGAGGTGTTCCTGTGAGGGCTGAATGCTGCAGTGGTTCGTGCCAGTGGACTACGGGCACGAGACTCACGTGGATCTATAAATTTCGATTTAAAGCTTTCGTGACTGCAGGGATTCATCTTTTTGGTTCTTTCGGTAAAGTCACATAGAATGGAAATAATAAAATAATAAAAATAAAACATAATAAAATAATTCTCACGACGTTTCGGCCACAACGCAAGCAGCCGTCCTCAGGTGAAGAACAGGTCTGTCGAGAAGACATAGTCTGAATGGGGTGTGTCATTCAGACTATCTTCTCGACAGACCTATTCTCCACCTGAGGAGGGCTGCTTGCGTTGTGGCCGAAACGTCGTGAGAATTTTTTTATTATGTTTTATTTTTATTTTTTTATTTCCCTTCTATGTGACTTTACCGAAAGACCCCAAAACACGTGGATCTTGTTGTTGTTGTGTGTATGCTAATACCTGTCATTAGTCTCCGGCTTATAGGAAGGGGTAGTAGAGGAGCCAGAAGTGTCATCATCCATTTCTGCATCATCCGTCTCATCGTTTAGCAGCTCAGTCTCGTCATCCTCATCCCCCTCGTCGTATTCGTCCTCGTCATCGCTGCGGTCAAGAATATTCGACTTGTTCAGCCCATCCAAGCTGTTTCCGTAATTCCCTGTGAACAAACAACACATCAATGATAATGCCTTCCAAGTTGCACTTGATTATATACCGATATAATGGGATGCTGCAACAGAACTTCATGTGTCCTTGGTTCTTTCGGTAAAGTCACGAAGAAGGGAAAGAAAAAATAAAAATATAAAACAATAGAATTTTCACGACGTTTCAACTGCAACACAAGCAATCATCCTCAGGTGTGAAAAACACAGCAAGAAAATTTGAAAAAAGTGGCGGTTTTTTCTGGACAAATGAAGTTACGTTTGTGAGAATTTTATTGTTTTATATCTTGTATTATTTTATTGTTTCCCTTCTACGTGACTTTACCGAAATAACCAAGAATATGAATCCCTGCAGTCACGAAAGCTTTAAATCAGAACTTCATGTGTTCTCTGATCCGTACGTTCCTCTGACTCTCAGTTTAATTGCCATCATTAATCTCTCCAGCTTCTTTGCTTAGCGGAGTCCATGTCTGTGATCCATAGGTCAATGACAGGTAATTTGCAATGATTGATTTTTTTTGTATACAAATTGCTTTCGTATTCTTGGTTTTTTTTTGGTAAAGTCACGTAGAAGGGAAATATCCAGGGCAATTGAATAATTAAAGTATACATTTTTTTCTGCCATGTGGTACTGGTGCAATCTACGTTGGCTGCTGGGTTTGCATAAAACAATGGCACGCAACAACTGCCTTGGGAAAAATAGACGCACATAAGAACAATTCGACGGATGTCGAGTAAGCATTAGAACATATTTTAATCCACGCATTGCTGCACGTGCAATATGAGGCATAGGGCATCTAAAGTAGGAAAAACTTAAACTCAGTTACTTTATAACTAGACTGCAAAAAAAATTAACCCGTAAAAACAAAGTTTTTCACTATAAATCCTTAATATGTAAGATCACTTCTTGACATGCCCCGTATATTCCCGAGGGCACTAGCGTTCACCCGTTTAACCACTTTCAAGAACCTGGCGGCTACAATTTAACTGCTCTATAAATAGTTTCCATTGTATAGCGTGGGGGCAGGGATTTCATGCCATGTGGTTAGTCAACATTTGCGTCATCATGCAATGGGCGGCTAGAGTCCTCTCGTCCTCTGGCTTGAGATGGCTGCCACCTATGGGTCAGATGATTGTCTGTCACCATTAAGCAATTGGTAATTAAGTATTCAAATTTTTTTCCCTAAACAGTGTAAAATTTAGGAAAAAAATTTTCACGAAAATTAATTGTCACGCACAACGAGTCTGTGTGGAAAATGTCATCTCGATTGGATCACGGGAAGTGGGTTAAAAAACGACCGAAATATTTGCACGGTCGTAAGCAAGCAAGCAAGCACGCAAGCACGCAAGCAAGCAAGCAAGTGAACTTAATATAAAGGATTTAAAAATGTGCATTTCGCTTAACACTGACAGTCAATAAGCTACATCGATCGCACAGTTCCAGTGTGGGAGTGGAAACTCACCAATGCTGACTTCAAAGCTGATCAGCTTGTCACTGATCTTCCTGTCAATCATCGTGGCCTCCAGGAAAGCTCCGAACAAGAAAAACTCTTCCATCTTTCCAGCTACAGACTGTCCGCGCAAGGGAAGAGGCGTACACGATGCATGTATGACAAGAAACACACACATATATATACACTTTTTATATAGACACACACAGGGTGTCCGACAATAAATATACCAAAAAATGTTCAATAGTGTTATTGCTATTCGATATACTGACATGAATTTGATATGAATGCATGAATTGGACTTACAGTAAAACCTTGGATTGCGAGTAACTTGGTCTGCGAGTGTTTTGCAAGACGAGCAATTTTTTAAAATAAATATTAATTTGATAAACGAGCGAGGTCTTGCAATGCGAGTAGTACGTGTGTACGCTTTGTCTGCCGAGCATCACGTGATCACAACTGATATACGAGAGCTTTGATATACGAGTGCTTTGGATTACAAACACGTTTCCAGACCGAATTATGCTCGCAATCCAAGGTTTTACTGCAAAGGTTAAGTTTGTTGTGAATATCGATTGGTACTTTCTTGCCGTTTCAGGAGAAACTCCTGGTTCTGATATAGTGACAAGTCTGCCTGTTCACCCGACTTAACACCATGACGTTATTATCTCTGGGGTTTTAAAAAGAGTAAAGTCTTGCATTCTAGATTTGAAGCTTTCGTGACTGCAAGGATTCATACTCTTAGTTCTTTCAGTAAAGTCACGTAGGTAAAAAAAATGAAATAAAAATTAATAGAAAATAAATAAAAATTAAATAAAAATCACGACGTTTCGGAGGCAACACAAGTCTCCGTCATCAGGTGGGACTGTCACAGCCAGATTTGCTGCATCAAGTGAGGCAGGGATTCAAGATGCAAGCCCTTAAATACAAGTTGAGGGAGGAGGAGGAGGGGGGGGGGAGCTTATCAGAATGTGGTAGCCAATGAATGGAACGTATTTTATTTTTATTTATTTTTATTAATTTTTATTTCATATTTTCTTACCTACGTGACTTTACCGAAAGAATTAAGAGCATAAAGTCTTGCACTTGAAAACCAAGGGTACCTTGAAGAACTTCTACATCGTGTTGTTGTTGATGCTGCTGTGTCATCATCAATCTCTACAGCTGTGATGGAAAATGTTTTCTCAAAGAGTTTGAGCGCCGAATTGGATTGATGATAGTGAACGATGGACGACATGCAGAAGTTAATTCCTGAATCGAAAATATATGATCAATACCAAAACATTTTAACAAACTAAATCTTATACATCTATTACCCGTATTCATGTTAAATTTAGGTCGGTATCGCAAATAACAATAAGACTATTCAACGTTCTTTTTGGTATATTTAATTTCGTCATCAAACCGAGATGAGCGTCATCCAATTGCTCATTAGCTCATACTTTGTATTTTATTCAACGCGAATGCAACCAATGCCATCATCACATGTAACTAAAACACCAATCTGCGTCACCACGTATAAAAAAAACGTCGTGTGTAAGTCCATAAGCCCACGCATCTCTCCAACACCACTGTTATCAAGCAGCCTTTGTTCAAGCGATGTTACCACGGAATGGCTTTAACCCGCTGGGTCTCGTTCGGCAGAGACAGGCTTGTGAAACAAAAGCTGCTAGGATTCCCAGATGTCATTGTCAAGAGCACTCTACGGTACATCGACATGCATTTGACAATGGTGGCAGAACAACTGAAATTGAGCTTTAGATTCGCATGGATGTGACAAATGCTGAAGCAAACAGCCCTGGTCACGGTTTGGTGCTTCAGAATCAGGATGTTTATGTATACTGGAGGAATCTGAGGAGCTATGAAGCTCTTTTTCACAGATGTCCCAGTGTGAGCGGATCAGAGAGTTACAATAATAATACAAAAACTGATAGGAGTGTAAAGTACAGGAAAGGTAAGCAAGTCACAAAAATATACAAAAAATAAAAAGTATATCAAAACAAATAAGATTTTTCTTCAATAAATGCAACCTTGGACAAGGCAACAAAACAACAACAACAACAACAACAGCCCCAGACCACAGCAAGACAACGCCACAGTCTGTCAATAAAAGCGCACTTTAAAATTGAACTCTCGATACAAGCGCAAGCATCAAAGTTACAAATCACATTGGCCAATGCGGTTGTGTCCAGCAGCAGTTAACCTGTTGCTCTGGGATATTGTTTGAAGCAGGATTCACGACGTCAGGGTGGATGGAGGGGAGGGGGGGAGGCTTCACGATGTTCACGAGTGAACCACCGAGCCTGCCAGAGGGACGAACGGCGTCGAAGCGTCTCCCTTCGCTTACGTCGGCGACGTGAGGGATGGACTCCACCGAGATCTCGGTGTTGGTGCTCAACTCCGGAGACGTGATGTCCAGGATTTCCATGGAGATTCCCAAGAGGAGGCGGGCGCGGAACGACACGCCCTCCCCGAGGCCGTCGTTCAGCTCCTGGTGCTCGTCAATGAGCGTGTAGTTGCGTGTCGAGCCGTACATGTTGACCCACGCCGGGCCGAACGTTGGCAGAAATCCTGCAGGGGGAGGGGGGTGGGATGACGATGGCATCAGGGGTGCCCACGTTGGCAAGATGTTATCTCCCTCGTCTGGTATACAGGAGGTCGTGGGTTCGATCCCGACCCTGACGCCTGCTGCTGTATATTTGGAGTTTGTATGTGCGCTTAGAGCATTTGGCTGTGATAAATGTCCACGCGATAAGCCACTTCGCTGAGCTATCGTTTGCGATCAAGTCGCTTTTGAAAAAGAGCTGTATCGCTCAGTGGGCCTTACCTGATAAAATAAAAGAAATAGTCTAGTTTAGCTTAACGTGTCACCGCAGCCACAGCTGTTGATGCCACCTGAACCTTGCCAACACTTTATACCCGCCACCAGGTTCCTGCAGCTGCTGCACAGCAGACACATGACCTCCAGGATCTGCCCAAACTTTGGCCCGAGTATTTCCCCCATGGGCCTTGAGCTCGTGGAGACCACTCAAATGTCTGTCTCGACAAATCGGCCCTCACCCGTCCTGCACATACGTGTCCCACCCAGTAAACCTTCTGTGCCGAACCATATCTGCAGCACCTTGACACCTCTCGCATTCTCATTTGTGGATTTTTGAACTGCTTTATCCTGTTTCGCCACGACATACCCTGCATGCTTCTTAAGCACTCATCCTCAAATGCCAGCAACTTATTTTTAACTGCATATTTCGAGTCCACATCTCTGCTTCATACAGAGATAATAAAAGCACTCCCACAGGACTGATATGATCAGTGGAATGTACCACAATCGGGTTTGTAACATCTACACAGCTGTACCTCAAGACAATGTGAACCAGGAATGAACATTGACGTGACAAAATACCGGGTTCATTCGATTACCAAGGAAAGGAGAATAAACCTCTGGTATTGCTGCAATACAAAGCATGCTATTGTGCAAAATCTGAATATGTTAAGACAAAATAATGCAGTAGGAGGGGTTGGGAATAAAAAAAAAACTCCAAGATAACGAAAGGAGAGTGACGGTGGAGAGAACATCCAATTAATAATTTGCAGAGAAGAGGAGGAAAATGGAAAGTCTGGCCCTGAACTGGGAGAGCAGGTGAGTTGTGCTTACATTGGGGGGTCAAATCACAAATAAGACTGCTCCGATTTGAACTTGATAATTACGTGTACAAATTGAGCAATCATTGGAAGGGCAGCCTGTTTCTCTCTCCCACCTGAAGACGATTACTTGTGTAGCGATCGAAACGTCGTGATCTATTATTTTTTCTATCTACGTGACTTTACCGAAGAACCAAAGAGTATGGATTCCTGCAGTCACGAAAGCTTCAGATCAACATAAGCATTTGCTTAGTGTACCTATGCCTAGCACAGCCACTGGGAAGGGGACATCTGAGGGATAACACTTGAGTGTCCCCTCGTGGTCCAATTGAAGGGTTGATGCTGCTCATGATGATGATGCTGATGATGCTGATGCTGCTAATGATGCTGCTAATGATGATGATGCTGCTAATGATGCTTATGATGATGATGCTGCTGATGATGATGCTTCTAATGATGCTGCTAATGATGCTTATGATGATGATGCTGATGATGCTGATGCTGCTAATGATGCTGCTAATGATGATGATGCTGCTAATGATGCTTATGATGATGATGCTGCTGATGATGATGCTTCTAATGATGCTGCTGATGATGATGCTGATGATGCTTATGATGATGATGCTGATGATGATGATGCTGATGATGGTGCTGCTGATGCTGCTAATGATGATGATGCTGCTAATGATGCTTATGATGATGATAATGCTGCTGATGATGCTGCTAATGATGCTGCTGCTGATGATGCTGATGATGATGCTGCTGATGCTGATGATGATGCTGCTGCTGATGATGCTGCTGCTCATGATGCTGCTGATGCCGCTGCTGCTCATGATGCTGATGATGCTGCTGATGATGCTGCTGCTGCTGATGTTGCTGATGTTACTGATGTTGCTGATGCTGCTGATGATGCTGATGCTGCTGATGTTGTTGATGATGATGCTTCTGCTGATGATGATGCTGCTGCTGATGCTGCTGATGCTGCTGCTGATGATGCTGCTGCTGATGATGCTGCTGATGCTGTGCTCCGTTTAAGCGTATGATGGTGCACCTGACTTGTGCTCAATTTCGGATTAAAAAAGCACTTGACCGACCTTATGTACACATCCCCCTAACGCACTCCCACATCACCGAGGAGAGTGAAAGTGGAAAAAAAATACGTCGCGCAATGTACAAATAATAATAATAATGTCAGAGCAAACAAGCGGCTTAAAAAAACGAAATCACGGTTGCTGAGCACATACCCAATCGGCCAAAGGTGCAAAACACCAAATTGGCCGGCAACGAAACCGCACTCGACGAAAGTGAATACGTTACTCGCATTGAGGACGTCTATAAGAACGTGTGGGAATGAGATAATGGGAGCTAATTCTAAGATCGAGCAGTGCGTGGAGAGACTCAGAGAGAGAGAAAGAGAAGAGCTGTGACCTTTAGTGTGGTGGTTGAACGCGCTGTGTGGATGAGACGAAACGGTCAGTGTGGTAGACCCGACTCACCATCATGGGCGGACTAATCGATAAAGAAAAATAGTGGGAACAGTACCCACGGTAACAAGCTACAGAAGGGTCGTACGGAGGCAACCGACTAGTGGCCGCTGTACGTTGAACTCCAACGAGCGAGGCGGGGGGAGGGCACCTTTATCCCCGTCGTTGCAAATCTTCTTGAGGTCGATGAAGTGAGTGCCGATGGCCGTGTCGTTGACTTTGTCGCTGTCGCGGATTTGGAGCTTCATACGGCGGCAGAGTGGTGGGAAGAGCTCGGTGAACACCACCTGCTCGTTCCACACCGGCTCGTAGCTGTTCCGCTGCACGGACGTCTTGCCCTGGGCGCCAGTGCACAGCACGCAGCACAAGGGTCAAAGTTTTTCTTTCCCCACATGTATGGTCCACTGAAGTACAGTAGAACCTCTGGTCACGACCATAATTCGTTCCATAACTTTGGTCGCAACCCGATTTGGTCGTTCGTGACCAGAGGTTCTACTGTACTACCACAAATGACAGCTCAACGAAGCGGCTTGTCACGTGGAAATGTACAGCGTCCAAATACTCTAAACGCACACGTCGATTCTAAATGTGGAGGGAAGAATCGGAGGACCTGGACAACAAAAATCCACACGACCACGGGGAGAACGCGCAAACTCCAAATATACAGCAGGCGTCAGGGTCCGGATCGAAGCCACGACCTCCAGTATACCAGGTGAGCTAGGTAACATCTTGTCACCATGGTGCCCATGCCAATAAAAAAAATACATGCAGGGAAGGCACCTGTCTCAAATTGATCCTTTGACCCCATTTGTTTTCAGGACTTAGTGTAAAAAACTACAAGGGATGGCTGCCTTCGTGTGATGGATGGATTTCTCGATTGAGGAGTCAAGAAGGCCTGTGACAGAATAAGACCTTCTCCATCCTGTCCAAAACAAATTGTGGGTTAGCTGCCTCCATTCCCCAGATATATTCCTGTATGCACGTATTCAACAACCACAAGACACTCTCCATCGCTCTCAACCGTATTGCTCCTGAAGGTCAGTTGACTGAAAACTGAAATCGGGTTTGATATTGACCACACCATCATCCTCAAAAGGTACACTTCAACAGCCAAGAAAGAGATTCTCAAACAGCAATTTCCTTGGCAACACAGTCCTAAAGTAGGGATCATTATATTCTTAGGTTTTTTCCGTAAAGTCACGTAGGCGTGCTTCAGCAACACCGAACCTCACAATGGCTCCTCCCACCCTCAACCAGTATTTATACAAGGACTGTTTTCTTGGAATTTCTCTTACTTGATGCAGCAGTCGTGCTGTGACGGTTCCACCTGAAGACGGAAGCTTGTGTTGCCTCCAAAACGTAGTGATTTTTTATTTTATTTTACTTTTATTCATTTTAATTTTAATTTTTTACCTACATGACTTTACCGAAAAAACCTAAGAATATGAATCGTTGCAGTCACGAAAGCTTCAAATCTAGAATTAGGGATCATTATGTTCATGTGTGGATATGAATGTATTCATGTCAAGTATGTATGTATGTTGAACTTCTTTCGTGACCGTAGGTGTGCACATATTCACACGCTCAGCATAAAACGGGTGTTGCACGCAAATGTGCGGAGTTAAGGGGTGCTACGATCGCTCCCCTTTCCACCCCCCCGCTCGCTTGCACCTTCTGTCCAGCGAAGGAGACTTGCACGTAGGGGTCGACGAGGTCCCTCTCCTGGCCCATGAGGGCCTTCTTCACGTTGGCCACGATGGCGGTGTTCATCTTGGGCAGGCCCTCGGCCTTGTAGATCCTCACGGAGAAACGGGCCCACTGCCGATCTGCCGGGATCCCTTCCGGGAGCAGCAGATTCCTTCCCAGAATAAAATGAAAGTATGGACGATACAAAAGTGTTTTACGAGAGCAAACATATCTAAATTGTTTGTTTTTACCTCATTTGATTTGATAATAGAAAATATGGTTCTACTTGTATTTGATGGAAGCTTTAAGACTGCTGCTAGTTTCTGCTGAATTGGCTATTTTCATGACAGATATAGGCAGAAAATGCCGTTGGAAGCACATGATTCAGGCCAATATTTAATGGTAAGTGTTTACTATATATTTTAATTCACCTTTATTTAGCCAGGTAATAAATCCTTGAGGTTAAAAACCTCTTTTGCGACGGGGACCTGGCAAAAAGTCAGCAAAAATAATCACCACACACATACACACAATTTTACTGATATTGTGTATATGTGTAATAAAGGACTCGACCACGATGTCTGGCTTGGTGTCCTTTATTCGGTTCTTCTCTCTTAACCCGCACGGCTGTCCTTCTATAAGACTCTATACTGACACTGATACTGCTCTCCTGCAGTTTCTCCCCTCGTCGTTCTCTCAGCCTCTCTCTCCTCTCGTCGCTCTCGTAGCCTCTCCCTCACACACAGCCTCGCCGGCTGTGTTCCCCGCAGCTCCTCGTCCGCCTTCTCTCCAGCCGCCCCACCGCTGTCTTCTCTCGCAGCTCCGCTGGCTGCTCCCTTAGCTGGCCACCGCTGGCCGCCGCTGCCACCCCTTGGCTTTGCCCACGTGGCCTTACTCTGGTCCAGTCCCACTCGTTCTGCCTTCCTCTTCCGGTCTCCTCCCTTAAGAACCTTAACCTTTCCTCCCACGTCACCTAACTCCACCTCTCCGTGACGTCACATCCGGGAGGTCGCCCGCGCCCGCATTACACCACCCTCCCCCGTGGAGAAAAACCCAGCCGACCTCGGCTGAACAACACCAACAGTAATGCGGGCGAACCCGAGCGTAACACACCAAAGGACACCAAGCATGCAATATAACAGTAAGAACAATCAACACAACTCAACAATCAATAACGTAGCAGAAGCAGGCAATAAATACACAGTAAGAACAATACAACATAACAATCAACGAAACACAAGGGATTTAGAGCGTGTGCGGGTCGCCGGCCCGTCCCGGACGGTCGGCGGCCCATCCGCGGAACGGGAACGTGATTGAGTTTGAGGAGCGACAGGGTGAAATCCCCCTGTCGCTGTTGGAAGTCCACCAACGTCCCGTGTCCTTGAAGGATCAGTTTTGGGCTTGTCCCGCGGATGCGTCTGCAGCGGGGTCGGAAGGGCTGCAGGGCTCGAAGGACCCGCAGATCTGGCAGGCACCCTCCGAGCAGAGCGCCTCGTCCCCTCCGGTGTCAAGGCCGGCCTGCCTGTTTCGGTGGATCCTTGGGCGGCTTGGCCGGTAATGAGGCCTCCTGTTGTGGCGGACCCGGGATGCGGGCCCAGCAGTCCTTCGCGTAGTGGCCCTTCCGTCCGCAGCGGAAGCAATCGGCGTCGTTGCGCCGAAGCGCAGGCCTTGCATCGCGCCGCCCGCGTATCGGCGGTGCAGCACGAGAGGCCGGTCCACCGCGGCCTGACCATGGCACCGAGGCGGCCGTCAGCTCCTGAGGGCCCCGCTCATCCGGCACGTATACCGACTTCGTAGGGTCCCAACCCAGAGCGCCACCCTCCGCGACGGGCCTCCCTGTCCACGCCGTGACCTGTTTCCATCGTCGTAGGTTGAATTGTGCATCCAGACATTTCGCCGCCGCCCGGGAGGTGAGCTTCTCATGCCCGCACACCGGCATGGGAATCCCAAGATCCCGCGACAGCTCGAGCATCTTGCCCAAGATGAGAGGCTCGAGCAGGTCAGGTGTTGTATCTGGATACGCGGCCATAGCCAAATCAAGCACTGCACCCCTGTACGCCACAGGCGACTCCTCGGGCGCTCGTTGTCGTTGAGCGAATCGCCGATGCGCGTCGTCAGGTGGCTCGTAGGCGTCGGCCATTTCTTGAAAAACTCCATATAATGTCCTCTTCTTCTCGGCCTTAATGGAGCGAAAAAAACGAACAGATTCGTCGTCCAGAAGAGTCGGCAACACTTCCAAGGCCTCAGCATCGGTCCATCTCGCAGAACGGACCGCCGCTAAAAATCTGCAGGCGAAAGCGCTCCAGTCGCCCCCAATGGCGAATTCCTTGACCGTGGTGAGATGGCGACTCCGACTTCGCTTCACTCCGCCCTCCGCCGATGGTTCCTCCGGAGGCAAATTCAAAATGGCGTCGAATCGCGGCGTGGTCAAGATGGCGGATTCCCGCCGCGGCACGCGCAAGATGGCGGCCTCCTGCCGCGTGGCCCATGGCGCCGGGAGTGAAGAACCCGTGGCGGCCTGTGGAGCACTCTCCGCTCTCTCCGTCGCCGTGCTTGGGGTGACGAGATGACACAATTGGCCCAGGGCGTCCTTGAGAGTCTCCAGTTGCTCAGCCACCTGCAGCCATCGCCGATCAGCGTCTGATGGTGTCGGCGGCCCTGACACTGTGGCTACATCTTCCACTCCCGTCCCCGCACTCGTTTCAGCAGGGCTCTCCTCCACCACCCTGGCAGGATCCATGTTTGGAGGGAAGTCTTCGTCTTCGGACGAAGAAGCCGATGCCGGCGCTGGAACATTTTTCTTTCTCACTTGTTTCGACATGCCGTTGCACTTCCGACACCAATGTAATAAAGGACTCGACCACGATGTCTGGCTTGGTGTCCTTTATTCGGTTCTTCTCTCTTAACCCGCACGGCTGTCCTTCTATAAGACTCTATACTGACACTGATACTGCTCTCCTGCAGTTTCTCCCCTCGTCGTTCTCTCAGCCTCTCTCTCCTCTCGTCGCTCTCGTAGCCTCTCCCTCACACACAGCCTCGCCGGCTGTGTTCCCCGCAGCTCCTCGTCCGCCTTCTCTCCAGCCGCCCCACCGCTGTCTTCTCTCGCAGCTCCGCTGGCTGCTCCCTTAGCTGGCCACCGCTGGCCGCCGCTGCCACCCCTTGGCTTTGCCCACGTGGCCTTACTCTGGTCCAGTCCCACTCGTTCTGCCTTCCTCTTCCGGTCTCCTCCCTTAAGAACCTTAACCTTTCCTCCCACGTCACCTAACTCCACCTCTCCGTGACGTCACATCCGGGAGGTCGCCCGCGCCCGCATTACATATGTAATACGAAGTATCCATTCGAAACGCTCGCAAAGCAATGCATCACTATGTGATGGAATGGCCCATAGAAGCAGATACTACAGAGCTACTCCTGAGATTCCTTAAGGTAAATCTTCATTGCATAGCAATTACACCAAAAATATTTTTTATTCTCAGCACTGCCAATATATAATCAAGATTCAACGTGATTTTGTTGTTGTTATCTATTAATTGGTGGCCAGCCTGCTATCCATCAACTCACTATACTTGAAAATGTTATACTGGAAACCTGAATTTCATCAGTGCCAGCTCAGTGCTCTGACTCCTGAACCATGCAACCACAACTTCAAGCATTTTTATCTTATTTTAAAAAGTGTATAAACGGCAAGAGAATTCCTTTATATTTTTTAAAGATTCTGTAGCATATCATTGTTTTACATCGAGTTATTTGTCGCGTATTTTAAATAATCTTCTTGGTTCTTTCGGTAAAGTATAATAAAATAATTATTTTATTATGTTTTATTTTTATTATTATTAAAATAAAACATAATAAAATAATTATTTTATTATGTTTTATTTTTATTATTTTATTACTTCCCTTCTACGTGACTTTACCGAAAGAACCAAGAAGATGAATCCCTGCAGTCACGAAAGCTTTAAATCGATATTTTAAATAAGTCAACGCACATGCACATTGATATACGTTTTAAAGACACTAAGGGATAAAGGTTGCACAATTATTATACTTTAGGCTCCCCTCTTCGTATTGACAAGCGTTATGAACATCGCGAACCAACTGTGAGCATGTTTCTCTGCTACATTTGATGTCAATCACACAAAATGCCATGGGCCACCTCTACAAGTGGCTCAGCGTTAGAGTGAGCTTCACACAAAAAAAAGTTGTGAGTTCAAATCCTGGTGAGAGGGCTTGACTCGGTCCACCCTCCCTCTGGGGTTGATAAAATGAGTACCGCTTTGTGGGGTTGTCCTGTGGATCGACTCATCCTTGCCATACGAACGTGGAATTTCCACCACTGGGCCGAGTTGAACCCCGACTGAGACTTGAACTCGCAACCTTCTCATGCTTTGCTTAACGCCCCAAACCCGAAGCGCCACTCGGCTGACATAAGCAGTCGTTTTCACCCCAATCACTCCCACTTGAATTGTTTGCAAGAGGCGCTGCTGTTATCATGTTCAGGTGCTGGCCAGGCTGTAAACGGGAGATGAGCACCGCCTCAATTGGCAATTTGAGCCGGAAATCATCGACCTCTATTTTTACCCCCCCCCCCTTTTTACTTTTAACCTCTTGCGTGAAATGGAGCGCGTGGAAGGTACAAACCCTTCAATGGAGTCGGCGTCGTTGTCGACGGACTTGTGCGGCGTCTTGATGTTGTCGCCCTTCCCCACCACGGCGATGTCGCAGTTCACGTAGCCCTTGATGCCAGCCGTGATGTCGTCTGGGTCGGTGAGCACGGCCCACTTGTGGTAGAAGCGGTGGTCTGCCGTCATCGACGAGGGTGCACAAGGAACGCAGCGGGACATGACGGTTAATTCACCGTCGCTACGAGACGGCGGTGTTGCGCCGTCTGCCTGGCTGGCTGAGGGATACGGCTGGAATGGGCACGAGTTAAAATCCCGGTTGGTTTCTCCCCCTGCTTGAAACCCAAAAGCACCGAGCTTGGGATTTTGTCCGCGGAGTATCTGTGCCCTCTCCATGCGTGGTTGTGCTTTGTACCGGGCTCTTGTTGAGTTACAATAAACAAAACAAAATCCCGGTTGGAGGTCAACTCGGTCTACCATCCTTGTGCCGTCGATAAAATAGGTACCATTTTGTGGTAAGCTAACAGCGGTCATCCAACAGAAATGCCTATCTTGAAAAATATTCACCGCTGGCTCTGCATGGCCAATGCAGATGAGGGCACTGCCCAAATGCTTTTTTTTAAGCAAGAGTCTCAGAGTTTTTAAGATCTAATTTTTTTTTTACCATTAAGGAGTGGCACACAATCGTAAAAAAAAACTCAAAATATCATACGCCTTCATTTGCGTTTCCAATAAGCGATTACTTTGTGTACCAATAGAATGACGCTCATGGAATTTTGATGCAGGCATTTTGCAATGCACTGACTCAAAATTCCAGGTTACTTGTGCTGGTTCTGTTTTGAAGGGTTGATGATTGCGGGGGAAATGTGCACTTTCTGGCAGATGTAGACAGTATGATATAAACATACGTTTAATACAACAGAGATAACATACAATTGGACTTGAGTATTGCACACTTTCAGACTACCACCAGGCACTGTACAGATCAGTGATGGATAATGTTGTATCTCCCAGACTAGGGATTGTGGTGTAACTTGGAACATCTGAAAATTAAAATTCAGTTGAATTTGTAAAAGTGTGCGTGGATTTCTCCACAGCAATACTACTTGATATATAAACCATCATTGATTTGTAGCAGCAGCAGCGTGATTATCACAGTTGTACACCTGGAGCCAATGTCAACACTTTACATCAATACTGGTCAGTTACATTCAGCCACAGAGTCTCTATCAAGATCAATATGGGTCCCATGTCTGCGGGAACTAGATATTTCGTTTCTCTTCACATTCTCAACAAAACGAAAAGGAAATCACAGAACCAGGGTACACGGCATCCAGACGGCCAGCATATATACATGCGACAGTAGTTCCAAGTTTCGAGTTTGTTGTGTTTCACCAAGAGCTATCTGGGTCACCAAAATGGGAGTGGGTGCCCTTAGTTGTGATCTAGGAAACGATGGAAATACTTCTGTATTTTAATCACCTTAAGTGTACGAAATAGAATGGGAACAGCTGACCTATAATACCACCACCCCATGCAAAATATCGCACAATTTTCACTGCTGCTCGATTCACAACACGAGGGTAGATATGAGGCGTATAACCAGTGACCTTTGCCCTGACAGCCAAATGCAATCTGCGAGCCTCCCTGGCCACAGTCCTAACCCCTTCAGCCTCAGAAATCCCATTGGGATATCAAAACGGCAAGAGGGCTGACTTTCTAAATAATGTCGCTCGGCTGATATAAATCAATGAACACAAATAAAACTCATATTCTTGGTTCTTTCGGTAAAGTCAAGCAAGCAGCTGAGGACAGCTGCTTGTGTTGTGGCCGAAACGTCGTGAGAACTTTATTATGTTTTAGTTTATTTATTTTATTATTTCCCTTCTACGTGACTTTACCGAAAGAACCAAGAATATGAATCCCTGCGGTCACAAAAGTTTTAAATCGAAATACAAATAAAACTCCTCTTTTTATTGGTGGCACATGTGTGAAGGCATTGGAGATCCACAGACCCGTGCCTGGCAGCTGATAAAATTGTACATAACTTAATTATGCAATCATCTAAGGAATGTCTGACTGCTTTAAAAACCAAGCCATACGCAGATTTAAAAAAATATATATCATTAAGCAGCCATGATCATAACACAATTTCTCCACCCCAACTTATTTTGGAATTACAACGTAATTACATTTCTGGACAGCAATAAAAAGATGCAATCAATGTCCTGCGGCGCTCACATTCAGCAGAACATGTGCTGTGTTTTTTTTTGACACTCAGTGCCAATCGGGGTATTTGGCGTACATTTAATACCGGGTAAATTTAACACAGAGGTGCGATTGTAAGGCAAAAATTCTAAAGCCACTGCAGCAATGGTTAAAAGATGTGCGCATTGGAGCAACCGACAGGGAATGTCTCATAGTTGTCAGATGAAATCTTTACAATTGCTTATTATTATATTCCACCTTACTTTGAAAGCTAATCACACAGTGAGCAAAGCTTAATGAACTGAGATATGTAATGCAATAAAATCTTGCCAACTGATGATAATGACAATAATGATGATGGCAGCATTTCTCCCCCTCAAACAAGCTCATATTATGACGGAAGCTCTGAAAAAGTGGTACACACATTCCACACTTTTTAAGGCAGGAGAAAGCATTTTCATTACATAACCACTGCTGACTTCCCATGAAGTCAAACTCATTTTACCGATGAAGGATGGTTAATGGGCCGAGTCGAACCCCAACTGAGATTCGAGATTCGAACTCACAACCTTCCCATGCAGTAGCTCAACGCTCCAACCTTCAGCGCCACCCAGCTGGATAGGCAGTCGCTTTCACCCCAATCACTCCCATTTGAATTGCTTGCAAGAGACACTGCTGTTGTCACTTTTAGGCGCCGCATTTATATCTGTCAATCTTATCGTGACATTTTGTCGTGGCCAAAGGAGGGAACGGCAGCAAATGTGCCTGTAGGAGGCAGTAAAGCAAGTAAGTGTCTGGGCGGGTTATCTGTTTGAGTTTGAGAGATATCTCCTCCTTTGCAAGGATTTTCCCCAGGCACTTTGGGTGCTTTTTACAGGGAACAAAAACGCAACTGTCTGATAACCCAAAGAGGAAGAAGACCTCCGATTACCACCTCCGATGAGTGCGGTTGGCTACATACGTTGCGAAAGAAGTTTCGACATACATACAACACTTTTTATTTTTAAAGACTCATTGCAACGTTCACGAGCCCAGACTTCAACAATTTCAAAGGACAACTCTCTTACCAGGCTGACTGTAGACTGTGCCGACGTCTAATTTGAAGGTGCCGACAAGAGTTCCACTTCGGATTAAGTTCTTTGAGTGGATCACCTGCGAATAAATACACGAGCGATGTGATCACGACAGGCAGACAATTGGCATAAATCATCCACAGCTGTATGTACGTATGTATGTTGAACTTCTTTCACACTATATGTAGCCAACCGTGCGAATTGGAGGTGCGGAAATAGGACAACAACAACTCTAAGCTGAACTTAGTTCTACAACTGAGTTAAATATATCAGCAGCAGAATACTTCAAACACCTGAAGCAATATTTTCCTTCAGTTTAAATTTCTTGGACGGAATATTCGGAACTGTGCTTGATTTAACTGGCCATAGGCCGTAAATGGGATTATCGATCCACAGATCTCTAATGAATTTGGCACAATTTGGGATTTGTGTTATTATTTGAAGTCAGACTTTTATTTTCATATGCATTCATGTGTTATGTTAATATTACAAATAAAAAAACAAAGCAAGTAGAAGACATTAATACGTGGAAATTATATTATACGTAACTGGCAAAAATAAAGTGTTTTGTATCATTTTCAGAGGTTCTGCTGACCATTGTAACTTTAAATAAAGCTATGCCATCGTAATTATTCTGTCGTCAAATGTCCACAGGTCCCACGAGACGAGCCAATATTTCAAGCGCACGATCCACATTAAAAACAAACGTTTATAACTCTGACTGCAGCAACGCGACGACACTCACCGAGATCTTTATGATCTTGTCAAACATCATGTTGGGAGGCGTGTGGAAGTCAAACACAAAATACTGCAACGAGAAGGAACGGGTGAGTGAGTACTGCAACTCACTCGAGGTGCTCGCGAGCTCAGCGGTCAAGCGCACAGACCCGGGGTCGCCACGACATCACTTTGCCACAGGTTGCGGCCGAAACGTCGTGATTTAATTTATTTTCTATCCACGTGACTTTACCAAAAGAACCAAAGAGTATGGATCCCTGCAGTCACGAAAACTTCAAATCTAGATTCAGCGGCAGCGCATTCACCGCTCATTGCAGAGGTTCACGGTTCTAATTCCAGCGGCCGCCCCGGTTACTACTGCGGGTGTACTCTGGTAACCACGGTGATATACCTATGAGCCGTTTGTGTGCCGGTTTTCAGGGTCCAAATTTGGTAAGTTTGAAAATTACCCATAAATTATGCAATTGGGATTTTACGCACAGCGGTAATACTTCGCCCCTGACTGGCAGACTGATGCCCCAGGTCACTCTTTCAAGTAAGACTACCCTGGTCTCTTTGGTCCTCACATGGTTAAACAAAATAACTTATACTACGGTACAATATACATGTTCACAATCGGATGATTATAACAGTCTAATTTTTGTGCTTTGCAGAACTTCAAGCGTTAATACATCTTACCGCAATGTTATTCAACTTGCTGTTGAATCAACATAAACCCTACCACGGGTCTGCTAATCATTGCAATGTTACAAACTCTGATGCTTTGAACGCAGATGCAATCTGTTACTCAAGAAGACAATCACAGCACGATGAACATTATGTCATATAACCACCATGCCGCCACTCACTCCGGAACACATTTAGCAAACCACTAATATAATGGGTAATAGCTAATGTCTTTATTTAAAGCATTAATCACTGCACTTTGGCTATTTCGTGAATATTGTCAGGCTTTATACGATTCATTATTCATTTCTGTGGGTTAGATCGTGTAGATACGATATCATTTTCAAATGATTACCCTTCTCCCCACGCATGAGCTGAGCTTTTTCAACACCTGAGGATGCTGGTTGTAATTTCCAGCGAAAAGTCATTCATAGAAAATCGTCAAATGTTGCTTGCTCTTGAACGGTTCAGTTTTGCTGATAAACCAAATCAATGGGGATATTTGCCCACACGACAGCTTGATTTTATTAACTGTGTTGTGTGGTGGAGGGGTATAGTAAAAAAAATACATTTTATCCCCACGTTCTAACCCGAAAAAGACATTACGAATCATATTGGTCGTGAAAGCCTACGTATAAATACATTATAAAATAATTACAAATAAATCATAGTACTGTATCACAACATTTAGCAGGACGGATGATGCAATTATCGGGTACCGTATATATAAACGATATATTGCAATATCACTCTGTAGTGACGGCCCTAACATGGATCTATGGGGTGCCAAGGTGGCGAGATGTTAACTACCTTGCCTGGTCTACAGGAGGTCATGGGTTCGATCCCAACCCCGATGCCTGTATATATAGAGTTTGCATATTCTCTCCGTAGTCGCGTGGATTTTTCTCCAGGTCCTCCGGTTTTTCCCTCCACATTTCGAATCAACATCCATCCATAGCATTTGGCTGCTATAAATCTCCACGTGATAAGCCCACTTCGTTGAGCTATCATTTGTGGCCAGGTCGCTTTCGATAAAAAAGCTATGTAGCTCGCCGGGGCCTTACCTGGTAAAATAAAAATGTTTAAACAGTTTAGTAAATATGCGAAAAAAGCAGGGGCTCTTGCTGCTCTCACCTCGTTGTAGTAGGGGCAGTTCGTGGACTCCTTCTGGCTCGTCTGTTTCTTTTCTTCCCCGACCTCCACAATCACAACCGGGTCCATGTTGAGGCCCACCAGCTGTCGGGCCTCGATGATCATCACGCTCACCTGGCGGACGCAAGGATGCGGACACTGGTGGCCACTGCAACCGCTGCATGATGCTTCGCAGAGATCACCCGCTGTGAGTTCCCAAATGGGGAAAGGGAAGTCCCATGGTCCATGGAAAATAATGGTAATCGTTGTAGCTTATCTTTGGGGTCAACATAAGGGGTCGCCAATAATGTAAACTCCTTATCCAACCGGGAGCAGCAGTGGTTACGGTGTAATGGGGAAGGATGTGATTTCTTGGTTGAACGGGTCGACGGTGACCTTTCACCCTTTGGGTGAGCAATCAAACGAGTGCAACTTTGTCAACGACGAAAAGTCACAGCGATTTCCTGCTCCAATGAGCGTTGAGCTCATCTCCTGTTAACAGCTCTGAGCCATAATTGGTTCTTTACCCTTCTATCTGGCAACAAAACTGACACCTTTTTGCAAGGAGTCATGTTTGCATAGACCGCAATACCTGCAGTCATAAATACAAACAAAAGACATAACTCTGATAATGTGCACTGTCCTTGAAGTTGATTGGTCCACACCCGAGACAGCTTTCCTTCGAGCCTAGTCTCATATGGGTTGGACCAGATGACGCCAAAAGGCGCACAACTCAAGGACAATGCACCATCAGAGTATGAGAGCTCGGGGCAAGCATCTACACTATGGGGACCTCATTTGCCAGTAAAAATATGATAATTGGTTCTTTACCCTTCTATCTGGCAACAAAACTGACACCTTTTTGCAAGGAGTCATGTTTGCATAGACCGCAATACCTGCAGTTTGTATTTATGACTGCAGGTATTGCGGTCTATGCAAACATGACTCCTTGCAAAAAGGTGTCAGTTTTGTTGCCAGATAGAAGGGTAAAGAACCAATTATCATATTTTTACTGGCAAATGAGGTCCCCATAGTGTAGATGCTTGCCCCGAGCTCTCATACTCTGATGGTGCATTGTCCTTGAGTTGTGCGCCTTTTGGCGTCATCTGGTCCAACCCATATGAGACTAGGCTCGAAGGAAAGCTGTCTCGGGTGTGGACCAATCAACTTCAAGGACAGTGCACATTATCAGAGTTATGTCTTTTGTTTGTATTTATGACTGCAGGTATTGCGGTCTATGCAAACATGACTCCTTGCAAAAAGGTGTCAGTTTTGTTGCCAGATAGAAGGGTAAAGAACCAATTATCATATTTTTACTGGCAAATGAGGTCCCCATAGTGTAGCTCTGAGCCAGTTGCAGAAATGTCATATTCCTATCGTGGGTGCAAGTCTATCCGGTTGACTTCCCCATAAAGTGGTACTAACTTTATCAACCCCAGAGGAATGATGGGCTGAGTCAATGCCTGACCAGGATTTGAACTCGCTACCTTCCGATTGCGGGCCAGTCGCTCTACTTATGTACAAACACTGGCTCCCTGCCATGGGAATGTGGAATTAGTATCACTAGCTCAGGGCTGGAAAGAAAAAGTGAGTGCCACTCGATGCTCATTTAAGGAAAAATATACTTTTACTTTTTGACTTCAAAGTCAACTGCATAATTACCATAATGTAACATTATACATTGCAACAAGCTGCTGACTGGAGAGCGTTCATTATATTGGCCACAATTGTGTCAGTTAACTTTGTATGCAATGTCATATCTTTCATTAAAAAAACAGAACAGAAAGCCATTGTGTCCCTGCTTCATGTGCAATGCAATTTGCCGCAACTAATTACGAAGGCGATTTGAAAGTTGGGTGGGCGAAAGCTTGTGCCAAAATGCCCACCACTTTCATCCTTGGCATCTTATCTGGAGAGGACACCTTGACTCAGCCGTGCATTCACTCAGCGCTCCGAGATGTTTGGTTACAATTGTGGGACGCAATACAAATGAAAGTATTATTATTAGTTAGTGTTAATATGACTCGATGCTACAGCTGCTTCAGCTCCATGTGGAGATGACTAACAGTGGCCTGTCTGCTTTAAATAGTATTTTGTGATTCATTACACTCCAACCACTTTAAATTAGTACTGAGCAGACAAAGTGGATAATTTAGTCAACGTAATACTGCCACTGGAATTAAACAGGAAAGAAAACATTACAATCAAGGTTATTCGTTATGCATGTTATGCAAACCGGCAGCATTACATTGGGCTCCTAACACAAAGCGGTACACATTCGCCTGTGAGACATTCCTCTGTGACCTCTGTCCAAAATGTCACGGTGAAGGGTGAACAATGAATTCTTACAGAGTTGCCCAAGTGAGGGGTTTAGCGACCACACGGTACTGGTGAGTCCTAATAAGGACGAAACCAACTCTGTACCTCTATATCACCGCTACCCATCAGTCTGTCACGTTTGCTCATATTTATTTATTTTGATAAGGACCGTGAGGATGGTTTTTTGCACACTGCACAAAGGCTGTGTGCTTTCGTCCACGTTTCTGTGTGTCGTTCGAAACTTACAAAATTGCACCAATAATGGTGCTGGTTAATTACCGTGGCGCTAAAGGACAAGGAGCGGAGGAATGCATACAATGTTCTGGCTTGCTGTGTCATCAACAACGTATCACGATTTATGAGTTTCCTTTGTTACAGTGCCTGTGATTGTATGAACATTGGGAAGCCCTTTGCCGAATCGTATTAAGTCTAAGAGTGTCTTTGTCCAGCTTGATAGGCTTTAGTGATTTCTACTCTACTATGACAAATGCCTTACTTTTACCGTGAACATTGTGAAAAAAACCACGAGGAACTATTTACACTACAGTTCGTATTGGCACTGTAGGAACTATACAGATGCTTCATGTATTTATTCTGACCTCAATTAAAGCAATGTCATTATACACACAAAACAATCTTATTTAATATGGCAATACTGCATTGTCATGCAATTTAACGAGAATTTATTTTTTATTGTTTAGTCTGCGTTGTTTCTCAGGTTTATTGATGAACCAGCACTATTCGCCCGTCAGGGGTCAGTCACCTCCCCGTTGCTCTTCTAAACGCTGCTGCCGTGGTTACTGTTTCCCGTGAGCGTCACTCATTGATTCCTCCACTCACGTTGAGGACTTGATCTGCCAGACATTGACTCTTTGGTCTCATCCACCACACTGTGTTCATCCACCACCACCACCACACAGCAGGTCACCACATTTCTCTTCCTGCTTCTTCCCTCGCACTGCTCGACTCCAGAAATCCCCCCTCCCATCATCTCTTCTCCCCGTGATCCTGTGGATTTTTTTCTCGTTTTTCCCCACACGTTTAGAAACGTGCGTTTAGAGTGGTCGATTGCTGTACAAGTTCCGCGTGATATGCCACAAGAAGAAGCTAATGGCTCAGTGACGTCCTGATCGCAAACGCTTGTGTTGCGATCAAAACGTCGTAGTTTTTTGTTATTTTCTTTCAACCTATCTACGTGACTTTACCGAAAGACCCAAAGAATATGAATTCCTGCAGTCACAAAAGCTTTAAGTCAAGATTTAAAATAAAAAAAGTTTAGTTTTAGTTTTACTTTCTTTTCCGCAAGCTTTCATTAAAACTTTGCTCAATTCCAGAAATGCAATAAGCATTCTTATCGATTACAACGTTAATCGTGCTCTGTTGTTTGACAACTTGGCGTTTTGTGCCATTGGGCCTGCGTTCAGAAAATGCGAATGAAAAGAAACGCTTGCAGTTGTTTGTTTTTATAACACCACATGGTGTAATGGTGGTGAGCGGTCTTCCTGGTGATGCCGTGGCAAGTGCCCGTCATGTGCATTGGCTGCTGTGCGGTGATGGGACACCGCCACCGTCACCGCCACCGCCACTGCCACCACCACCGTCACCGTCATCACCACCGTCACCGTCACCGCCACCGTCACCGCCACCGTCACCACCACCATCACCGTCACCGCCACCGTCACCGCCACTGTCACCGCCACCGCCACCGTCATCATCACTGCCACTGTCACCGCCACCATCACCGTCACCACCACCGTCACCGTCATCACCGCCACCATCACCGTCACCACCACCGTCACCATCACCGTCACCGTCACTGCCACCATCACCGCCACCACCACCGCCACCGTCACCACGACCGTCACCGTCACCATCACCGCCACCGCCACCGTCACCATCACCGTCACCGTCACCACCACCGTCACCACCACCATCACCGTCATCATCACCGCCACCATCACCGCCACCGTCACCAGCGTGTGTACCTGGTAGCTCTGAGGCTTGCCCGCAGTCGGATCGACCCTCGGCTCCGGTTTCGATCTGTGAGCAAAGCATCGCTTCGCTGTTTAATGCCAGCTCCTGGCGTTGACAAATGCCTTGTATGGTGATGTTAACAAAGACGGTTCTTAATGCGCACGTGTTTCTGGAAGCAGACGGAATGTTTGGCCGGTGTACATAGACACACGAGTAAACATCTAGGTATACGCACATACCATTAACACATTACATACACACAACATATGAGGACTGACTTTCACTCAGACACCCTCATAATATCGCATACCTGTCAAACCCTTATCAGTGTCTACCTTATTACGGACCAATTCAGACCTTATTGGTCTGAATTCATCCTAGAAAGTCCCATCACAAGGGAGAAACATAAACAATTAGACAAAAAAATGTTGCCCGTATTGAAACGGCTGTACGCTGTATGGACCTGAAAACTAAATTTCCCTATACAAAAATACGGGTAAACCGTATGGGTTGACAGGTATGCTATCGTGTCCTGCAAGATCCCATGCCTGACCCCTATACATCGCAACAATAATAATAACAAGAATAAAACAAACATGTATAATTTCAACTTGGCTTGCACGCAGCATTCGCTCACTCTCAACGAGAGCGACGTGGTGATCCAGTGATAACGATTGCCCAAGCTCTACAATACTCTATATATTGAGATGTTTTCAACCTGCCCAAGCCAGCTTCCTCTTAATGGACTTTAAAATGTAATGTCTTAAACTCGCACATGTTCAATGATCCATATTTTCCTCTCTCCGCAGACCAGTCTAATTCTAAGCATGCATCTCTCCTAGTGCAATTTTCAGCACTTTTCAGCTAATCTCTCACAATCTCATCTCACTCATCGGTTGGCATCATTCCACCAAGCTCGCTGTACAAAATAAACAGTGAAAATGTCATTTCGGATTACTTTGCTCCTGGCAGTTTTCACCCAGTGATCACAAGCAGGAAAGTGATGTGGAATGGTGTCACGCTGCTCTCCAATGCGTTCTTTTGGGGTCCGCTAATTGTAATTTCTTTGTCAAAGTCCACGTTTATGATCAATCCTGTTGGTTTGACCACCTACGTGTACACCTCTCGCCTCGTGGTCTGTCATTGCCTCTCTTTTGTTTTACGATCAGAGGAAACAAGAAGATGCTCGGTGTAGTCGGCACTTTGCTTCATTCATCATTTCGTTTTTTTATGCTTTGCTTTATGTAACCCCCCCCCCCTCCTTTTTAAATGAAAGATTTAACAAAATATTTCTCGCTCTGCTCTCCTTCCCCCTTCCCTCTCTCTGTACTCCCCTCTCTGCCCCTCCTCTCTCTGTACCCCCTCTCTTCCTACTCCATGTCGCTCTCTCTCTCTCGCTCACTCTTTCTCTCGCTCTCTGGCTCTCTCTTTTTTTTAACTACGACAAGTGTTGCATCTCTTGTCGAGCTCACCTTCACCTCACGAATTCCTACAGCTCTCTCATCTCCGTCTCATTCACAACCCCTTTCTTTCATCTCACCCGTCTGCATCTCGTGACGTCTCGGCGAGCCACGTCTCCCCCCACGAGGCCACAGCTCAATGGACCACTCTCAAAGAGCCTTCGGGGGGTGGCCAGGTGTGTCCCGTGGTCCACCGGATGAAGAACCCTGCCCTTAGCGTTCTACGTTGTCCCATGTAATACGTGACGCCCTCTTTTGGCTACGCTCACCTTTTGTTGGAAACATTGGTGGTCTCGACGATGCCAGAGGCGAGGGAGATGTTGTCCAGCATGTCGCCCCGGCTTGCCGCCAACATCTTCCTGTCCATTTCCTCTACGTCCATATTCTCGTCATCTGTAGTTGTAGTAATGACAGGAGGGATGAGTTGGACTACATCCAAGAAGCACGATTCCGCATATATTCCGGCTTACAGGATCTGTAGTGTAACCAGCTTGAACTCCACACATCTGGGCCAATTAATATAGTTCAAGATTATATTCGTCTTCTCGGCATTAACACTGTAGATTTGCGCTGTGTATCTCACCGATGTGTTCTCATGCTGCTAAGGAAGGTCCCAGCACGTGAAGTGAAATTTACGTACGTAGGTTGAACTTCTTTTGCGCCGTACGTAGCCAAGCGTGATAATCGCTCGCTAACAGCACTTTCCACAAAAAGTATGCTAAGGCTATATGGGGGATCTTTGTATTTGTATGTATATACAACTTTATAACCGTGCATTTGATTACGTATTTTAAGGACACACTCAACACACATGCCACTGATCTCATTATCGCATGCACCTGGTGCGTGAGTTAATTTGGTGCATGTGGTGATTTCATTGCCACGTGCACAAAGCGTACGTCGCATTCCCCACCTTCTGCGTTGAGGTTCGTAAGCACCAGGCTGGATTTCGGTGGCCGTTTCTTTGCTCCAAGTTTCTGTAGAAAATTCCTGTTGCTTTCAAACAACATTTCAAACGTGCGTGTTACTTAAAATACTTCTCATGACGGAGGCATTTGAAGATGCATTGATCTCGCAGATTAAAATCCATACTCCCAAGATACACACAAGTCGAATTGTTGTGTAAATCCGGCAGCCACTAGAGGCACTAAATTCACTATAACGGAAAACAGGAAACAGATTATTGAATCAAATCGCAATAATGAAATTAATAGAACCGTGAGCGGGTGAATGTCCAGCCTTCAGCATACAAAAGAGAAATGTGCAGCCCTGCAATGACTGCTCGCATCACTACTGGCAGAAGGACCTCCACTAGAGGAAGGTCAAGAAAGTCCCTCTCAAGAGTGAATGGCCTACTCTTCCGGTCTGGCCATACGTCTTGAACGGTGGGAGCATCTACACTTTAACCGCACCATGTGTGACCTGTCGGTCTACTGACTGTGGTTGGACCAATACTCTTAGTTCTTTCGGTAAAGTCACGTAGGTAAAAAATGAAATTAAAATTAATAGAAATAAAACAATAAAATTACGACGTTTCGGAGGCAACACAAGTCTCCGTCATCAGGTGGGGCCGTCACAGCCAGATTTGCTGCATCAAGCTGTGACGGTCCCACCTGATGACGGAGACTTGTGTTGCCTCCGAAACGTCGTGATTTTATTGTTTTATTTCTATTAATTTTAATTTCATTTTTTACCGACGTGACTTTACCGAAAGAACTAAGAGTATGAATCCTTGCAGTCACAAAAGCTTCAAATCTGTGGTTGGACCCATTTTTCACTGCTCGGTGGACAGAGGTGGAGAGAATTGAGAAACTTACGCCACTGTTTCATCTGCCGTGCCAAGAGATCGAATGGAGCCAGCGACCTCCGGATTACAATTCCCGTGAGCTAACCAGTATGCCATGGCAGCATCCATCCCGCCACGGTGGGCACATGAGATCTTTGCACGTGTGAATGTATCTTGCCACATGTCACGACGGAGAGAAACATCAAAAGGTAGCGGTGGAAATGTACATTTATGTGTGTGTTTGGAATAAATAATGGGAATATTACAGGAAAGCAGACATGCAGGAATGCAGGTGAGCAGGCAGATGGGGAAAAAAATGAGCAAACAAGCAGAACACCACTGAGGTAAATACAACAGTGTAGCCCAATGATAATACAATAACAGTAAACAATGAAGGTCAAAAGGTTTGTGTAGGCCCAGAGTGCAGTCATATTCACGGCAAGTAAAACAACTATTAATTGAAACAGAGTGTTTGGCTTCATTCAATTAGTGCTATTATTTGGCAGAACTGGGAAACGGGCCTTTCAATTTGACTCACAAAACCTTAACCACTCTTCGGTGCAATTATGTATTTTTTCGCGAGTCGATTGCAAAAAATATGCAATTTAAGGAATTATTTTTCCGTGCTTAAAATATTTTTCCCAAACGTGCCGATGAACAAATTGTCAAAATAGTGATGCACATTTTCTTTTGTTTATATATGGCGTTAATTATTTATTGAATATATTTTTCTGAACTTTCAAATGCAGCATCACAGGCCATCTCATTACGGATATCCCTACAGGGTTGAATAATAAGGGGTTTATGGAGTCAATATCTGAAGAAGAATTCATAAAATGCACTTTAATAAGTGAAGCCACTCCGGTCAGAGCAAACAACGGGGCAATATGCAATAACAATTTGAAGACGCCATTCTTCTGTATTTGATTTTATAGAATCATATGACCAGAAACACATGCATGCAATTGGCTCATTTGCATTGTAAGGAGCTAACAACACGGGTTAAAATAACAATTCATAAGGCTCTCTGGTGCCGAGTTGCAGCACGTGTGGTTCGGCATGATGTCCGACGTTTCACCCCACGTGCTGGGAGCTTCTTCAGGAACCGAATTGAAGAATCTCCCAGCGTGTGGAGCAAAAACGTCGGAGAGCTGTTCGGCACAACCACGAACGCCTATGCAGCCGCGAGGAAATTCCGAGGTGAGCAATGAGGGCATTTGAGAGACCCGATTATATCACTGATCTCGTATCCCTTTGACCTTCATAATGCACCCTTAGATATAAATTCAAGGGTGTTGCCTTTTAGGGCCTGTACTTTCAAGAGCTGTAACTGAATGGAATTGCGACAACAACAAAAAAAACCTTTGTAGGCTAAAGTAAAGTAAAAAATATGTCAAACGCTTGGAACAAAACATATCTTCGCACTTATCAAGGCCACGAAATGTATGCCCGAAAGGCATTGAAGGAGCTTGCTGACAAATCCCAAAATAGATGAGAGTTTTTTTGCCTCGGCTAGCGAGAAAACTGAGAGCGTCTCAACAAAGACAGCAGCGTTAAAGGAAGCAAAGCAAATACGCGACCGTTGGTGAAATACTTCAAGCCAGGCAATTAATTACAGGCACGGATGATTGTGCAGCAATTAAGCGCAATGATGTTGACAGCCCAGGCGCTAATGCTCGCTTGCACCTCTCCACGTGCAGCCGAGTGAACTTTGTACGAAAACACGAACGTCTGTTAAGTTAAAACAAAGCAAAATAGAGCTCAAATCGTCGGCACCAGAATCTATACATAAGTCCGGAGAGATAAACAAGTTTGTGAGTATTTGACAAATTACTCCTTACGGGTAAATCTGATTTTAGATCTGTCAAACAAAGTGCTCGAGCTTGAAATTCAGATACTGGCCTAAACAACAAGGTTCATATTATTTGGGTCTTTCGGTAAAGTCACGTGGCTAGGTTGTTAGGTTGTTAGATAGGTTGTTATTTTATTTCAATCTATCTACGCGACTTTACCGAAAGACCCAAAGAATATGAATTCCTGCAGTCACGAAAGCTTTAAGTCAAGATTTAACAAGGTATATAGAATCTGGGCTGGAACATTCATTACGAAGCACAGTTTACACTTCACTTATGCCGCAACGTGGAACCTACTTCGTGTCCATGCGAAATCTTCTGGTGTCCCTAGATTTGATGCTAAGGCAGGACATCTTAATATCACTGAACCTGGTGGTCATCCCACTGTGCGAGCCGCTGTGAGCAGCGTGTAAACCAACAGTGTTGGTTTACCATTCGCGAGTGCGTGTGCGTGTTGGTGTCATGTGCCCGTGTCATGGGGGAGAGTGTGTTAGAGGTGTGCGCAGGTAGCAATGTGCACTTGTATAATTAGAACAAGGCAGTGTGTGCGAGCATGTGAAGGTTTGTGTGCGATAGTTAGTGTGTGTGTGTGCACACAGGAGACCGTGTTAGTGTATGTAAAGAAGGAATACAGAAAACAGAGGGGGAGATTAATTAGCAAGGCATGACAAACAGAGCAGAGCACGCAAATAACCGGTCAATCGCTCAGAGGATGCAGGAAGAAAGGAGATGAGTGCGATACATGATCCATATTTGTTATTGGGTCGGGCCGCATGGTATTTTTTATGCAAACATTATTGTCATTGACCCTCCACCACCCGGCAAGATTGTCATGCTTACAAATATCATTGTTTATACGTGGCCAATGTTACAATGACATTATGCCCGATACAGATCCACAACGGTGGCTTGAGAGACTATTCATGACGGAATTTAACATCAACGGGTGATTCACCTGAAAATCGAGTGAGCGGCAGTTAACACTTAAAAAATGCCTTTATTAACCGAACGTATCACTACTGAGCTTCAATACTTTATTTTCGTGAGGATCCTGTATTGGGTGATGTTTGGCCAATATCATTATCGAGTGGTTGGCATGTGTGAGAAAACCGAAGTACACAGATATCTGCACAAACATATAAAATAATCCAGTGCTGTACTGCCACCTCACAACCCCAGCTTAGAGTCGGGGTGATCTCGTCAAGGAGGATAAACCGTCATCACGCGAACTCCGGTCATCCTCGCAGCTGCAGCAGCGGATTTTGGCTGCCCATCGAACAAAGACGGTCGCCGCATCGCGCTGCATTCAGATGCGCTTCTGCGGCCGTCTGGAACGCTCTTCCTTCCGATATTAGGAAGCCACTGGAGCTATGCACTTTTAAATCTTCTAGATTGAAAATTATTATTTTTAGAACTGCTTTTTATGTTTAGTTTGTTGTCCTTCCCCCGCACCTCTCGTTAACACGGTTGACTACGTACGGTGCGAAAGAAGTTCAACATACACACATACATAGGGTTGGCGTGGCACCAGAGATTTCAGATGTTGTGTTCCAGAGTCACAGCAAGGCTCTGAGCTGGGGTCACTGGACTGTCAAAAAAAATACATGACTGCACGTGGGTGTTTTGTGGCATTGAATCTGGAGACAGGTGGAGATAGCTGGAGCAGCCAAGTGGAGCTGCTCTGCAGGGACTCTGAAGCTATAGCAGAGGCTGCTGGAGCCATGCTGGAACTGGAGCAGTGGGTCTCCCTCGGTTCCAGAGTCAGCCTGGTGCGAGCCTGGAGCTGGAGCCGGCCTGGAGCCGGCCTGGAGCTGCAGCTGAGCTACAGGAGCTGCTCCACAATAGGAGCCGGCAAAGCCAGAGCACTGCCAAACCCTCCTGAAAGCGGCGGATATTCAGAGGCTCATGCCATTCACGAGTGCCTGGCATGTGGTAGAAACTCGGAAATATCTAGAGATGTTGGCAATGTTATCCGATGGAGCCTACAAGTTCCCCATTTTAATATTCGCTCACGTAATAATTTACAATTAACTGTAAAAAAAAATGCTCCTTATTAAAATAACTGAGGAGCAGGGAGGGGGGGTATTGGCACAGGACTGAGCACACACACTTTGCGATGAGAACCCAGTAACCTGAGTTCGATTCCAGGCCATAGCCAACACCAGCGGCGAGTGATCATCTGAACTGATCCTGGGCCGCCTCCTTTGCGAACCCCCAATGGCCAGCGTGGTCAGGTAAGACCAAAACAAACCCCAGTGACCCACGTGGCATGGCCAGGCTGTCATCCAGCAGTCAAACGAGACAGGGTTGTGAATGAATGAAAAGCAAATACAGAGTAATGTAAAATAACATTCAAATTAACTGCACGGTTGATACCAACTGTAGCCTTTTACTGAGCAGGTAGATTTTATGTCATTATAAAATAATCGTGTATGAACCTTTGTCAATCCACTGCTGGATGATAGAGTATCGTCCCCCATGTTTGGCCATGTGGGTCGTTTGATCCGTGCTTCACCACACAGGTCGGTGTGGTGAGGTACGATCAAAGACAAAGATACCCCATATAGCCTTAACAGACTGCAGGGGCAAGTGCTGTTAGCGAGCATCTGATGAAGGCCGGCACGGCACACGACGGGGTGGGTGGGCATCACCATGCACGACCGCCTTTGTCTTCCTAGTGGCAATGTTTACACAAAGCAACCAGGTACTCATTTGAGGCTGAGTCGACTGAGGGGAGGCCCAGGACCGTTTCAGATAAATCGTCACTGTTGTTGGCCATGAGTGGGAATCGAACTCGGGTCACTGGGTTTGTATCACAGTGCACTAGCTGCTACCCTAACACTCCCCATGTTTATAGATTCATGAGTTCAAATCATGGTCAAGGTTAACGTACTGTAGCCCTAAGATCCCTCCTTGGTTGATAAATTGAAACCTAGCAAGAATGTTTTTTATTTCCCAATATAATACAAATATGTTTTTTTAATAAGAAAAAAAACTCCCGCATGTGTCTCTGAGCCATCAAATTATACTAATTGTGCATGAGTTGGGTTGAAAATGCCAAGTCTCATGGAATCTGTGCTTGCATGCTCCAATTATAACATTGCATAGGATGGCAGTATAACCCATGCTATTGTCTACGCAAAGCAATGATAATGAGGCGATGCATGTGGCGAGGTCAACTGACAATACGGCAAGCTATCAAAAATGTAATCTCTTTTAAGAGTGATTTTTTTATTTAAATGTTGCCATGCACGCACATGTGTACACAACCTACACGAGGTTGTAGAATATTGCATTAAATGCCAGTGTAGCTGTCCAGGAGGTGTACAGTAGTTGTATTGCATTGAGAGAAATGGGACATCCAACCTGGCACACAACATCGACAGTTTTGGCAGCAATTATGGATTCTATACACGCAAAACTGGAAGGAATCCAACACAATTATGTTACTGTTCAGCCACTGGTTGCCCAACGTTTAACCCAACAGTGGCTTTTGTTTGGAAACAAAATGATAATGTTTAAATGCCTGAGCAATATGCTGTAGGTAGACATCCCAGCGAGAGCTATAATTGGATATATTTATGAGAAGCAATTTAGAATTGTGGACCAATGAGATGAATTTTCAAGCTTAGAGCGCAACAGGAGTACAGAGAACGAACTAAGACCAATAACCACGATATGACACCATCATGCACAAGGTTTATCTTGCAGCTTTGATTTCTCCTTTTCCTTCAAAAATATTGAAACTAATCTGTAACCATAATTGATAATGAAATAAAGTTATCATATTTGCGCCAGTTTTTGACAAACTACGGATTACGTAACATTGTTTTAATCATGACGATTTCAATCCACCACCAAATAAGAAATTTACGACACCAATTTGAATAGAAATCGATGCGTTACATTTTCAAGCTCTGTGCTCAGTAAGCCTTCAAATTAAAATTAAAACGCCAGGGCTAAATGAATAAATGGTCCCTTCCATCTGTCACTCACAATGTCTGCACCTTGCATTAACATTGGTTGGCAATTAATTGCATGCAAATGCACATACGCTCTGTAGATTTAAACGTATTCCAAATCGTGTCGAGCAATCGACATTTTTTAGTGCGTTACGCTAATAGTAAATATTTCAAGGCGTATCACTTATAATGCGAAAAAAATATATAAGTATTCCTTGATTGACACAGGCATGGACATTTTCACACACACACATATGAAGTGTAATATGTGCTTGGTGAGAAAAATGCTCATGCAGACTCGATGCTGCCTTTAGAAAATTGATTTTTAAATCATTACTAAATGGGTAAAATTCTGCAAAGAATCCATCCTATTTCCTGATGGTCCAACATTTAGTCCTATGAATCTTCGTTTTCCACCCACAAAAAAATATCGTTTATTCGAATAATAATATGGCGAGTTTACTCAGGAGAGCCTCAATCCGTTCCAATCTTAATTTTTAGGAAGGTATTGTGTAAGGATATACAGTCATCTCCATAATATGGAGCGCTTTCCATGCTGAACAAAACTAGAGTACTCAGAATAAAAAAAAAACAGAGAAAGATCCCCCATATAGCCTTAACAAATTGTTGGGGCAAGTGTTGTTAGTGAGCACCTATGAAGGCCGGCACGGCACACGATGGCGTAGGTGGCCAGCACCACGCCCGGTCGCCTTTGTCTCCCTAGTGGCGATGTTTACACACCGCACTAAGTACTCATTTTAGTCGACCTGGGGGAGGCCCAGGCCCGGTTCAGATCATCATTACTGGTGTTGGTCTTGAGCGGGAATGGAACTCAGTTCTCCGGGGTTCGTAGCGCAGTTGCCCTAACAGCTACACTACCAAGTACTCAGAGAAAACCTATATGTAAACACGCACACAAAGGATACTTGCCCAAAACTCAGTACAGGTGGGTTCACCTACCCTAAATGCTGTACAGTCACCTCTTGCCCATGCAAGTTTCACAAATCTCTGCATGGGCCACCAACCCTTCTGTGCAAAGCTCTGGATGACAGGCATGCACGACCACTTCTAGCCGAGTATAAACGTATATCCCAAAGCATGTTTGAATTTATTTTGAATTTCAAGTGGTAATCCCATATTGATTATACAAAGTACGTTGTGGGTTTACTCTCCAACACACCGGTGTGGTGAAGTAGTGACTAATTGGCACGTTTTGTTTACGTGACAAACATTACGAATTGGCTGTGTCGGGTGGTGGCGAGTCTAATGACATTTATATTTACCGTGATCTAACCCTACTACTTATTAAATGGAAAACACTCCTTGCAGACCGCAACTTGAGTACATCACTGAAACTGCGCACACTGAAATGCTACATTTGGTCAATTTTGCTGTACGGAGTAGAGACGTGGACACTGACAACAACAGCAACAAAAAGGCTCGAAGCTTTCGAGATGTGGCTGTATCGAAGAATGCTGAAAATCCCATGGACAGCCAAAACCACCAATACACAAGTTCTGCAAGATATGGGCACTGACAGGCAACTGCTGAAGACCATCATTAGCAGGAAGTGTTACTACCTAGGCCACATTGCCCGAAACGACCACAAATACCAGCTATTAAAGCAAATCCTGGAAGGAAAAATCCAAGGGAAAAAACGACCAGGACGGCCAAAAACGACATGGCTCAGTAACATCAAAACATGGCTACAATTAACAACAGCACAAACTCTACACGCCGTGCTAGACCGGGACCAATATCATCGTGAAGTCGCACACGCCGTTAGGCAGCACTAAAGAGAGAGAACCCTACTACTGCTACGTGTTAAACTGCACGAGAAACAGTCCGTGTGGTCAATCGCGTGGCTCCGAGGCGCGAGTGTGCCGAGACTCCCACGTCGCAGCTCTTTAGGAGTGCATCTGCGTGCTTCGTAAATTATTCATCGCAGGCGGCGATGACGCACGACGCATTGCCACGGTGGTGCCATCGGCAAAATTGCCTGGAGTATCATCCGCAATTATTACATTTGCCCGCTTGAGCGGGTAGTCTGGCCGATTTAAATAAACGAGCAGCATGGATCTCGATGGAGATTATCTCTGCATTCGTGGTAATAATTGTTACATCTTCACTTGAAGTGAACAGGACAGTGAGTTGTCACTGGGGTTGCCTTCATTTCAAGGATCCACGCGCTCAGCTGGATGCTTGCAATGGTCACGAATTTGAAAGGAATGTTGAAGAGAAGCACATTGGAAAATATCAGCAATAAAGGGAGCGCAGAGAAAGCGATCAGAGACTTCAGACCGGCCAGACATAAAAAGGTGTGGTCAGGCATGTAATCGACTTTTCTGAAATGTTTTGGTATAAATAAAAAAAAGTAAGCATTGGAATTGTGTCTATTTAAGGCCACCCCACAGAGACAATCGCCCTCTCTGTACCTGTGTTACTCTCTATATGTATCTTGGTGATATCTGTCTGCTTATATGTCTGTCTATAGTTTTCTGGTTAGATTTTTTGTTGCTATTTCATTTATACCTGATGATGATTGCTTGTGTTGCAATCGAAACATCGTATGCTATTATTTAATTTATTATTTTATCTTTATACGTGACTTTACCGAAAGAACCAAAGAATAATTCATACAGTCACGAAAGCTCCAAAATTAAGATTGGAATTGTGTTTTATCTGAAACATATCTAGTTATTAATGGGAGCCAGTAAGTGGTTTTGATACACCATTTTGAAAAGATCAATGACTGGCCCTTTTTAGTGCAATGGGATAACAGATGCTCCCAAAAATATGTATTTTAGGGGTAATTTTAAGGACCATAAATTCGGTGAGTTATTAAATGGCTAATTTTCTGACAAAGATTATTAGAGAGCTCTAAGTATCGCTATTAAGCCCTCAAATGAGATCACGGGTTACACGGGGAAGCTACATTACAAACGGCGATAAATTATTCCGTCCCTTGACTGCCTTATTATTTTTTCCACATCATAACAATGAAGCATTCCGAATCGCTGCAATAAAACATTGTTGCTTCCTCTGAAAGAGCAACAGGAAAACGAGGATTGAACTCATGTGGCCTCTGGGCGTTGTATAATTTTAAGGAGTGAGACATTTACTGTGTGGACAGAGAAGGTTTCCCATACAGTACATCTGCTGCTTCTCACACAGTGCATCGATTTAACAAAATAACACAATGACACCTACTTTCTTGACGAAGTCCTCAATATTCATCCGTGAAATGCATTTTGTTTCAGATTTTAAATGTTGCTCAACTTTGAACCATTTTCGTTTGCAAAGGTTAGAAGAGGTTTGCACAACACAACATATAAGCATACACTGGAGCCTTTCAAAGAAGGCAGCTGTAAAATGTAGGACAATTTAAAAAACACACAATTCTGCCCCACAAGATCAACGTGAACGCCAATAACGGTGTTCAGCTTCACGCCTCACCTTTTTGCATCTCCAGTGGTCTCCATGCTTGGCACGAGATTATCTGTGTCCTCTGTAGGGGTTGGGATGAAGTCCATCTCGTTCCACTGGCCGACCGTGCTGTCGAGCGCAAAGTACTTGAGTTCCAGCGTGACCGTGGCCTGGACACGCGGGAGTAGAGAGGCTACACTGTTAGGTGTGTGTGCGAGGGTTAGCGTCGGCCCTGCAATAACTTTTTTTTCTGGCACGTGTTGTGCATTGGGCTTCCGGTTGCCGAATGAAAACATTGTAAGTTCTCACACTCATTACACACAAAGTGCCTGCCACAATCTTCTTGGTTCTTTCGGTAAAGTCACGTAGAAGGGAAATAATAAAATAATAAAAAGAAACCATAATAAAATAAAATAAAAATATAATTATATTATTATACTTTTTTATTATGTTTTTTTTTTCCCTTCTACGTGACTTTACCGAAAGAACCAAGAAGATGAATCCCTGCAGTCACGAAAGCTTTAAATCAAAATATGCCTGCCACAAATTAACCACGACACCTTGTAGATCTCGCCAAGGAGCATAGACCATCACGCGAACTCCGGTTAATCCTCGCAGCGGCTTTTGGCCATCGAACAAAGACGGTCACTGCATGGCGCACTTTAATATGTGCTTCCGCGGCCGTCTGGAACACTGTTCCTTCTGATATTAGGAAGCCACTGGAGCTATGGACTTTTAAATCTAGATTGAAAACGCAGCTCTTCAGAACTGCCTTTTGTGTTTAGTTTGTTGTCTTTCCCACACACCTCCGATTAGCATGGTTGGCTACGTACGGTGCAAAAGAAGTGGACCATTACACCATGGCAGTTGATAGATAGGTAGAATGGATACGTACAGTGAGGGAAAAAAGTATTTGATCCCCTGCTGATTTTGTACGTTTGCCCACTGACAAAGAAATGATCAGTCTATAATTTTAATAGTAGGTTAATTTGAACAGTGAAAGACAGAATAACAACACAAAAATCCAGAAAAACGCATGTCAAAAATGTTATAAATTGATTTGCATTTTAATGAAAGCATTTTAAAAGCTCAGTGGGCCTTACCTTGTTACTTTAAAATAGTTTCTATATTTTTTTAAAGACACAGTTAATATGAATATGAATAATCATACATCATTACCAAATAATTTTCTATGGGGTTATTATTTTAACACGTGTTAATAGGCTCCCACAGGGCATTAATACAGTGATATCACAGTTATTGTTTTGTCTATACAACCTTTGAAAAACATGGATAATTACAAACTAAAACAAAAAAGCTGTGCTTCCATACACACAATATACCCTATTTTAATTCAATTTAAATATGTATGTAGAAATGTGTATTGTCCATCATTGCTGTTGTTACTTGTCAAAGAAGGATATAAAATAAATCAAGAATTACTTTAGACTTCACAAGGACACAAATTGAAAGTTAGTTTATAAATAAATATTTAGGTAAATTTGGTGAATTTGTGGATACATTTATTTGCATTCAAAAACACAATGTAACATAGAGTAAGTCTAATTCTTGCGAAAACAGCTTGCAGAACACTCACAATTGAAGTCAGGGCATTTTCAATCCATCAACATTTTTTGAAGTATATCATTACATGTAAATCCACAGACAAACAAAGAAGATGCGCTGTTCCATAACAAAGTAACGTGTTTCATTCACCCAGGACAACTGCTCGTCAGCACCAGCCCCATCGCTTAGAAGAAGCAGGAATCGTCAAAGATTCACGTTCGAGCATTCCACGGAGTTGCCTTCTCTGGGTGAACAGGAGGTCCTGTGCATGTTGAGCTGCCAGGGGATTTTTCGATTTAAAGCTTTCGTGACTGCAGGGATTCATCTTCTTTGTTCTTTCCGTAAAGTCACGTAGAAGGGAAATAATAGACGTTTCGGCCACAACGCAAGCAGCCGTCCTCAGGTGAAGAACAGGTCTGTCGGAAAGACAGCGTCATTCAGAACAGGTCTGTCGGAAAGACAGCGTCATTCAGCCGCGTCATTCAGACGCCGTCTTTCCGACAGACCTGTTCTGAATGACGCTGTCTTTCCGACAGACCTGTTCTTCACCTGAGGACGGCTGCTTGCGTTGTGGCCGAAACGTCTATTATTTACCTCCTACGTGACTTTACCGAAAGAACCAAGAAGATGTCAGGGAATTCACCGTCAATCACAGACTGCTTAGCCACCATCAAACAAACAATGCAGCCCGTGACACACGCAATTATGTCCAAATTCATTGATAACCATTACATGGACAACGTACTTCCGGCATTAAGTGAATTGTGAATAAAATATTCATGCCCTTCTATTATGGTATTACACATCATGTGTTCAACTGCCGGTGAAAAATCTATATTTATTCCGTGGCTTTGTGCCCCATCTCCCCCCACTTTGTTGGATGCAGTATGTACAAATGCAACCAATGAAGCTTTAAGCATTGATTATCAAGAAATTACAATCATACCATCTCATGAGTCGTGCGTATACACATAAATACGATTCCATTTGCACCCAGTTGCTCGGCAGACTCAGGAAGAACGTTGTTAATAATGCAAGCACTGCCATGAAAATGCTCTATGCAGGAATGCACCGCACAGTAGCTTGTAGGCTCTAAAGCCATGCTTAACACGTAGGCTTTCACGACCAATATCATCCAAAAGAGGTTTTTTGGGTTAGATCGCGTAAATATATAAATGTGTCATTAAAACCCGGCACCACCTGACACAGCCAACTAGTAAGGGTTGTCACGTAAACAGAACATGCCAATTCGCCCCTAGTACAGCACACCGGTGTGTTGGAGAGCCAAGCCACAACATTTACAATCAGAGTACGACGTTTCGCCAGTAATTACAACTAGCTTCATCACGCGACAGCCAGATTTGTGCTGTGCTAGTGACGAATTGGCATTTTCTGTTTACGTGACAACCCTTACTAGTTGGCTGTGTCAGGTGGTGGCAGGTTTTAATGAAACATTCATATATTTACGCGATCTAACCCAAAAACATGTTATGGATAAATCCATGCTGTTATAATCCAGTCGTGTTCTCTACCATTTACCGACCTAATCACACACTTGCATCACAGCACACCTGTACAAAGTCCAAGTGTAGTGGTGGTGGTGGAATCATTCAGGGCCCCTGAGCAGGTATTGTTTTGGGGGGCTTCTCTTTCAATTTACAAAATCCCAAGTGAGATGACAAAATATATAAAGACAAGATGTGTAGATGTAGCAAGATGTAAATAAAAACAGAGATTAACAGAAATGAAAAAAATATACGAATGAGAGAAATTAATTGGCTGTTTCACGTTAAGTCTTCCGTTATTATTATTATCGGGATTTAAATCTGAGCTCATTTTTAATGCACCTACATTTTTTGATTGAATCTGATTTTCTTTGGCCCTTAGGCTTGTCCTTGGTTTGCTTGTTTCTAGTGCCACCACTGCATCCTGGTTCAAGACCTTCCTCATCCGCTGAGGCTGCACCACTCGGACGCAAATCCACACTCGTTCTTCTCTGGTTTAGACTGAGCGCTTCCAAAATAACGTGGAGTTTTTTTTCTGTTTGGAACTCTCATTGGTGGTGAGCACCCACCAACATTCAAACATTGTAAAAATGTGTACAACACACTGCATTTAATACTACTACTGCAACAGTCTATTGTTGATCCACTGATGGATGAAGGCCCACTGAAGCTATGTATTAGTGATTATGGCTATATGTTACCATACTTTACCATGCTGGTCAGTGCAGGTTGACAATGTGAAGAAACCCGGGGCCAATTCAGTTATCTATTGCCAATGATGTGAGCCATGGCAGGGAATCGAGAGGTTCATCAATGCTACCACTCCCTCACAGCATATTCGGTGTCTCACATTTCGCTGCGATGAACACGTACCACTATTTGGTACAGGCTCTTGACATGTTGTTGCATTCAGGCCCGAGTATAAATCCGAATTGCATTATTCTAATTGTGGTCATTGTAACCGGTTTGGCGCTGCCAGCGCGCTCATGTGTTCACCACGGTGGTGGCGGTGGTGGTGGAGGTGATTGCACCGGCGCATTCACCGTTGAGCGGGCGCGAGTGCAGCCGCCCTGTCGCGGTGCCGAGGGCTCCTGTCTGCGCTCACCATGATCGAGGCATTGTTGTCGTCGAGGAGCGTGTCCGTCAGCTCCAGCTGTCCCCGCTCCACCAGCAGCTGCAGCACCATGCGGAAGGTGCCCACCAGCCTGGCGTGGACAGAAAGAGCAAAAACAGATTCCGCATTTAGCCGCAATGGCCGGACAGGGTGCACAGCTGCACTGAGTATCGACTGAAATGGGAACATCTCACTCAAGAATTGTGTGGTTTGCATCACACATGCCCCGACCAACACGGATGGAGATTGCGGGAGGGGGGGGGCACAGGGGGGCAATGCCACCCCCCCACTCCGCAAACTAGGCACCTTCATAAATTGATTTTCAGTAGTTTAATATTTTAATTGAAAATAAATAAATTACATGAACCCGTGATTTCTAACGTGAGGGACAAAGCGAACTGTCCCCCCCCCCCCCCACCGCAAATATAGACGTCAATCTCCATCTATGCTGACCACCTTTGTCTCCCCAGCATCGAGTTGTCATTTTATTGCAACGTGGACTTCGAGGCCCAGGCCAGGATGGGATAGTGATCACCACTGCTGTTGTGTATGGGTCGTGAGCTGAACCAAGGGTGCCGCAATCCCATGATGTGCTTTAACTGCTGTCACTGTTATCACTCGCACATAGCAGGCTGCAAGAGTGCGTGTGTGGGATGAGACGGCATGGAGGGAGAGTGCAATAAATACTCTTTAGGAGGTTTTACAACGCGACAATAATTCTGAAGTGAGTTTCCACAGTCAAGTTAGAACTGTCGGGTCTTCGGTTTGAATTTTTAATTCAATGCAGTCAGCGGAATGCATGGCTTGTGAAGTCTGTTCCAGACAGTGGGGACATAAGAAAATATAGTGACCTCCCATTTAGGAAAAGAAAATAATTCTGGGGAGATAAAGAGATGAGCCGAGAGAGCACTGTTGAAGATTCGAGCACAGCAATGAGAGTAGAGGAAGATGAGAAAGGAAATGTAAGCAGGGACAAGCGCCTGGAGGGACTTTGGTGAGGATGATAGAATGGTGGGTGCCAAGAGAGATGAGCGATAAATAATAGGTTTTGCGTGATCTCATTGGAAGACAATTCAACCACAAAACCATGAAAAATCACATAAATCATATCACACCAGCGCAAGTTCACGCATGCACAAAGTGATACTGTATGTACGCAAGTCCTTTTTTTAATTCCCAAAGTTGTTGAAGATTAAAACATCTAAATCTTATTTTCGCCGATCATTCCTGTGACTTGGCATTCCCCAATTTCAGCATCGGCACAGGTTTTATTCCCAGCCAAACATTTTTCAGGCTGGCATTGTGAAACTCTTTACGAGTCCCCACTATTCAAATATTAATCGTCACCAGCGCAAGAGGCATCGTTATAATTTCTACAAAACCTTATCAGCAAGGAGAGCCGCTGAGGCCAATCAGTTGAGGTCACTCCGTTACCTCTTGGGGCGGTCACAGCAGGAGCAAGGAGGTTTTCTGGCAAGTATAAATTTCAATCAATGATAACAGCGAGTGGGATTCACAGAGCCAACGTGGGCGCATGTCTCCGCATTTGTATTCCGGGAAACGAATGCTGGTGGCACGAGCAATAAGCTCGTGCCACCAGCAAATAACCGAGCACTCTCCGACTTTAATTTTCCCTGGGATGAATTATGCTGTGGTATTTCAATACGGCAATGTCATTAAGCTCAGGAGGAGGCCAGGATTCACCCAGTCCACACGCACTCACAGCCGAATGACAAAGATACGAACAAAAAAGAATGCTACTGGTTAATATTCATCTCGTGTGAAATATCAACCAGTGCTCACAGGAAAGATCAATCTAAACTTCTACTGGTTGATGAGGATTCCACCGTCCATAGATTTTAAGGTCAATCACTAAAGTTTCCCCATTTTCCGCTCCTAAACCTTCACCGGCAACAAGCAATTGCTGTGCTTATCTTAAAGACAGTGCACATTATCAGAGTTATGTTCTTTTGTTTGTATTATGACTGCAGGTATTGCGGTCTATGCAAACATGATTCCTTGCAAAAAGGTGTCAGTTTTGTTGCCAGATAGAAGGGTAAAAAACCAATTATCATATTTTTACTGACAAATGAGGTCCCCATAGTTAAAGACATTAGTTGATAAAAACTAAAAAAAAAAATTTTGATGATGGCACAGCATTGCAGACTGGCACACGCATGCCCAGAGGGGACACGGCTACAGTGATAACATTGTCCTTAAAACTGTTGGAATTTTTTTTATAACAGAAATAAGTCCCACCCGTGGTGGAGCTATGTTGCATTAACACCTGGGTAACCTGGGTAACATGGACAAGGTGTTGTGCAATGTTGTTGGTTTGGTTTTCTTCGGACTGTTCATGAGAACATTTCATGAGGCAACAAAAGAGATGCACTTGAGAGAATGTGGCGCGCAGTAAATTCCCTCCCACGCACCTGTGATTGTGGCCTCACAGGCACGAGCAGACTCACAGGCGTGCTCAGGAGGTCACACATTACCTCGCTATTAGGGAAGCGGTGAGCAGCTGCCATGCGCACGTGCGTGTGTGTGTGCTGAGTGGACTTGCCGATGACTGGTACCAGCGGTGTCAAGATCGGCCTCTGTGGAGGAGGCTCGGGAAGGACGCTACTGGGCAGTTGGAGGCAGTCGCCCTCCAACAACAACAGAGGGCGGAGGAACGACGCTCACAACAACGAGCGCAGCGCCGGGTGGCTAAAGCACAGCAAGTTGGTACAGTAGGGGGCACAGGTGGTGCATCAGCCAGTCATCTCGGTCATCTCGGTCAGTCGACCCGTGGCACCTGGGTCTGCCCCGTGACCTCTTCACGTGGCTTCAAGGTGCACATGGCCTGGCACAAGCGTCGTGGTGACGTCACCGCCAACTAGTGGCGAAGGGCGGTTGTTGTTGTGCGTGTGCAAGCATGTGCGCGCGTCGCTGAGCGTAGCACGTCGTTAAACGGCAGTGGGGATTCACCGCTGAACATCTGCACGCAATAAACCATCGGTGCAACCATAGTCGGTTGAGGCATTTGGAACTTCATTGTCAAAATTCATCCCATGATTATTGTGATATTTCACAGATGAACAAAGTGAAGGTGATTTCCTGCTCAATGAGCATCGAGGTGGCACTTTATCTCTCATACTCTTAGGTTTTTTCGGTAAAGTTACGTAGGTAAAAAAATAAAAATTACTAAAAGTAATAATAGAAATAAAATAAAATAATAAATCACGACGTTTCGGAGGCAACACAAGTCTCCGTCATCAGGTGGGACCGTCACAGCTAGATTTACTGTATCAAAGGACTTCATCTCTTCATCTCTCGTTTTACAGCCCCAAGTCAGTGGTGAAAATTCCAACTTGCTATTATGGGATGCGTGTCTATCTATAACACAACCTCTGTTGACTTCTCTACGAAGTGGTTTTACATTTTATTTAAGGGACGAGTCAACCCCCAGCCAGGTGTTGAACTCGCAAGCCTCCCGATTGTGAGCCGCTCACTCTACCGCTGAGACGTCCGGCCACAATCCTGAACACAGTCGAAACGCTTCAGAGTTAACGACAGCATTCCCTCGTTATTCACGAGGGATACGTTCCAGAGATGCTCGTGAGTAGAACATTTCGCGGATAATGATATTTCATGAATTACCTTAAATAAATACGTAAATAATCTATGAAATAGATGAAAATTATCATAACACAGCAATAACAAATGGATTTTTAAAAAACTAAGTAAATAAAAATAATTATTAAAGTATTTAATCATTGTTGATAAATGAACTTGGGTTCATCTCATCACGTTGTCGCATCATATTCTCTCTAATCACTTGTTTTCTCTCCCTGTCTCTCTCGATGCAGCCATGCAGAGTTGCAGATGCGATTTGCGGAAAGCCAAAATCGCAGAGAGCAAGTTCGTTAATAAGTGGGGAATACTGTATAGCCCAGCCTGAGCAGAACCGCCAAAGTAAAGTGAAGCTATATTAAATTTCGATTTAAAGCTTTCGTGACTGCAGGGATTCATCTTCTTGGTTCTTTCGGTAAAGTCACGTAGAAGGGAAATAATAAATAATAAAAATAAAACATCATAAAATAATTCTCACGACGTTTCGGCCACAACGCAAGCAGCCGTCCTCAGGTGAAGAACAGGTCTGTCGAGAAGACAGAGTCTGAAGGTCGTGAGAAGTATTTTATTATGTCTTATTTTAATTATTTTATTATTTCCCTTCTACGTGACTTTACCGAAAGAACCAAAATGATGAAGCTATATTGTCTTGTAATTCCAGAGGGAGGAAAAATACAAATTTTACTAATTGCCATTGCCTGCCTTGCCGCACACAGACATATGGTGCACACACTGGTTGGTACATGCACACTAATGACAAGTACACAACCATTCAATTTGGAATGGTTTTAGTATTACGAAAGTGTAATCGATATAAGATAAAAAAACGTACATATACCCTTTAAACATACGTACGTATCGTGCTCGAAACCATTATGGCTGGTATAGCACAAGGTAATCATACAATTTAGATTTGTACAGAATCTAAACGTGCCCAATCTCAAGACACTCTACGGATAGAGTGGCATTTATTTATTTATTCAGAGGGACACCGTCAGTCATTGTCAGTGGATACAAAGGAAAGTCCTTGAGCCTGGGCTTGAACAGGGGGCAAGGAGTGGACAACACGGATTGCCGGTTGGAAGCGAGTATCAGAGCATGAGGGCAGCCGAGATGAATGAGCGATCTCCCACTGAGCGAATGCTGACCGGGGACTTTGATAGGAAGCTTTGATCGCTAGAGCGGAGGGGGCGCGTGGAGGGGAGCAGAGAGAGAGAGAAATAGAGGGCTGAGGCCACAGAGATTCTTGAAGATGGGCGAGTGCAATTGCCATATTCATGTCGGATTGGACTGGGAGCCATTGGAGGTACTGGAGTACTGGAACATTAGGGAAATGTGATACTTCTGTTATGTCAAGTTAACCTAGCGGACTAGAGGACACCCAGGCTAGGTTCACAAAACAACCACCACTGATCCTGTTCATGGGCAGGAAGAGAACCAGGGACGTTTCAATCATGGTGCTCACTGGATATGCAA